GTCAGGGTTACATGATCCCATCAAACTGCAAATAATCATACCCCAGATGCGAAAGATGTAAAAATTGAGGGTCCGAAATAATCCCATTAGACAGGGCATACATTTACTTCATTCTATCGTTCACAATTGTATATAAGAGTTAATAAATATGTATGAATTACTCAATTAACACAAAACACTTTTCAAACTTTTTATGTTATAAGATGTTATGTCTTTATCATGATTGTCACTATTTGTTCATTAAGCGATTTATTATTAGCATGACTTTGTTAGCGTCTTTGACTGGCTTAATTTTATCTACTTGCTAATAACTGTCACATCTGGTGAATGTCAATTTCAGCATTATTATTGCATTGAAAATACAACCAGCCATTTGGTCATTATAGTGGGCTATACTGGTCATAGGGAACACTGAATAGGCTTCATAAAGACATGAATTCTGTTCTGTGTTCACACATACTCCAATGGCCATTTCACTCTTTTCTGGACGTCGTGTCTTGTACAAAATCCTTCCTGAGATTTCATGGATGCAAATATGCACCTCAATTACAAAACAATTATTAAACAGGGGCCAATTTATGACAACCCTTTCATCATTTACCTCTCATAAGCCTTCCTTATTAAATAAATAGGGGGTCCTCAGGACACTTCCCTTTACTAAATTGTCAATCCATGAGCACAGTCTGCCACACATGTCCAATACATAGGGTGACTGTGCTCTAATGAATACAAAATGTCTTTAGTATTATGCTAGTCAGCATTTTAATACCTTAATATCAGATCTTCTCATGGGTCATATTGAATGACTCCAGTCTTGAAAGCCCTTGGAATATAATCATTGAATCAATCATCAAAATGATCATTCATTTCATTAATCACATTGTTCTCATAAAATGCTGTGCAATGTAACTATTTACATAGAATGACTATAATTACATTTCACACATTTTAGCAACATTCTAATTACTAATCACATTTAAATAATTTCATTGAAAATTTGTGTAAACTAATTTACAGTGCAAAATTCTAGTCAGATCTAAAAGTCATGTACAAAATATAATTTACAATATCTTACAAATGATATTTCATTTCTAATTATTTAGTCCTACAATGATGATTCACATTGTTACATACATACATTCATTAAATTAAAGTACTAATATACAAACTATGACAAATGAAGAATCAACTTCAATCTCATTTGGACATAAATAAAATTCAAACTATACATAACAATAATACTGCACATTTTAAAGCACTACAAACTGTCAATAACAATGTGACTCAACATTTGTTACATTTATTAATTATGTCTATTGTTTATTTTTTGTCTCCTCCTCGTTGCCAGTATGGTATACTCTCATATGCACAGTATCTATAATGGTATTTCCATGTACTGTGTTTACATTTGCGTTGATGATGATGGTGTTCATCCTCAGTTTCTGTTACTCCTTCTGTAAATTGGCTATGCAACCAGCCTGAGTCTATCTCATCCCAAACTGTAGACTTCTCTGGTTCACCTACACCATTGTGTGGGAAAAGGAAGTCACCACGTTGTACATGTTCTGTAGGCTGGGCAGAACTAGCATGGGCATCGTCATATATTCCAAATGCTGGGGCTTGTTCTGAAACATAATATCACCATGATAAATTGATATACATATATGACATAATTTGAGTTTTCAATTTATTTTCATGTTTGCTTTTCAATTTTGAGAATGCAAAAGCTGTCAATGTTAACATTTTATTTCAATACAAGATCAAAAAACTTACCAAGTAGTCTCCTTGGTATAATTGGATCCTTAGTATCAAGTGGTTCACTGACACCATAATGATTCTCAGCCATTACATGGAAGTAGTATTGTGAATTTTCATTCAATCCTTGTACACTGTATGTTGTAACATTGGCTTCAGTTTCACCAAGTTTGCGCCATTCTCTCTCACCAACAATACGCCCCTCTACGATGTATCTCAAGACAGGTGAACCACCATCATTTATAGGTGGGTGCCATTGAAGAGTCACAGTTTCACGTGTCACCTTCATAGCTCTCAATGGGCCATCAGGTTCATCAGGTGCACCTAAACACATTAATTTTGTCAAAATATCATTCTGTCAAGTTATGTCATCTAATCTTTTACTTATCAGAAACATATTTAGATAATATGAAACTAGGAAATCTTATTAGAATATAAATATGAACTTACTGTATGGTGATTTTGGTATGACTGGATCTTCAGTCTCAAGTGGTGGACTAAGACCCATTGCATTCTTGGCCATAATACGGAACCAGTATCTCTTGTTTTCCTTTAGTCCAGGAATATGGCATACACGATCTAGAATTCCAGCATCTCCACCAATACGTTCAATGTTTTCAACAACAGACCATGTGTTTCCACGAAGATCATATTGTTCAACAACATAAGATTCTACTGGGCATCCACCATCATGTATAGGTCTCTGCCATGTCAGCGTTATGCTGTTCTCTGTGATGTTACGGACCTCAAGCAGCAATGGTGCAGTTGGTGGTCCTTGAAAAATAATTTGAATTTTTTTATGAAATGAATTTATCACTGCATCAGAGTAATAAACAGCCAAAATTCTTAATCGCCAAAAAAAGCATATGATTAAATAAAGCAACTAAAGTGTAGTAATTAATATACCTGGTGGCTTTCTTGGGTGCACTGTGTGTTCCAAGTCTTTTGGCTCACTAGCTCCCCATTTGTTGACAGCAATAACACGGAAGTTGTACTCCCATCCTTCAATTAGGTCATGTACAGTATAGGTATGGGTATGTGGTTCTACCTCAGCAGCCTTGAACCAGGTTCCACCCTTGGCATCTTTGTACTCTATGATATAATGAGTTAAGCTGGCAGATGATCTTTGTGATGGTCTCTGCCAGGATAATGTCACAGAATTCTTTGTCTTCGCTATTGAATCAAATGAGGATGGTGGTCCAGGAATAGCAGTTGGTGAAAGAGGTCTTACTGCTTCATGGAGTTCTAGAGGAACCCCAAGACCTTCTTGGTTCTCAGCAATCACTCTGAAGAAATATGTTTTGCCTTCTCTCAGATGTGGTACAGTATAACTGGTCAATCCCTCTACAGACCCAGCAGGCTTCCATATGCGGCTATGCTTATCATGCATTTCTATGACATAGCGTGTAATGGGGGCACCACCATCATCTCTAGGTGGAGTCCATTGTAGACTTACACTGTCTGCTAGAATGTTAGTAACTTCAAAGAATGATGGAGCACCTGGTTTACTATATGGGCTCTCAACCAACACAGTGTCTGTCATTTCTAAGTATCGTCCAGTGCCATATTTGTTCAATGCAGCTACACGGAGGAAGTAATGATGTCCCTTAGTTAGTGTATTAAATCTGTATTCATATGTGTCTCTGGGGAGTTGAGACTCCACAATCCATCCAGGTATTTGTGTGTCATGTTTTTCGACAACATATCCAGTAATTGGTGCACCACCTTCAATCTTGGGTGGATGCCATTTCATAACAACAGTCTCTTTGAATATACGAGTTTCCAGTGGTCCAACAGGAGCATATGGAGGTTCTGAAAATATATATGATTACATGCTTATTATGTTGCATATAAAATGTGGTATATTTTTCAGAATCACTTTTATTGATTGAACTTAGAGATTAGTTTTTAAAATGAAACAACTTTTAAACTTACCATCTGGTCTTGTAGCCTGTACAGGTTTCTCCATGGTATATGGTTCACTCAACCCACAGTCATTGATGGCACAGACTCTGAATTGATATTGCTGTCCATTGCGCAAGTTTGGTACAGTATACATAGAGGTATATGGACCAACCCGCCCAACACGAATCCATTCCTGGGATCCATGAGAACGCTGCTCGATGTAATATCCAAGAATTCGACTGCCTCCATCCTCAGTTGAAATATTCCAAGATAGTGATACATTGTTTGGTGTAACACGGAATGCTTTCAATCCACTTGGTGGACCTGGTACCTCTGTAATTACATAAGTTTATTCATTTTTAATAAAGATTAATTTAAATATAAACAGACCTGAGTTATTATTCTATTGTTGCCACTAAGCTGTTTTATATATCAGCTCATCTAAATGATAAATTGAAAGAATAAAATGTTTTCATCAGACTTGATTTTGATACTTTATTGGTTGTTGGCTATGCTTATTGTTTTTAATATTGCATCTTGATATCATCATTTGAAAGTGCCAAAGGAGCTTACCTGGTGGTCTTCTTGATACAATAGGTTCATGATTGGCCAAGTATTCTCCTTTTCCCTCTTCATTCTCAGCACAGATACGGAAGATATATTCACTGCCTTCAATAAGGTTTGTAACCCTCAATTCATGCTGAGATCTTGGTACTGTGGCGACGGGGACCCAGTTCACACGAGTACGATCTCTGCGCTCTATGTGGTACTTGGTGATTGGTTTTCCTCCATCTTCCCTTGGTGGTTGCCAAGCAATATCAACAACAGTTTTGTCAATATTGTTGTATGTGATTGGTCCTCGAGGAGCATATGGTGTGCTGAATGGACTGGCTGGTGTAACAGCAACACCCAGTTCAAGGGGATGTGACAGTCCAACATCATTTTCAGCTAGCACACGGAAATAGTAATCATTTCCTTCAATAAGATCTCTCATTGTGTATGTGCAGAGTCCAGAGCTTACTCTATCAACAGGTGTCCAGAAAATACTCCAGAATTCTCTGACTTCTACGATGTAGCCAGTAACTGGGGCACCTCCATCTGCTTCTGGTGGAGTCCAGCTAAGTTTCACTGAGTCCTTCTGTACATCAACAACCTTCAATGGTCCTCTTGGCATAGATGGTGGGAACTTCTGTCTGGTTGGTATAATGGGTCTATCTGACTGGCGGTGAGCACTGACACCTACCTCATTTTCAGCTCTCACTGAAAAGAAGTACCTAACACCTTCTCTAAGTCCATGGACTGTGTATCTAGATATATATGGATCAACTGATGCAACAGTTTCCCAAACATCAGAGTCCTCGGGCCTAACATCGATATGGAATGCGGTAATTGCAGAGCCACCATCATCATAAGGGTGGCGCCATTCAATCGTGGCACTATCTTCAGTCACCTGGGAAAGACGGATATACATTGGAGTAGTTGGGGCTTCGGTTTTACGTCTTGGAATAATGGTTTGTTCAACTTGAAGTGGTTTGCTTTCACCTTCCATGTTGATTGCTTTTACTCTCAGGTTGTATTCATTACCAACGAGGAGGTTACGCACTTTATGTCTGGTTATGTATGGCCCAGTATGGGCTATCTTATGCCATTGTAAGCGGTTTGCCTCCCTTCCTTCAATGACGTAAGCCTGGATAGGAGTTCCTCCATCATTGATAGGTGGCTGCCATTCTATCTCAGCTGAATTGGCATCAATACTTAATAGCTTGATGGGTCCAACTGGGGGTGATGGTTTGTTGAATGGACTGGCAACAAGAATTGGTCTGTCCACTTCAAGAGGGATACCAAAACCAGCTCTGTTCACACCAAGCACTCTAAACATGTAATCATTTCCTTCAGTCAGGTCAGATATATGATACATGGTCTCAGCCGCATCAACTCTGCTGACCTTGGTCCAATTTGGTCTCCAGCTCTCGCGTTTTTCAATCTGGTAGCTAGTGATAGGTGCACCTCCATCATCTTCTGGGTGGTCCCAGTGGATAACAACAGAGTCTCTATAGATCTCACTGATACGAAGGCCACCAGTAGGTCTGCTTGGAGGTACTGGAAATGCAAAGTAGAATTCATATAGATTTATATCTCAATAATATCTTAAAATTATCTTAGAAAATCCAGTACTATTCAGGTAAAGTTTATATGTAAAATGCTTCTGACACAGAAATAAATTAATATTAAATTTAAACTAAAAAATATCACATTCAAATTCTTCAAAATATGTAGTTCATTTATCAAAAAAATTAGGGATAACAATAAAACGCTTAAACTTACCAATTGGTTTGGATGGCTGAATTGGTTCGGATTCAATAAAGTGGCTCTGTCCAGCTTCATTAACTGCAGCAATGCGTACTTGGTACTCATGTCCTTCTCTAAGGCCACTCACACTGTACCTTGTTGTGTTCTTGCCTACAGTCTTCAGTTTGTCCCATGTACCAGCTCTTGTGTCCATGATCTCAATGTTGTATGACTTGATGTTGGTGTCTATTGGTGGTGCCCACCAGTCAATGTCGAAGCTTGTAGGTCCAACATTGGTGATACGGATTGTGCCTGGAGGTGTTGTTGGCGGCTCTGTAAACACAATCAATTCAATTAGTATAAACATTCGCGAGTGGTTTTTCATTTTTCAATTGTATTCTTCTTTGAAATATCAAGGGTCATTGGTTTGAGTCTTTTTCCATTATGTAACATGTAAGTATAAATATCACATAGAATATCATAATATGAATGCACAAATGTGTATCAATTTGCCGCCTGGCATACCTGGTGAACCTCTGGGAATGGCAGGTCTACGAGATGTAAGTGGGTCACTGACTCCCTCAACATTCTCAGCATACACTCTGAACATGTATGGATCTCCTTCCTTCAGGTACTGGATCTTGCACTTCAGCTGGTCTCCACCAACTGTTGCAGTCCTATACCAGGTTCTGTACTTATCCTCTAGCATCTCTATGATGTAGAATGTCACTGGGGAACCTCCATCATTTATTGGTGGTCTCCAGTTGAGAGTCACTGAGCTGCTTGTTATGTTGCTGTATTCTATAGGACCAACTGGTTCAGATGGGTAGGCTGTAATATAAATTAATTTCTTATTTTATGTTGTAAGGGAAATTGTGTTGATTAATCAGCATGATTAATACATGCAGCATCAAGCAAAACATCAATGCAATGGTTTCTTTAATGCAATGTGCATTGGGTTATTCCATTCAGCCATTAAGGCCTAGTTAGTACATGATCAGTCATAATTCTGGCCCATGCATAAGGTGATTTTTTGATAGAACCCATCTTCATCTAGAGCAGTGTGGCATGCCAATAGGAATTTGGGTATTAAGGCCTTAAATGATTCTATCTACATATTTATCATGCAACATTAGGAATCTAAGCTAGTTAACTCACCTTCCCCTCTATGCATACCGATTTCCAAAAAAGCTTGTCATCAGTGTATAAAAAGGAAGGAGTAGGCTTAGTCTTACAGAGGCTAGTAGGGTGAGCCATGCAGGGTCCTAAGCTATGAGTCTTCTTAACTAAAAGTCTTATATACATCCCCAAGTACCAAGATATCTATGCTATAGCACCAGTCGCGAAATTGAGTTGATCATAAGATATATGAAAGATGTTGAGTGTTCATAACGAGACTTAATATTCATTCCCAAGTACCAAGATATCTACGCTATAGTGGGAATCGCGAAATTGAGTTGATCATAAGATATATGAAAGCTGTTGAGTGTTCATTATGAGACTTAATATTCATTCCCAAGTACCAGGATATCTACACTATAGCGGCAATCGCGAAATTGAGTTGATCATAAGATATATGAAAGCTGTTGAGTGTTCATAATGAGATTTAATATACATTCCCAAGTACCAAGATATCTACGCTATAGCGACAGTCGCGAAATTGAGTTGATCATAAGATATATGAAAGGTGATGAATAATCAAGACTATATATACAGTCCCAAGTACCAAGATAATAGCACTAGTTGCACAATTGAGTTTGGGTGGTCATGATTTTACTTTGATTTTTGTAAAAATGTTTAACATTTTGAAACTATATCTACATTGAATCAAGGCATTTTGATTTCTACATCAATGGAATCAGTAAAGTTACTGCATGCACATAAGTAAATTGTCAGAATACAAATTAGTTGAAAAATGCGATCAAATATAGTTTTTTTTAAAATTTCTTGAAAGGATTCTGTATTAAGAGTTAGTATATATCATAACACATACTTATTAGTGTATCACTCTATTAGACAAGTATCCATCACCACAAATCCCAGCCACAAATATCATTTGAATCATTCCACAATTTTTTTTTTTTTTCTTAATAATATAGACATGTGCCATTGAAATATGTTCAGCAATACAATCAAATATATTCATGCTATCTATTTTCCTCTCAATTGGGCAATTAACACCTCCATAATCAAAATGTTTTTCTACTTACTGTAAGGACTCTTTGCCTTGACGTAGTTATCGAGTTCCAATGGTTCACTGGATCCGATGTTGTTCTCAGCAAAGACTCTGAAGATGTAGTCATTGCCCTCATAGAGATTTCCAACTCTGTGACGTGTACGTGCAGAGTCAACCGTAGCAACCTTTGCCCAGTTGCCACCTTGGCGATCACGGCGCTCTATGATGTAACGGTTGATCTCAGCGCCATCTATACTTGGTGGGGATCTCCATTCAAGGGACACAGAGTCACGTTGAATGTCTATGACCTTCAAGTCAGATGGGGCTTCAGGTTTCTCTGCAATATAACAATAATTCAACATAATATCCAAGCATCAATTTTGATCATTTGATACATTTCATTTACAGTACGGGTAACTTTGTATTGTTGATAATATTTCATCGATAGTTCCAAATAAATGGCAATATTTACCCAAGACTGTAACTGGCATTACAGCATTAGTTTCTCCTACAGCATTTCTGGCTACAACCTTGTAATCTCCTTGGTCATTCTTGGCAGCTCTCTGTATAGTGAGTGTACTATAGATGTCACTTGTTTGTATGCTTACACGGCCACCATCGTAAAGCTCCTTAGATCCACGGAACCAGGAGATTTTAGGCTTAGGAGCACCCTCGTAGCGTACACGTATAGTTAGAGTAGAGTCAATACGTAGAGTCATACCCTCTCTCATTCTAGAGTCAAACTGTAGAGTGGGGGGAACTGGAAACAAGTAAATAACATTGTAAAATGTATGAATAGAAATCTACAATTTATAGTATATTTATTGCCATTAATTTACATATATTAAGAGTTACAAAATATTTTAAAATGAAAAAAAAAATTATTTGAATCTCTGTACACTGAATGGTTATTTTTATAATTTCAGAGTGCCAGAGTGAAAGTTGTGTACTCACTATTGATTGAGAGTTGTGCCTCAGTTGAAGTGTATCCCAGTGGATTAGTGGCTTCACATAGGTAAGTACCCTCATCTCTATGACTAGCATCAGCAATAATCAATGTAGCAAAGTTATTCTCATACACCATCTCATGGCGCTTGGTTTCATATACTTCCATCTGGTTCTTGGACCACCTTATGCTTGGTGTTGGTTTGCCAATAATCTTGCAGTGTAGTTTGGCCATCTCACCAGCAAGGACAGACAGTTTCTTCAAAGGTTCAATCACCTTAGGGGCATCTCCTACCAGTGGCTCCCTGGCTGTGATTCTCTTTGAGGTCTGAGATGGTTCACTAACTCCAGCCTTGTTCTCAGCTAGGACTCTGAACTCATAGTCCATGCCCTTGCTAAGATTAGGTACAATGTATGTAGTGTTGGATACAGTTTCACCAATGTTGCATTGAGACCATGTAAATGATCCCATGAGGCGCATCTCAATGATGTAGTTTGTGATCTTGCTTCCTCCATCACTGTATGGTGCAGACCATCTTAGAGTGGCATGATCACTGGTTATGTTATAAACATCAGGTTGACCTGGAGCATCGGGCTTATCAAATGGATCTTTAGCCTTTATGAGATTTGTTGCATCAGAATATCTGCTTGCTCCGGCCTCATTCACTGCACTAACTCTAAACTGGTACTCATTACCTTCCATGACATCAGTGATTGTATACTCTGTCTCAGGAATGAGTGTCTTGGAGACCTTCGTCCATCTGTAGCTTCCAGGAGTGATGCGCTCCAGAATATATCCTCTGATTGGTGCACCACCATCATCAAGTGGTTTCTTCCATGATAGTGTTATAGATCTCCTGCTCACTGATTCAACTTTTAGGCCAGATGGGGCTTCTGGTACCAGATATGGACACTTGGCTGATACAGGTCTGGTTAACTCCATAGGCTCACCAATACCTACATGGTTTTCAGCTGATACCCTGAAATAATATTCAGTACCCTCCATGAGTCTATCAACAGTGTAATTTCTCTCCCTCTCTCTGACACTACTAACTGTGGTCCAAACATTGCGACTTGCTTCACGTTTCTCAATCACATAACCTTTAAGATCTCCGCAGTCTCCTTCGGGTGCTTCCCATTCTAAATCTACAGAATCAGCAAGGATTTTGGACACACGGATGGACGCAGGTGCAGGGGGTTTGTCTTGGACTTGGAACTCAAATGCAGCATTTTCGCTACCAACTTGGTTTTCGACAACAATTCTGTAAACACCAGTATCTGCCTTTGTTGTGTTCCTCACACTAAGCATAGAGAATGAGTCAGATTCATCTATGCCTATTCTGTAAGAGCCTTCTAAAGGCTTCTCATTGTGGAACCACTGGACTTTAGCAGCTGGACTGGCTGTAAAGTTAACCTGGATGATAATGGAATGACCAGCTTTGACAGTGTTTATCTTCCTAGCCATGTTCTGGTCATACTCTAGTTTAGGTTTGGTGTGCATTGTCAGAGTAGCTTTGGTGTCAACACGGCCCATCATATTACTGGCTTCACATCTGTATTTACCAGCATCAGTTGTCTCAGTGTCAGCAATCTCAAGTCTAGCCACATTGTCTTTGTATGTGATGTAGTATTTATCAGAATGGTACACTTCACGTGCATTCTTAAACCAACGGATTTCAGCTGCTGGTTCACCGGGAGTGATGCGACATTCGAGGATAGCAGATCTGGGAGCTTCAACTGTAACATTGGTGAGAGATTGAGTTACAGTTGGCTCTTTACCCTTGGAGCGTTGCTTCACAATGGTTGGTTGTGTCACTTCAGAGGGAGGACCAACACCTGCCTTGTTCTCAGCTGCTACACGGAATTCATATTCCTGATCTTCTGTTAGGTCCATAACCTTGTAAGTGGTGTCTGGAACATTCTCTCCTGCATTGGCATTGATCCATTTGAATCCACCAGCAATGCGGTAATCAATGACGTAATTGAATGGTACACTTCCGCCATCATATTCAGGTGCAGACCAGGAAAGAACCACTGATTTCTTCTTGATTTCACTGATACGTGGTACACTTGGCTTGCCTGGTTTATCCCATGGATCTTTAGCAGTGAATCTGTTGGAGGCTTCACTTGGAATACTCATGCCAGCTCTGTTCTCTGCAATCACTCTTACCTCATAGTCGGTACCATCAAGGAGTCCAGTTACAATGTACTTGGTGTCTCTAATGAGATCCACACTAGCTTTCACCCAGTTGGTGCTGGTGGTGGCTCGGCGTTCAATGTGGTAACCTTGGACTGGGGCACCTCCATCGTTAAAGGGGGGCCTCCATGTGATGACACAGGAGTCTTTGTATACCTCAGTAACCTTGGGAGATGCTGGGGCATCAGGTACATCTGAAACATAGTAAGCAATCTTAGAATGTATTAAAGGACATTGTATTTGATTCCATGTATTGGTACATTTGTAGTATTAGCCTACTGTATATTTTACAATAAAGCCAAAAAGGAAATAATATAAAAAACATGATTATTAGTTTTAAACCCTATAATTACTAACAGAAGAAAGAGAAGTTATCATTTGAAACCTTTCTTAAGCTGATAAAGCAGGAATCCTAAAATTCCCAGAACTTACCATATTTAGCCTTTGGAGACACTGGCTCTGTGATTTCAGTAAATTCACCTACACCACACTGGTTCTCAGCTGCCACTTGGAACATGTAGTTTCCTTCAGCCAAGCGAGTCACAGTGAACTTGTTATCTTGGGTACTTCCAGCTGTCTGCCAGATTCTACGAGATGTCTCACGTTTCTCAATGACATACTCTCTGATCTCACATCCACCATCATCCTTAGGTTTGTCCCATTGCAGAGTGATGGCTTCTTCGCCAATGTTTGCCACATCTAGGTTCCTTGGAGCAGTTGGTTTGTCAATGACAACTATTTTGAAGTTGAATGATGTATCGCCATATTCATTTTTCAATGTGACCTTGTAGGATCCAGAATCTTTGCGGTCTGCACGTGAGATTGAAAGAGCAGTTAGGCCCTTGATTGTTTCAGTTCTGACTCTACGGTTCTCCATGAGTACCTCATTGTCAACAGTCCAACTGACCTTAGGCTGGGGTGCTGCGATGAATGGAACTTCAATTGTCATGCTATTGTTTGCACGTAGGATTATGGTATCTTTGTAATCCTTGTCCATCACACATCTTGGTGCAGCTACAAATAAAATATTACATGAATCTTTGTTCAACTTCAATTAAACATAAAGACATTATTTCCCATTGTTATTATCTATAGTCATTCACATATACATATACATTCATTTTACAATATGATCCCAAGTCAAAAGATTTTTGACATGGTGATCAGTTTCTTCCATGTTAACAGAATGTTTAATGCATTTTTTACATTTTAATAAATCATTTAATAAATCATGTAAATGAATACCTTGTACAGCTAGGGCAGCAGAACATCTCTTATGTTTAGCAATGACAGTGTATTCTCCAGCATCATCAGCATCAACATTCTTGATGATCAGTTTATGCTTCTTGCCATCATCAATAGTCTCATATTTGTTGCTTGCAGATCTGAGAAGTTGACCATCCTTCAACCATTGTATTGGTACATTAGCCTTGGACACTTCACAATCAAATGTGGCACTCTCACCTATCTCCTTCACAGATACATCTGTCATTCTCTTGGTGAACTCTACCTGCTCCTCTGTAAGTACAATAAAATACATTAATTTCAATTTAAAGGGGTAAGCCAAATAATCATAGCATACATGTACAATCTCTGTAATGAAGCCAAGTACATACAGATAAAGATAATAGATATACATATACCATGCTTTCCTCTTAATGTTTATGGTAAATAATGTTTACTAACCATATTTGGCAGCAGATGAGATGAGAGAAGGTTCACTATGTCCAGCACGGTTCTCAGCAAACACTCTGAACTCATACTCTTCTCCTTCCTTGAGGCCAGTCATATTGTAGGTTGTCTTAGTGAGTACCTCATCTTTGTTGACAGTCTTCCATCTGAAGTCTCCAACAACTCTCATCTCGAGGGTGTAGTTAGTTATAGGGCTTCGGCCATCATCATAAGGTGGAGACCAGACTATAGTAGCCTCATCCTTAGAGATGCTGGCATCAGGCATTCCAGGTGCTCCGGGGACATCATATGGTCGTCTTGCCTTGAATGTTCCAGTTGAATCAGATGGTTTACCTAATCCAGCTGCATTTTCAGCAACAACTCTAAAGTCATATTCTTGTTCTTCAACCAGATCACCAATCTTGTAATGGTTTGCTCTGATTGGTTGCTTGTTGACCTTGACCCATCTTGTACTGAAAGGTTGGCGACGTTCAATATAGAAGCCAGTTATTTCAGATCCACCATCTTTGGATGGTTCAGTCCATGAAAGTCTGCATGAGTCTGCTGTGATCTCATCAACCTCCAGGCCATATGGAGCACCTGGTGGGTTAAATGGTAATTTAGCAGTGACAGACTCCTTCAGTTCAAATGGTTCACTGGTTCCAATCTTGTTCTCGGCAAAGATTCTGAAGTTATAGTCATGATCTTCAAGGAGATTCTTGACTTTCTCTTGTGTGGTTGATGCATGCACACTAGCTGCAAATGTCCATGTTGGTCGTTTTGCATCTCTCTTCTCAATGATGTAACCAGTAACCTTATGGCCACCATCATCTTCAGGTTCTGACCATGCTAATGTTACGGAATCTCTGTCAGTGTCCTTGATGTGCATGTTTCTTGGTGGAGCTGGTTTATCATTGATCTTCACTTCAAACACAGCACTGTCTTTACCATGTTTATTCTCAGCAACAATGCGATATTTGCCTGCATCCTTCTTAGTTGTGTCTTTCACTGTAAGAGTTGTATATGTGGCTCCCTTCTCAATGTAAGCCTTACTGGTTCTATCTAAGAGATGGTCATTTTGGTACCAGCTTAGCTCTGGGACTGGTATACCAGCAATCGTGACTGATAGAATGAGAGAGGACCCTGCCTTTACAGACTGTGGACCTTCTAATCTCCAATCAAATGTGATCTTTGGCTGTGTGTTGACCTCAACACTGGCGGTGGAGTCACAATGACCAAGTTGGTTGCGTGCCTCACATGTGTATTCACCAGAGTCATTAATCTCAGAGTCCAGGATAACAAGTATTGATTTACCATTGCTGTAGCTCATCTGATGTTTCTTTGACTTGTAAACTTCTCTGCTATTCTTGAACCATTGGACCTCTGCTTTGGGTTTACCAAGATCCATTGGGCACTCAAGAGTTATTGATTTAGGTGCAATGACTGAAACATCATTCATCTTGGCCTTGAGTTTGGGTGGGTCTCCAACAATGGGTTCTTTAGCTTTAACAGATTGTGCTACCTCAGCAGCTGGTCCAAATCCTCCTTTGTTTTCAGCACTTACTCTGAATTCATATTCCTCATTTTCTTGTAGACGTTTCACTGTGAATGAAGTTTCTGTGATACGATCATCAGATGCCTTGTTCCACTTGAAAGCTCCTTGTGCTCTGAACTCAACCATGTAACCAATAACTGGACTACCTCCATCACTCATTGGTGGGCTCCATGACAGTGATACAGATTTGCCTGTGATCTCAGTAATCTTAGGCTGACCTGGTCTTCCTGGTCTATCCCATGGATCTCTGGCAGTGAATGGAACAGATGGAGAACTTGGGTCACTCAAACCAACCTTATTTTCAGCAAATACTCTGACTTCATATTCTTTATCTTCAATCAGATCTGATAGCTTCAATTTAGTGTCAACAACATGTTCAGTGGTAGCTTTTACCCATCTCATGTTGGCAGATGTTCTGCGTTCAATGACATATCCAGTAACAGGGGTTCCTCCATCAGTGGATGGTGGTTGCCAGGATACTACACAAGAATCTTTGAATATCTCAGATATCTTTGGTGTAGATGGTGCAGATGGTAAACCATGTGGACTCTTAGCAACAATACCTTGGGATAGTTCAATAGCTTCACTTACTCCACACTCATTCTCAGCTAAGACTCTGAATATGTATGTCTGGCCTTCAGTAAGTTTGGAGGCAGTGCATTCGGTGTATGCTGTGGTCTCAACAGGGATGTAGGTCCTCTTGTAGGATTCACGTTTTTCAACAATGTAATGTCTTATTGGAGAACCACCATCATCACTAGGCTCTCTCCATTCAAGATTAATTGCACTTTCAGTTACTTTTGTAACACTAAGTCCACGTGGTGGTTGTGGTTTGTCAAGTACAATCACCTTCACATTGAGTTCCACCTTTCCTCCCTCATTTGAGAGTTTCAGTGTGTATTCTCCAGAGTCTGATCTCTCTACTCTTGAAAGTGTTAATGCTGTCATATTTCGGATTGTTTCAACCTTAATACGCCTTGCATCTGGCAGGGATCCACTGTTGAATTTCCAAGAGACCTTGGGCTGTGGGCTTCCGCTGAATGGTACCTCAATAACAGCTGATGTTCCAGACTTGAGCACCAGTTTCTCCTTGAATGATTCGTCAGTAAGCAGTCTTGGTTTGGCTTGAACTTTGAGTGTAGCTGTAGATTTCTTTGACTTGATGGCCACGGCATATTCTCCAACATCATCATCATCAACATCAGTGATTGTTAGTCTGTTGATCTTGCCATCAACCTCAATATGGTGCTTACCATCTCGTCTTACAGGGCGACCATCTTTGTACCATGTTAGTGCAATATCTGGCTTGGATAGCTCACATTCAAATGTAGCAGTGCCAGGTACTCTAGTCAGTGTGATGTCTTCTAGTTCCTTCTTGAACTCAATCAGCTCCTCATATCTTGCTAACATGGATGTTTGAGATGCATCACCAAGACCTGCTTTGTTTTGTGCAAGAACACGGAACTCATACTCGGTTTCATCTTTCAGGTTAGGAACACTGAATTCAGTACCAATAACTTTGGGTTCTACAGTACTCCAGCTTAAGTCTCCTGATTTCTTCATTTCAACTGCATAGTTGGTTATGGGACTTCTGCCATCATCATATGGAACAGTCCATTTGAGATTGGCAACACCTTTGGTGATGTCAACAGAAGGCCGTCCTGGGGCACCTGGTGGATCAAATGGATTCTGAGCCTTGAAAGCAACTGATTCTGATGATTTACCTGGTCCAGCTTCATTTTCAGCAATAACTCTGAACTCATATTCAGTATTCTCGCTAAGGTCAATGAGGTCGTGTGTCGTCTCCTTTATGGGGTATTTATTGAGCCTGGTCCAGCGTGTGCTGTATGACTGTCTCTTCTCAATAGTGTATCCCTTAATCTTAGAACCACCATCACTCTCTGGTTCACGCCATTTCAATGTGGCGGATGAATTTGTGATGTTTTCAGCTACAAGTTTCCTTGGTTCACTTGGTGCATCAAATGGTAATTTAGCAATTACTGGTTTCTCCAGTTCAGCAGGTTCACTTGATCCTACAGTATTCTCAGCAAACACTCTGAACACATAGCTGGTACCTTCGTTGAGTCTTTTGACAGTGACACTTGTTGATTCAACAGTCTTCACACTGGTCCATGTAGTACGGCTTGAATCTCGTTTTTCGACAACAAAGCCAGTTATAGGTGCTCCACCATCAGATTCTGGGGAATTCCATGAAAGACTCACTGAATCCTGTGTGGCTTCTGTAACCTTAAGGTCACTTGGTGGGGATGGTCTATCTCTTATTTTCACATCAAATTCAGCAGTGTCAGATCCAGCAGAATTTTCCACTGTGATCTTGAACACAGCACTATCTTTCTTGTCACAGTTTTTCAATGTGATGGTAGAGTATGAGTCAGATGAATCTATGTTCAATCTTGGTGTCTGGAGCATGGGTTTGTCGTTGATGTACCAGGATACCTTGGGTGTTGGTACTCCCTCAAAGTTGGTAGATAGAATCATTGATGCTCCTGCTTTGACAGTCATTTCTGTTTGTCTTGCATCAAACTCTAGCTTAGGTTTGATGTTTACTGTAAGTGTGGCAGATGTATCTACACGTCCTAGGGCATTAGCGACCTCACATCTGTAACGTCCCTTATCAATTGGTTCAGTGTCCTTGATCACTAATGAAGCAGTTTTTGCAGCATAATCTATCTCATATTTCTTACCACTATAGACTTCTCGAGCATCTTTGTACCAATGGATTTCAGATTTAGGTTTACCAAGTACAACACCACACTCGAGAGTGATTTCACCAGGTGCAACAACTGTTGTATCCTTCAATGGGGCAACAATCTCAGGTGGTTCACCAACAATGGGAGTCTTAGCTTTGATGGGTTGTGCACATTTAGCAGGTTCACCTCTACCAGCGATATTCTCAGCTGAAACTCTGAAATCATAAACCTCATCTTCTCTAAGACGTTTCACAGTGTATGATGTTCTTGTAGTGTCATCTGTGGCAGTGTTCCACTTAAAAGCACTCTGAGCTTTGAATTCCACCACATATGCGGTGACAGGGCTGCCTCCATCAGATGCTGGTGGACTCCAGTTCAATGTAACAGATGTGTCTGTTATTTCAGTAGGCTGAGGGGTTCCTGGTGCATCTGGGACTCCCCATGGGTCCTTGGCTATGAATGAAGGACAGGCTGGGCCTGGTTCACTACATCCTACTTTGTTCTCAGCAATGATGCGATATTCATATTGGTTTTCAGCATTTAGGTCTTTCATCTTGAGTTTATTATCAGTGACACGTTCAGATGTGACACGGACCCACCTATTACTGGCTGTAGACTTACGCTCAATGTAATAACCAATGATTGGAGTTCCTCCATCATTTGCAGGTGGTTGCCATGACAACTTGCATGATTTTGCGAAAATGTCACTGACAGTTGGAGCTGAAGGTGGTGAGGGAAGACCATGGGGGCTCCTGGCTGTAACTGCAGTGGCTAACTCGGTAAATTCACCTACACCACAGCTGTTCTCAGCTGCTACTCTGAACACATATGTACTACCTTCAATCAGTTTTTGGGCATTGCAAGAGCATGACATACTAGTTGCAACAGGTTGCCATGTTCTACGACTGGCTTCACGCTTCTCAATGATGTAATATGTGATGTCGCTACCACCATCATCCTTGGGTGTCTCCCAGGTCAGTTTGATGGAGTTTTCTGTCACATCACTTGTGTCCAGGTTTCTTGGGGCTGATGGTTTGTCTACAATCACAGAGGAAAATTATCAACATAATATTTATGAAACTTTAAGAAGTATAAAAAACATACATAAAACATAATATAAAAAAAGATTATCATGCAACTTTTCATCTCAGTTGGAAAAGCTTACTTTAATGTTGACAAAAGTTGAAGTTTGAGGTTCTATACTAATAGCTCTATAACTGATAATTGCATATTTATTTACCAAGTATAATGAGTTTCACAGAGAGAGTCACTGAGCCACTCTTATTAGCAAGAACCAGGCTAAGGGTGCCTTGGTCCTTCCTCTCAACACGGGCTAGGCTTATAGATGTCATGTTTCGGATGGTGTCCACCTTGAACCTACGAGTATCAGGGAGACTCGAGTCATTCCACTTCCAGGTTGCCTTGGGTTGAGGGCTGCCACTGAAGGGCACCTCAATGACAGCTGAGGCTCCTGCTTTCATTGTTAGTTTGTCCTTGAACTTGGAGTCAAGTTTGAACTCAGGAGCAGCTGAAGAAAAAATAGTTGATAAATAATAAATTAATTTTTCATATGAGAGTTATTTCTGATGAGGGTTTTGAACTACATTGTCTTAATTTGGTTATGAGGAAATAGTTCCTTGGACATTAGGTTCGTTTTACTTTTTTCTAGATGTGCAATAATGTTGCCCCTTGTATTTTCTAAGAAATGTTTATAATAATTGATATTACATAGAATACCTTCAATGTTGAGAGTAGCCTTGGATCTACTAGCTTTGGTAGCCACTTGGTATTCACCAACATCTTCTCCATCAGCATCATTCACCTTTAGTGTGTGTACAGCACCATCAACTGTGATGTCATACTTCTTATTAGGTGTAATCACAACACCATCCTTGTACCAGGTAACCGTGGCCTTAGATTTTGATACTTCACACACAAATGTTGCTGTGTTTGGTATAGATTTGAATGTTATGTCTTCAAGCTGTTTGGTGATTGTGACTTCCTCTTCTAAAAACACAAAATTAGATATTGTGAGAATGTGAGTTCATGTCAAGCTTATTCCAGTTAAAAATAGTTTTAATATGAAGTACACACAATACATTCATATTTGTTTGCTTTGTACATATACATTGAACACAACAGTAGCCTCTACTCTAGAATGACTAACACATTTAGAATATTAATTAAAGGTTGATCAAGTATATATGATCCACATGATTGTGATGTATAAGCATATGCACAAGTATGTATGATCCACATACTAAGTGAATATGTATTACATACCATATCTAGCAGTGATAGATGAGCCTGATGGTTCACCACGTCCTGCAGCATTCTCTGCTGAAACCCTAAAGGCATAGTCCTCCCCTTCTTCTAGACCAGTCACTGTGTACTGGCACTTGGCAACAGTCACATCTTGGTTGACAGGAGACCATCTAAAGTCATGCTCCTTCTTCATCTCAATGAAGTAGTTTGTGATCTTGGACCTGCCATCACTTATTGGTGGGGACCATTTCAGTTTAGCAGTGTCTGCACTCATCTCAACGTCAGGTTGTCCAGGAGGACCTGGTTTCTCTGCAAATTAATAAACCAAATATGAGAAAATGAAAGTCTAATCATTTTCTGAAAATTATGTTATTGAGAGTGTTTGGATACTGCAGCTCAAAATCAAGTTGTACTTGATAAATCAGGTAAAGATCTACCTGTATTTTTAATTTTCTGTTTGCTTAGCAAGAGGATTTTTATTAACAAGAGTAAATGATACAAATAAGTTCAAATAATCAAATGTTTCAAATAAATATTTTTGAAATTTCAGCACATACCATATGCAGCTCTTGCTTTAAAGCCAACTGTGTCAGAAGGTTTGCTAATTCCAGCCTCATTTTCAGCTAAGACACGGAACTCATATTCGTCTCCATGGACAAGGTCATCTATGTTATATGAACATCTGGTGACGAGAGCTTTGTTGAGGCGCACATACCGTGTGCTGTAGGCCTGTCTCTTCTCAATGATATAACCCTTGATAGGGGATCCACCATCCTTGGCTGGTTCCTCCCAAACAAGCTTAGCAGATTCCTTGGTCACATCCTTAGCTTCTAGGTTCCTTGGTGCACTTGGTTCATCAAATGGAAGCTTGGCGGTGGTTGGTGTAGATAGTTCTGCTGGTTCACTTGCACCAATAGAATTCTCAGCAAACACTCTGATAAAGTAATTATTGCCCTCCACTAGTCTACCAACTTTGAATTTCTTGGTCCTTGAGTCTACTGTGTCAACTGTGCTCCATGATGGTCTTGTGGAGTCACGTTTCTCAATGGAATATCCTGTGATATCTGCTCCACCATCTGATTCTGGCTCCTGCCATGTTACAGTGATTGAGGTCTTGTCTGTGTCAGTCACTTTCAGGTTCAATGGTTTAGATGGCTTGTCACGTACAAGTACATTAAACTCAGCCGAATCGCTGCCGACCTTGTTCTCTGCTAGAACCCTGTATTTACCAGTATTGTCCTTGGTTGTACCAGATACAGTCAGAGTTGAGAATGTGTCTGTTGTCTCGATATTCACCTTGTTTGACTGGGCAAGCTCCTTTCCATTAACAGACCATGTGACCTTTGCTGGGGGTAGGGCACTTATGTTCACTGATATAATCAATGAGTTGCCTGCCTTAATGGCTTGCTTTTCTTTAAGTCTAAGTTCATAGTCAATCTTAGGTGCTGCTTGGATGATCAATCTGGCTGTTGTATCAACAAGTCCTAGTGGGTTAGACGCCTCACATTTGTAGCTTGCAGCATCAGATGGTTCTGTATCATAGATGGTCAATGAAGCGGTTTTTGCAGAGTATGACATCTCATGTCGTCTACTCTTGTACACCTCTTTAGCATCTTTGAACCAGCGAATATCAGCCTTGGGTTTGCCAGAGTCGATTTCACATGTCATTGTTGCATCCTTAGGTGCACTGACACTGGTTTCTTTGAGAGGCGTGATGACTTTAGGTGGGTCTCCCTTGATGATTTCCTTAGCCTTAACAGGTTGAGCAGTGGCTGCAGGAGGACCTGTTCCAGCTTTGTTGACAGCCATAACTCTGAAGTCATAGAGCTTGTCTTCCTTTAGATCTTTTACAGTGAATGATCTCTCGTCTATTGTGTCTTTATGTGCTGCATTCCATGAGAATGCAGTTTGGCTCTTGTATTCTACCATGTAACCAGTGATAGGTGCACCACCATCATCATCAGGGGCACCCCATGTAAGGCTCACTGATGTATTGGTGATTTCCCCAACCTTAGGTGTGCCTGGTCTACCTGGTATATCCCATGGGTTCTTGGCTCTAAATTGTGGACATGGCTCACTAGGCTGACTCTGGCCAATCTTGTTCTCAGCAATGATTCTGAATTCATAATCGCTGCCTTCAATGAGATCTTTCACTTGGTAGGTCATATCAGTGATAAGTTCCTTTGAGATTTGAGTGAATCGCATACTCATGCCAGTGCGTCGCTCAATATGGTAGCCAATCACAGGGGTGCCTCCATCATCAGGTGATGGACCCCATGTAAGGGTGCATGATTTAGCTAGGACATCACTTACTCTTGGCGTACCTGGTGGCATTGGTACACCATGTGGACTCTTAGCTGTGACAGACTGAGATAGCTCCATAAATTCACCAACTCCTACCTCATTTCTAGCTGCTACACGGAATACATACTGACTGCCTTCGGTAAGATGTGTAGCTTTTGTCTCAGTTTTGGTTGTTTTCTCCACTTTGTTCCAGCTGCGACGGGATCCTTCTCTGTTTTCAAGGATGTAGTCTATGATCTTGGCACCACCATCATCAGAAGGTTCAGTCCATTTAAGACCAATACTTGTCTCATTCACACTCGTCACTTCAAAGTCCCTTGGAGCAGATGGTTTGTCCAATACCTGCACCTTGATGGTGATATCAACTGATGCAATCTTGTTGGTTAGTTTTAAGCCATACTTCCCGCCATCCTTCTTCTGGACTTTGGACATAGTAAGGGCAGTCATGTTCTTGATTGTTTCAGTACTGACTCTCTTAGTCTCAGCTAGGGATTTACCATTCAGTGTCCAGGCTACCTTAGGTTGAGGGGCTCCAGCAAATGGAATCTCAACAACCATTGATGAGCCAACTGTAAGGACAATGGTCTCCTTAAATTTCTCATCTAAGGTGTATGTTGGGGGAGCTACAATGTCCAAGGTGGCACTACATTTCTTATTCTTGTATATGATCATGTATTCAGCTACATCTTCTGGTTGGGAATCTTTCACAACTAATGATTGGTATTTTCCATTAGTTTCAATCTCATATTTCTTGCTTGGTCGTAGTTTCTCTCCATCTTTGAACCATTGTACTTCACAGTTAGCTTTGGAGAGTTCACATTCAAAGACAGCATCATTGGGAAGTGTCTTCAATGTAACATCTTCCAGTTTCTTAGTGAACTCAACTACCTCTTCTGAAAACAAAAGGCAAATGTTCAATAAGATGGTATCAAAGAATCAGATATACAGTCTCTAAAATTGTTATAAAAATCCTATTCACACAGGCTGGTATCGAAATATTTGTCCGCTGTGACGGAGCATGCTATTTTTCATAAAAACACTAAGAATACTTCACGATTTATTTTTTAACTCATATGTTTCGTTATACCATACAAAATTACTTACTCCATGCAATGGATATATCATTTGCGGGTAACTTTCACTTCTGTTTGAAGTCCAATTACGCTGGGAAGAAAAGCTATTGAAAATGGCGCCGGAGTATCATACTTCAAAATGTACCATTTCTTGTTTAACTTTCTAATGGCACGATATAGTGACACGATAATATTTACACATGGTTTCAGCATAACTATGAAGGTATGAATGAGATGTTGATGTATTTGGTCTTTTTAATTCTTTTATAAAAAATAATGTTTAATCTTTTTGTCCGCTTTGACGGAGCAGTTGCAAATGTGAACTGTGAAAATGCTCCGTCACAGCGGACAAAAAATATTAATATTATTTTTTATAAAAAAATTAAAAAGACCCAATGCATTAATATCTCATTAACACATTCAGAGTTATGCTGAAAACATATGTTAATATTATCGTGTCACTATATCATGCCATTAAAAAGTTAAAAAAGAAATGGTACATTCTAGAGTTTGATACTCTGTCGCCGTTTTCAATAGATTTTACTCCTAGCGTTATTGGACTTCAAACAGAAGTGAAGGTTACACGCAGATGATATATCCATTGCATGGAGTAAGTAATTATCTTTGATATAACGAAACATATGAGTTAAAAAATAAATCGTGAAGCATTCTTAGTGTTTTTTATGAAAAATAGCATGCTCCGTCACAGCGGACAAATATTTCGATACCAGCCTGTGATTCATGTATATTTATTATGTTTTCAGATTTCTGTTGGAAGATGATAGATGAAGTTCCCTCCACACACAGATGTCATTGGGATTTCTGACACATAATGGTAAGTTAATACATAAATTATATTACAATTGCAAATTCATCCTCCAAATGCAGGATTCAAGACAACCCTTACATGTATTTCAATTCATATGTTTTCATGAATGATTTTGCATGCTTTTAATACTAAACATAAGGAAGTTTTTATCAATATCAGCTTACCATATTTAGCAGTGGCAGATGAGGGTGAAGGTTGTCCAAAACCAGCCTTGTTTTCAGCGGTCACTCTGAATTCATACTCTGTGTCTTCCTTCAGGTTTTCCACTGTCCAGGATGTATTCTTACACTTTTTGTCAGGGTTGACTCCTGTCCAGCTTAGGCTGAATGCTTCCTTCATTTCAATACGATAGTTAAAGATGGGGCTGCGGCCATCATCTAGAGGTGCGCTCCAGGCCAACTCAGCTTGGCCCTTAGTTAGGGACACCTCGGGTCTTCCTGGTGGGCCAGGTTTCTCTGCAATGTGAAAATTAGTAATTGTTATTTCATCATTATTTTTTTTGTCCTCTAAAACAACTAGTTTATGAAACATTCTAATTTGAATAAACTTGAAGTACAAGTTTTGTATAAGGATTGCTAAGTGTTATGTTATATTTATGTAATTTAAAGAGATATCATGAAAAATCAGATGATATTGGATTAATTTCTTTTAGCTTTTCACATTCATGGATTATATATTACTAACATATTAATCGTAAGATGTTCCATTATATAGCTTACCGAATGGTGGTTTTGCAGTAAATGTGATAGTCTTGGCAGGTTGACTGATGCCAGCCTCATTCTCAGCCATTACTCTAAATTCATATTCCTCTCCATTGACCAGGTCATCAAGATAGAGCTCTGTGTTCTTCTCCAAATGACGGTTAACTCTCACCCATCTTGTACTGAAGGCTTGGCGCTTCTCAATGATGTAACCCTTGATCTTAGCTCCTCCATCTGAGGAAGGAGCTTTCCAGGTTAGAGTGGCTGAGTTCTTGTTGATGTCATTGGCAGTTAGGTCACGTGGTGGGCCTGGCTCATTGAATGGCAGTTTGACTATGGTGGCATCTTTAGTTTCTGCAGGTTCACTAGCTCCTATGGCATTTTCTGTGAACACTCTAATGTAATAACTGTTACCCTCGACTAGTTTGGGAACAGTAAAGGTGTGGACATTAGATTTAGTGTTGCCTACACCAGCCCATGTGTTTCTCTTGGCATCTCGTTTCTCGATAGCGTAACCAGTTATCTCAGAGCCACCATTGTCTTCAGGGGCTTCCCATTCTACTGTTATGGTTTCTTTAGTGACCTCAGTAACTTTAAGGTTAACTGGGGCACCAGGTTTATCTGTTACATTTACAGTGAATGTAGCTTCATCTACGCCAACTTTGTTCTCAGCAACCACTTTGTATTTACCAGCATTCTCTTTGGACATACCACGTACAGTTATACTAGTATAGGTGTCACTTGTATCAATCACGACGCTCTTAGATTTCTCTAGAGGGGTGTCGTTGAAGAACCAGGAAGCAGTTGGGGTTGGAATACCCTCAAAGTTAGCATGGAGCATAAGACTGGCTCCACCCTTGATGTTCTGGCTTTCTTGTGAAGGCTCATAGTCAATGATGGGCTCACAGTGAATGGTCAGTGAGCCAGTGGTGTCACATTTACCGATAGGATTCATTGCCTCGCATCTGTACTTGGCAGTGTCAGATGGCTCAGTGTCATTGATAATCAATGTAGCTGTACCATTTGCATACTCCATATCATACTTGCGACCTTTGTAGATCTCCTTGGCTTGTTTAAACCAGTGGATTTCAGCTTTGGGCTTGCCTAGATTTACATTGCATTCAAGTTTCACTGTATCAGGGCAAAGAGCTGTTGTGTCTTTGATGCCTCTGACTATCTTTGGTGGGTCACCCTTAATAATCTCCTTTGCCTTGACAGCTTGGGAGGACTCAGCAGGAGCACCTACACCAGCCTTGTTCTCTGCACTCACTCTGAACTCATACATCTGGTCTTCCTTGAGTTTCTTCACAGTGTATTCACAGTCAACTATATTCACCTCAGTAGCCTTGTTCCATTTGAAGGCACCTTGGGCACGGAATTCAACCACATAGTTGATAATGGGACTGCCTCCATCATTCTTTGGAGCTGTCCATGTGAGATGTGCAGTAGTGTTGGTAACATTGCTGATCTCAGGTACACCAGGGGGGCCTGGAATATCCCATGGGTCCTTGGCTACAAATTTAGCAGAAGGTTGACTTGGTTCACTGACACCAACCTTATTTTCAGCTATGATTCTGAAGTCATATTCAGTGTCCTTTCTTAGTTCAGTGGCTTCATAAGTAGTTGTCTTCACAAGCTCTCTGGATACCTTGATCCAGTGGATGCTCTTGGTTGAGCGACGTTCTATATGGTAGCCAATCACAGGGGTACCACCATCGTTAGCAGGGGGCTCCCATGATAATGAGCAGGATTTGCTTGTGATATCATTCACCTTAGGTGCTGATGGTGGGCTGGGCACACCATGTTTACTCTTGGCAGTAACAGACTGAGTTAGCTCGTTGAATTCTCCAACTCCTACAGAGTTTTCAGCCGCGACTCTGAAAACGTACTGCGTGCCTTCATTCAGCCTGCCAGCTGTGCTGTGTCTCTCAGAGGTGGTCTCTACAGACTGCCAGGAGCGTTTATAGGCCTCTCTGCTCTCAACGATGTAGTGCATGATGTCAGAGCCCCCGTCATGTTCAGGCTCCTCCCACTTCAGGCTCACCTGTGTTTCTGATACGTCAGTCACATTCAGGTTCTTAGGCATTGTGGGCTTGTCTGCAACAAATGAATAAACATGCAGCAAGGATAAAATACAGTTTACAAGATGGAATCCATTTAACCTCTTAATCCAGATTAAAATCCAAATCTATCAAGTGACAGCTCATTTTTATGACTTAATGTTCAACTGAGTTCTGCTGGAATCAATAAGGCAATAGATGCTTTGGTAGATCTTACCTTAGGTGTACTTTAACTTACCTAGTACAATGAGTTTGATTTCCAGTTTCACTGATCCATGTTCATTCTCAAGAGTACATGTGTACTTGCCAGCATCGGATCTCTCCACTCTGGCCATCCTTAGTGTGGTCATAGTCTTGATGGTGTCTGTGGTGAACCTTCTGGCATCTGGCAGTGCCTTGTCTTTGTATTTCCATGTCACCTAATAATAGACAGACATGCACTTAGAAATGCTACCAATGTACCAAGTTGATATAATTTGCTTGGTTAATGTGTTTGTATTCGTCAAATGATGCCCTTGAGCTACATGCAACAAAAGGAAGTCTTTAATATATCCACTTCATCCATAATTTCAAAAAAGTCAAAGAGAGCATAAATATTTAACCTTAACAACAAAACTATCAATCCCTTCATAACCATGCACTCATGTTTAAAATGATAAAATTAGCAACACTGTTTTGGTAAAACTACATTTGTTTCACTTTTTACTGATGGGGTTATAAATCCATATTTGTAAAATATTGCTTGTAAATTTCCTCCATTTTATATGATGTTTTCATACTGTAACATGGCATGGAGGTTTATAACATATGCATTGAGTGTAATAGCAAGTATGCAAATGGATGTTACCTTTGGTTCTGGACTGGCAGCATATGGTATTTCAATAACAGTAGAAGCTCCAGCCTTCAGAGTAATCTTCTCCTTAAACTTCTTGTCAGTAAGGAACTTAGGAGCAGCTGCAAATATCACATGGTCATTTGACATAGCTCTATAGAGACATTGAGGGTATATACAGGAATGAATTCCTACCGCCTTCAAATTGATATCTGACAAAATGCACATTAATATTCATGTATGATCTCATTGCATAGGCCCCATTTATGCCAGGTGTCATAAATCTATTTTTAATCCTTAAATATTGGTATTATTGGGCAATTTTATGATATATTAGGTACAATCCCTTGCCATTTAGCATTCCAGTTTCCCAGTAGGAATCTCATAATATTTAAGAAGTAAATCAAGCCAAATCAGATCAATAAGGAGAAATTAATTTAGTAAAACATAGAAAAATACTTTTCACAATAAAATTATTGTGAACAGTACCATACCTTTGATGTCCAGCTTAGCATCAGATTGTTTCTCCTTCACTTTAACAGTGTACTCTGCAATGTCATCCACATCCACATTTGGTATAGTTAGTGTATGGACACGTCCATCCATAGAGGCCTCTGGCTTGTCTGTCCTCTTCAGAGGCTTGCCATTCTTCAACCATTGTACTGGTACATTGGCCTTGGATAGCTCGCAAGTAAAGGTAGCGTCTGCTGGTAGCTCCTTCAGCGAAATGTTTTCTAGTGGTTTCACTATGTTGATGATCTCCTCTGTAAACATAGAGAGAAGTAGTTTAGTGGGGAGTTCTTTGGTGTCTGGGGGTTCTTATAATATTGGGCTATGATCAAGGAAAGTGTTCACATTGAGAGGTAATCACTCAAGAAGTTCCGATAAAATGGGAGTCAAAATTGTGGAAAAGCGAAAAAGGTGTTCACTTCAGAGAGGTCTTCACATATACAGGTTTTACTGTACACTTTATAAGCACGTTAGGAGATCATAACCTCCAGCAACATGTTCAAAACCTGTTCTGATCGTGATGTCATGATTGGCACTTGACATTATGTTCCCGATTTTGAACATCAAATTTCACATTTATAGAAAGATTTACAAGAACGGTACATGGTTTGACTTGTAAGTGGTGTTCACTTCATTTAAAACATGTATAAACTGAATTTTGACCCCATGAGCATCGCACAGACACTTTAAATAGTATGTGAAAACTTGAAAGTGATTCAAAGATGAAGAAAATTATATATTGGGAGAAGTTGAAAAGGCAGGTAAATAATTAGATTTTAATAGCACAGTAGACAGAATTAAATGGCTGCAGAGCCAAATCATAACATTGTAAAAGATTCTTTACAAAAGAGTGCAGCAAAAAGCAAAGTGCATAGAAACATATTACCTTTTGATTTTGACAGTGAAGAATGAACCATCAAAAAAGAAAAATAATTAACTGCATCATTTGAGGATAACAACCCAAGAAAAACTATTCATTTTGAAAAATGATACAACTAGTGGCCTCTTATAAGTTTCAAACAACATTGAATGTTCTAAGTTTCTCTGTTGATGGTTTGAAGGTTTTGTGCGAGATTATCTTAAATATCAGAGTTGATGAGTTGTTATTTGGTGATTTGTTTAGTCAGGCTCACATCTATGTCAGTCAGTTAGAGGCACTTAAGGTGAACACTTCCATTGTACTTTTATGATTTATTGCAATTTCAATATATTCCCTAAATGTAAACCCTGTGAAATAATTCCTGGACATATACATGTACATTCAATATATCTTGTTATACACATTGTGTTTTCAGGACAGTGTGTGTACAATATCTGCCAAATGAAAGCTACATAAAGATAATGATGGTGAATGAACAGCACAATGTGATGATTCTGCCAAAAAGCTGAATGAAGACATATGATAAAGTCCCAAAAAGTGATAATGGTGCAGAAGGCACAAAACACACAATGTGAGTAAAATTCTTTGTAGATTCAATATGCTTTATTAGGGATAGTATCTAATTACAAACAGTCATGGAAAATGAGGTTAATTTCATTATGGTTTGACCCCCCTCCCCTCATCTAACGAAACTTTAAAATGTTGATTTGTCTTCACTTGAATTTTTAAAAATTACATTATTTGCAAATGAAACCATCATTTACACCCTCCCCCTTACTAAACTACCTTTGTTATTCCATAACTGTTGATAATTGATTATAGTACTGGTAAAAAGACAATACTGCACGGTTAAAAGCAAAATATACCATTTCAATTCACTCAGAAATATGGAATTCCCAAGTTCAGAAGGGTACATTTTGATTTTATTTCAATAAGCTTTAATGCAATAGTTCTTGCATCAAGTCTGTAGTCCCCCTATCTCTTGTGGAGAAGTGAGGGGGCAACAAAACTTGAAGCAATACAACACATATCAGTAAAGCTGCAATACAATGTATATTTTAATTAATACATAAGCTGGTGCTCTATAGTAGTTTTCTTGAATCTCATCTAAACTTTGGGGATTCCATATTTGGGGTCTCCATGTTAGAAATCAAAAGCTCTGCAGTTCTCAACTCTATACCCAATACCAAGAGAGAATGAAGTATATAGTACGAGAAATAGAGTTGGGAATGGAAAAACACACATCAGTATCACACAGCAAAAACAAGATGGCGTATAACAAGCCACCCATATATGTGTTGATGTAAGCACCTTCTCCTGAACCAGGAACACCAGCTATGCCCCATATTCTGCAGTCAAGTCGAACTGTATCTCCCTCACGCACCTCAATAGCATCGGGTAGGGGTACAATGAAATAGGGAGCAAATCGTATGCGACAGTCAAGCTGTAGGTTTTGCCCTTCATGGAGCTCTATCCATTCTGGAAGTTGCTTTATGAATCGGGGAGCTGGAAAGTTGGGTTGCGACAGAGTGTTAAAGTTGCTTCGTCTCAAATACAGAGGTTTTGATATACAGAAAGAGATAAACAGAGGTATACAGAGATAGATGTAATTGATATACAGAGGTAAATATGACATTACAAAGGTAGATCTAAGGAAAGATTGGTCTGACATGCCACACAAATATCCCAAATGTAAAAGGTTCACTACTAATGGACAAAGCACATATTCCAATTTGTTGGCTTTACCAGATATTCAAGTATTTGAGAGATCTACCAAAGTAATATAATGCCAAATTAAGAGAAAAGACTACCAATAATGCTGATGTAGCAAATTGTAATACAACTGAACAAGATGTAAAGAATTTCATGGGAATGTTAAATTACAAAATGTTGTCAAATTCAAACATCATTGTTGGTAGCTGGTATTCATTGTAAGCAGACATAAGCATAATAGTAATTACATAGAAAGAGAAAAACTAAACAGAAAAAGTAAAGTCATTTGTAAAAGAAAAGGTTAAAATAAATGCAGATATAAACAAAAATATTAACAGAGTTGAAAGCTTAAAATGTAATATAAAGGATAATGTTTCTGGGCTCATCAGCCAAAATTATGTTTCCATGGACAACTGTATCTCACAAATAAGGCAGTTTGGCATATGAAACGCAGTTCTTATTACAAGAGTTGAATAGTTAAGCAAGAAAAGCAAGGTATTAATTATCACCCTCTTCCTTCCCTTCCACTGACTAAATTGTGCCAGATTCTATTTGTGAGTTTTATGTAACAGCTGGATAAGGCTTCTATTCAACCTTTATAACTCAAACTACTGGAAAGGTTATGTCCTAATGGATCATGTGAATAACAGATATCCGCTCAAAGAACATCCTTACTAATATTCTAAATAAAACTGATGGGTTGTGGGCTTTTTCTATCCATTCAATGGACTAATTCAATTGATCTAAGATTAAGGAATTTTTATTCCCCCAAATGGGGATATGCCACTTGCAAACTTCATTCAAATTGTTAGTTGTTTAGTTGTTCAAAACATCATACGATGATTATTTGAGTATTTGGTCAATGAAACTACAGTATAATTCCAGTACTGGAAAAAGAAGAAGGAAAACTCATGGAATGTATGAAAATATATGTTGAAATTATTAATCTTGCCTATTTATCTTAATTTAAAAGATTAAGTGAAAATGTTAAGATACTTAGAGTGGGTATTTGGAAATGAGCATTACATCTTGACTGAGGATCCAGTTAAGCTCTTTATCAAACCTGAGTATGCCTAATTTTGCTGGATTTGCCAAAGGTGGTGATATTAGAAAGGATGTTTTTTAGATTAGACCTGAAGCTTCCATGGTAGGAACATGATCATTATCCCCAGTTCACAGTTTCAGCTTAGAACTGACAAAATTAACATCTCTAACTGGATATGTAATCAGGCAGAATGGTTTAAAACACATTAACCTTGCCATTCAAACATACTGCAGGAAACCCTAAATAAAGTAAACATCAGCTATATTCTGAAAAGGCAACCAGGTATTTCATGAATTTACAGAGGTGGGTTTAAAATGAGACCAATACTTACGGTACTTGAAGAGTTCTGATGGTTGCGATGGCTCTCCGAGGCCGGCCTTGTTCTCGGCCGTTACGCGGAATTCGTAATCCACGCCCTCTTTTAGCCCTCCCACCAAGAAATTTGTACCAGGGATCCTCTCGTCCATATTCACTGGCATCCATTTGAAATCGCCAGAACGACGCATTTCAAGTCTGAAATTTGTGATCTTAGCGCCACCGTCATCTTGGGGTGGTGTCCAGGTAACATTTGCGGTGTCTTTGTCAATAGATACGACAGGTCTACCAGGTTGACCGGGTTTATCTGAAATATTACACACATATACTTACGCACTATTACAAACCTGATCCTCATGAATACATGCAGAGTTGAGCTCTCATAGTTAATCCAAAATCATAATCCAGAAGTTTGTGTTGTTAATCCAAATAATTATGTGCTTTGCCTGACTAGATTTCTTTCAAAGTAAGAATTTTATACTTCTTGCGAAAATTTATAACTAATCCATTGGAAATGGAGATCTCATTTACTTGACTGCAATATCTACTCCAATATGTGATTATTATTTAATCCAAATCTGATCCAAGATAAATAATTCGAAATGATAAAGATCTCTGGTGTGTTATCTATGGCAGTGCCACTGAAGGTGAGATGGTACTAAAGAAATAATCTGACTCAGGTATAGTCTACACCAGAGTGCAAGGTGAAGCTGCTCTGGACTTAAAATAGACTAGGAAATACTGTATTGAAATAGGGATTTAGGTCAAATGTAATGGTTTTTGGTTTTGACTTTTACATATCTAATTTACAGGTATATCATGGAATTTCATTTGTTATATGCATATTAAAATCAAAGCAGCTGGCTTATATTTATCATATTTCATTGCTTTTGGTTTATAGGGACCTGATTATTTTTGATTTCTAACACTTTCTTTTGCTCTCTAATTATATTCTCTAGTAATAAAAGACATTGTGGAATCATTTCTTTCATCTACCGTGATGGTACCAACAAGATAACACCAACAATGGAACATATTGTGGGTGCCTGCCAGTCTAAACAATACCAAGTACTAATTACCTCTGCATTACATATGGGCTCACTTCATCAAAATCTTCATGAAAAACACATTTCTAATTTGAATATTCCATATTTGTAGGGTGAGGTAATAAAATCTGTATGGAAAAAGTGATGGTTAAGCTAAGTTCTGATTTAGGAGTGACTTTAAAAGGTGAACGTGTATTTATAGTGTTAGGTAATGTAATACGCTCATTACAGGTTAAAGCAAATACAGTTCAACACGTATTATCAAGTCTTTTTAAAGCAGGCAAAAAATAAACAATACAATTGAGGCTAACAATTATTCCACGGAATGACGTAATTTCACTTTGAAGTTCATTTATACTACAAGATAATATAAAGACTTCTAAACTTGAAATCATATGTAAAGATTTAGAAGGATTAAAGACAGGCAGGATGGGTGTAAACCAGGTCTGTTTATCAGTTAAACAGTAAACCTCCTCATAATAACCTTTCCTTCCCAAACCTTCAGGTATGCAATTATTCCCAGTGGCTATACACCTATAGAGATATCCAGATAGCATTACAGACATCTTCTGACAAGCAAACGTAATTAACTAGAGGCAAATTACTATTTTACACTTCAGACACTGATGTATGTCAATCATTATAGAAAACGTAAAATACTCTTGAGTTCCCTTTTTGGTCCATTGAGAGATAATCTGGTTCTATGAAGAGATAAAATCTACTTGAAAACCAAGAGTTACTGATAACACCAGTCATTTAGTTTAGGCTGATATCTTGATCATGTTTCTTATTAGAAAATATGATGTGTCCATCATAAAATCAATTTGTTGCTATGAAGTCCAAGTCCAACTTTACCAATCAATTTCATTGTTGGATGGGGAGGGAAGGGTGTGGGTTGTAAAATGCTGTTTCTTTGCTTTGTAGATTTTCATTTTGATTGCTTGTGGCTTGTTTTCTTAGAACTGGCAGTACTCTTAAATATTCCTTTTCTAACTGCGTATTCAATGTTTTTGGTAATTCCCCTTTTAACACTTTTGCTCATATATTCATAAGCCACAGTCTGAAGGACTTTAAGCTGTTGAGGTCATGGATAGAAATACCAACCTAATTACCTTGCTTGTTTCTGATCTGTTATGAAGAATTTGGCCGTAAAGTAAAGGTTAGTTACCTATTAAACAACAATCCCATTCCCAGAACTAATTACCAATAAGCCAACAGGGCTAAATAAAATGTTCCAAATTCCAAGACGTCATGAATGTAGAGAAATTGCTTTCCTGAGGTGAACACCTAATCTACATGTAGAAACAGAAGGTAAAATGGTTCAATAATGTGAATGTTTTTGTAAAGGTACTTTTTTCTTCCCTGTTGCAAAAAATCAGATTTTTTAAGAAACAGCTGTCAGGTTATTTTCCTACTTTTATTTATGTTTACAAGAGAAAACACCTAAATTGCCAAGCCACATCTCAGTAACTTTTAGCTGTTCAAATCAATTTTATATTTACGAGCAACTTGAACCAATTCTTTGGTCTGGTATTTCTATCTGGGTCTTTCACCAATGCGATTACTTTTGAATTAACAACACAAACCAATGCAGAATTCTATGAAAACAGCGATGTTTTTGTAATATATACACATTTATGTAACATCAACTAGAATTTTACCAGAAGTATCAAATACAACAAATTATTTTTTCCTCAAAATATCTAAGACTGCTCAATTTTCAAAAATAATATAAGGTAACCAAAACAGTTTAAAAATAATTGAAAGATTTATGTTATAAATCAAGGTACAGTCCTAAATTCAGCAAATTACAAAATTTCCATTTCAATAATAAAATTCTCATCTCATCAAGTATAACAAAGTGTATATTTCACTGTACATACCATATGGGTTCTTTGCTTTGAAGGAGACTGACTCAGAGGCAGGGCTGATTCCAGCATCATTCTCGGCCAGTACTCTGAACTCGTAGTTCTCCCCTTCATACAGGTCAGTTAGGGTGTACAATGTCTGCACCTCTAAGCTCTTGTTGACGCGACTCCAGCGTGTGCTCTTGGCTTGACGCTTCTCGATGATGTAGCCACGTATCTTTGCACCTCCATCTCTTTCTGGTGCCTTCCAGGATAGTGTGGCAGACTCTCTGGTGATGTTCTCTGCCTTCAGGTTCCTGGGAGCAGAAGGTGGGTCTGGAATGAAAAACATACAATAATGACTACTATATGTCTCACAGAAACAATTCTGAACATATCCATCTTAAACTGAAAATCAGAATGACAATATTACATTATATTATTGAATAATTCAAATTGATCAAAAGATATATACAACTGTACATGTACTTACCAAATGGTAATTTGGCTGTAACTGGTTCCTTGAGCTCAGCAGGTTCACTGGCTCCTACCACATTCTCAGCAAATACTCTGATAAAGTACTGGTTGCCTTCAGTCAGCTTAGACACCTTTGCTGTCAATGTTCTGGCATCCACAGTGGACACATGAGTCCATGTGGTTCGTTTGGCATCACGCTTTTCAATGGCATACCCAGTGATTTCTGATCCACCATCAGATTTTGGTTTTTCCCATGAGACAGTGATGGATTCTTTCTTGGTGTCCTCAACAATGAGATTCTGTGGTGGAGTTGGTCTGTCTTGTACTGTGATGTCAAATTCAGCATCAGCACTGCCAGCTGGGTTCTCTGCTACAATCTTGAACTTGCCAGAGAAGTCACTGCTGACTCCCTTGACAGTTAATGTAGAGTAAGAATCTGCTGTTTCTATGGTGACTGCTTTGACACTTTTGATTGGTTCATCATTGAGGGTCCAGATGACCTTTGGTGCTGGAATGCCCTCTATGTTTACATTGAGAATGAGGCTGGTACCTCCTTTAATGGTCTTTGGTTTCTGTTTAGTATCATAGTCTAAGACAGGTGGTGTTTGGACAGTCAGCTTACATGATGACTCTACTCTACCTAATGGATTACTAGCCTCCATACGGTACTTAGCAGCATCATTTGGCTCAGTGTTCTTGACTACCAACGTTGCAACCTCATCAGCATAGCTGATCTCATATTTGCGACCTTTGTAGATTTCCTTGTTCTCCTTGAACCACTTGATCTCAGCTGGGGGTTTACCAATGTCCACATCACATTCAAGGACAGCTTCATTAGTTGCTATAACTGTCACACTGTCAAGTCCTTGCAAGATCTTGGGGCGAGTTCCAACTGAAAAAATATAGTATAACAGATTTTGAGTGACTTGTAAGACTACAATAACACAACAGTACTGTATATATATTCATAATGATGGTGATGAAAGCTTAGATATTTGCTGTGTCAGCCTCATTATGATTTTGGACTTACCAATTGGCTCCTTAGCCTTAATGGGTTGTGCAGTCTCAGCAGATGGTCCAACACCAGCCTTGTTCTCAGCACTCACTCTGAACTCATATAGCTCATCCTCCTTGAGTCTTTTCACAGTATATTTTGTGTCATCAATGGTATCAGTGGTAGCTTGCTTCCACTTGAAGGCTCCCTGGGCACGGTATTCCACGATGTAATTAAACACAGGGCTTCCTCCGTCATCTTCTGGGGCTGTCCATGTGAGTTCCATGGATGTGTTCTTGATTGTGCCTACTTTTGGTTCACCAGGTGCTCCAGGTTTGTCTGTGGAGTATATCATTCTCATTATTGCATTGATCTTAATCTTATAAGCAGACAGAGTTTGTTGAGGATCATATTAGTATTTATATACATTTATACAAATATATATTCAGTCAATAAATAACAACGTTTACCCAATTGATAACTTAAAATCATATTTAAGTTTTATAGGTGTAAAACTCCTAGAGCTCGATATTCAACACATATACACTTACCCCATGGGTCTTTAGCAGTGAATGATTCAGATGGTTTGCTTGGTTCACTAGGGCCGACCTTATTCTCAGCTGTAATTCTGAACTGATAGTCTGAGCCCTTTGACAGGTCATTACATCTGAAGGTTGTTTCATATACCAGGTCTTTGCTGATACGGATCCACCTTGTGCTGCTTGTTAAATGGCGTTCAATGTGGTAACCAAGAATGGGGGCGCCACCATCGTTCAATGGTGGTTGCCAGGTCACAACACATGTTTTGGCTGTGATGTCATCAACAACTGGGGTCTGAGGAGGATCGGGTACAACTAGAATAACAAATTATTAATTATTTAGAAAATTAAACTTTTCCTATAAATGGTATCACAGATGAGTGATTGTTTGAACCCATGACTAGACAACCCTACTAGAGAAATCAGGACAATAATTATGTACATCCATATGCCCAACACCACAATACAATACTCATAATTGACCATACTATAATTCTAAAGATGCTTACCACACTTGCTTTTGGGTGCAATGCCCTGTGAGAGCTCCACTGGTTCTCCTAGTCCTATCTTATTCTCAGCCATAACTCTGAATACATAGTTAGTTCCCTCAGTGAGTCCAGTAGCAGTCACCTTACAGGTCTCTGTTGAGTCACATTCCTGCCAGCTACGACGTAGGGCATCACGTTTCTCGATAACATACCCTGTGATGTCACTTCCACCATCATCAGCAGGTTCGGTCCACTTAAGACTCACTTCTGTTTCGTTGGTGTCAGACACAGTGAGATTTCTAGGTGCACTTGGTTTATCAAGAACAGTCACTTTGACAGTGATGTTTATCTTGCCAAGATCATTCTCAATGTTAAGGGTGTATTTACCAGAGTCGGATCTAACAACATGTGCCATGGTCATTGAGGTCATATTCACAATAGAGTCAGTCTTGAAGCGTTTGGCATCAGGTAGAGATGAGCCATTGAACTTCCATGTTATCTTGGGTTGTGGACTGGCATAGAATGGAGCTTCTATGACATGGGATGAACCAGCTTTCAATGTAATCTTATCAGACCAGCCTTCTCCCAATGCAAACTCAGGTGCAGCTGAAAGTGTAGCGAATACAAAATATATACATAAGTCATGTGCTTGCTGGTAAAGGAAATTCCACTAATTAATCTAATCTGGCAATGAATTGGAATAATATTCCAAGGGTTTTACAAAACGTTTATGAGTTAGAAATATTCAGATTGCTTAATCAAAATGCAACAGGATAATCTTCATTGGTCAATGATCAGTAAATCTTATCATGGACCAGCCTATAACTCAGCATGTATTGGCCTTATAATTGACAATCAACAGAAAATTCAAATTTAACAACTTTTACTATACTTTAATGACACAGAAATGATATAAATACTTACCTCTAACAGAGAGTTTTCCAGTTGTGGTTAAGTTCCTATAGGTGGCAGTGTATTTGCCTTCATCAGCTTCACACACGTTCTTCACCAGCAATTTATGCACAGTACCTTCTTCGATAATCTCAAACTTCTCACCAACTCTGATTGTGCGGCCATCTTTAAGCCACTCAACACTCACATTGGGTTTTGATAGTTCACATTCTAAGGTGACAGTCTGTGGGAGCTTGGTGATCTTCTGGTCACTTAACTCTTTGATAAAGGACACTTGGTCAACTAAAATGGAAGAATGATAATCATCAGAAACATTGAGGTTCCAAGTAGTCCAATGAAAATCAGCCATTTTGCTGTTCTTTTGAGCTAAATCAACAGCTTCAGTTTTTCAAATGAATAGGGAGTAATGATGTTTTCAAGTTTTCATTGCAAACTGAGAAACTACTGATATTACCTTTCATATATAATATACTAATACTCACCATATTTGACAGGCTCGGAGGGTCTCGATGGTTCTCCATATCCAGCCTTGTTCTCAGCAGTGACTCTAAACTCATATTCTGTCTCTTCTTTGACTCCTTTCATTGTGTAGTCAGTAGAGAGCACAGTATCATCAACATTCAGAACCTTCCACTTGTATTCCCCTTGGATCTTAACCTCAATTCGGTAGTTTGTGATTCGTGCACCTCCATCATCTTCTGGTGCAGTCCATGTCACTTCACAGGAGTCCTTGGTGATCTTGGCCTCTGGTCTACCAGGCTGTCCTGGGGCTTCTGTCAAGCATAAGAAAATTGCAAGATGAATACTTGTAGAAATCATAAGTGAGATTTAGGACTGTCATAAAATTCCACAGAGCAACTTGTAATAATTATGGTAATAGTACTATTGATTTAAAAATATTCAATATAAACCCTACTGGTCTGAAAACATAGTAATATTCAATTTAGTAACTAACCATATGGGTCTTTAGCCTTGAAGCTGACAGAGTTTGAAAATGGACTAAGTCCTGCCTCATTCTCTGCTAGCACTCTGAATTCATACTCTTCCCCTTCCATTAGGTCCTTAGTGGAGAATGAGAGCTCCTTGCAGCCAGTCTTGGTGGCCTTTGTCCAGCGTGTGCTCTTGGAGACTCTCTTCTCTAGGATGTAGCCAGTGATAGGAGAACCTCCATCACTCTTTGGTGGTTCCCAATCAAGATCAACTGAGGTCTTGGTCAGGTTGGAGAACTTAAGGTTACGTGGTGCCTCTGGTTCACCTGGGATAACATGGATTGAATATTTATTTGAATGTTTGATGATTGAAACAAGATTGCATCCATCTTTTTGGAAAGGATGCTTTATTCTTATGAAGAATCTTAATTGAAAGCATAGAACTTTATATTTGTATGTGTGAGGTTGTAAACACAAATTGATATAAATATATACAAGTATGCATTGTTCATAAAAAACTTATAAATAATATATTTTTGTATCACATCGCTCATGAAATCTACTCACCAAATGGCAGTTTAGCTGTGACTGGCTCAGTGAGTTCTGCGGGTTCACTTGCACCAATAGCATTTTCAGCAAACACTCTAATAAGGTATTGGTTGTTCTCTTGCAGGCGTCCAACTCTGAACTCCATAGTTCCAGCACCAGTCGTGCCAGCATTGGTCCACATTGTGCGCTTTGCGTCACGTCGTTCGATGGCGTAACCAGTTATCTCTGCACCGCCATCAGATTCAGGAGCTTGCCAGGCAACAGTGATGCTGTCTTTGCTAGTGGATGTCACTTGTAGGTTCAATGGAGGTGATGGTTTGTCTGAAGATAAGTATTTATTATTATATTGATATAAGGTTTTCTATAATAGAGTTCACTTGGAATATCAGTAATAACATTGATATTAATGTATGGTATTAACAGTATTATGATTGAACTGATAAAAGCATAGTATGCATAATAAAACATTTCTAATATGGTCTACTCTAGCATAAAGATATAGAGATTGAAGTTATCCATGTCCCTCAGTGCCTCAATTTATTGACTTCATGACCATATTCTGCTTCACTAATAACCATTGTGACAAACTTACCTCTAATCAAGACATCAAACTCAGCATTGGCCACACCAGCCTTGTTTTCAGCAATCAGCTTGTAGGTGCCTGCATTATCTTTGTTACAGTTCTTGATGGTAACAGTTGTATAGGTGTCTGTTGTCTCGACCACTGCGGAAGAGTCTAAGTCAACTTCATTGAAGGTCCATGTTACTTTGGGTGCTGGAGTGCCAGTCATGTTCACAGTGATGACCATTGTCTGGCCTCCCTTAAGGTTCTGTTTCTCAAGTTTCATGTCATAGTCCAACACTGGTGGAGCTGTAGAAATACATTATCATGGTGGTTAACTTACTATTACTACTAAAAGAATATAAAATATAGTTACACTCTACTTCTAATGATTTCTTAAATCTTAATTAACACACAATGAAGTCTTCACATCTTTAACATTACATGTACTCAATTCTATTTTTATATCTTATTGCTGAATAATCAATGACAACATCAAATGTACAAAATGTTCTCATGTTTCTAAACCTTTCAATGAAATATCATGGTTCAATATTGTATCAGGTTCAGTTCAATGGATTGCATTTATCTTATTAGGTGTTCCATTTTTCCCAAATGTTTCTACTCATGTTTTTTAACTTACTGTATACATGCAGGCGTCCAGTTGTCTCCACTCTGCCTAGTGGGTTAGCAACCTCACATCTGTACTTTGCTGCATCATTTGGTTCAGTCTCCTTGACCACAAGAGTAGCAATCTCACCCTCAAAGTCCATCTCATATTTACGTCCCTTGTAGATCTCCTTTGATCCCTTGAACCACTTGATCTCAGCTGTGGGTTTGCCAAGGTCAACATCACATTCAAGGATGGCTTCGTTGGGTGCAACGACTGTAACCTCATCCAATGGAGCAAGTAGTTTAGGCTTGTGGCCAACTGCAAAAATAATAGTTAAGTTACATGCTAAATACAGTTAAGTTAGATGCTACTCATGTATCACTTACTGAACAGTGAAATAATACATGTAGATGCAGGATGTTGTTAAAAGTAACTTAGATGATGAAGTAACAAAAAATACAGAAGTTGACCCTTTTTCATTCTCATATACATCAAAGAATATTACATGATGACTAAATTAAACCTAGCTGCATGTGTCTCCAAGGGCAAGTTTACTCACCAATGGGTTCCTTGACCTTGACTGGTTGTTGTGTCTGGGAGCTAGGTCCAACACCTGCCTTATTCTCTGCACTCACTCTGAATTCATACAGCTGGTCTTCTTTCAGTTTCTTCACAGTGAATGTAGTATCAGAGATGTCAGTTAGAACCTAAAGTAGAAACATAAATAGTAAAGCTCAATATATGTGTTATCCTTTTTACTTTACACTTCATAATGGATCTCTCTTAACATTTTATAAAATGACACTGAAATGAGAGTTACTCCATAGAGTACTCTACCAGCTTATATTGTAAAAAATATAATTAATGTGTAAACCCAAAAGGTATTTTAAAGACATCATGCTGAACTTACCTTTGTCCATTTAAAACCCTCTTGCATCTTGTATTCTACAACATAGTTGAATACAGGGCTACCTCCGTCATCCTCTGGGGGACTCCAGCTCAGCTCTGCAGAGGTGTTGGTTAGAGCAACTATCTTGGGGGTGCCAGGTGCACCAGGCTTATCTGGAAGACAATGATCAACATTAGATACACTCGGTATATTCATGTTTATCGTTGAAATGTAGAAAGGAAAGGAAAAGGCCATTGCTCCCCTTGGTGCCTCTCCCCTCTAAGGAAGAGCATCAAATATTTCAGAAAAATTGCAAATTAATGCATGTAAAGATGAAAAATCCTTCATTAAATTACTCAAGTAACTCTTCACTTACCAAATGGATCTTTAGCAGTGAATGGCTTGGAAGGTGGGCTTGGTTTACTCTGCCCAATCTTATTGACAGCAGATACTCTGAACTCATATTCTTGTCCCTCTGAGAGGTCCTTGCTGGTGAATGTCAATTCAGGGATAGGTTCCCTGGACATGTGGATCCATCTCTGACTGGAGGTGAGACGTCTCTCGAGCAAATAACCAAGGACAGGGCTTCCACCATCATTTGCTGGTGGTTGGTATGTAACTTTGCAAGACTCTTTGAAGATATCAGTAACTTCAGGAGCTTCAGGTGCATCAGGAACAACTGCAATATATGATGTGTAATATTAAATAACTGAGGTAATTGTGTCATTTTGCAGACTTGGTTTAATATGTGGTTATCCTTATTAGTTATATATATAGACTCTGACAAAGACGGAAATAATAGATAACTTACCATGGCTGCTCTTAGGTACAACAGGAGCATCCAGTTCGACAAACTCTCCCATGCCACATTTGTTCTGTGCAGCTACGTGGAACATGTATTGGGTTCCCTCAGTGAGACGATCCGCGACGATACTCAACTCACTAACAGTTTCCAATGGTTGCCACGAGCGACGCAATGCTTCACGTTTTTCAACGACGTAACCTGTGATATCACAGCCTCCATCATCGTCAGGCTCTGTCCATTTCAAAGACACTGATGTCTCCTCAGTGCTTGTAATCTTCAAGTTTTTGGGTGGACCTGGTTTATCAAGTACCAGGACTTTGATGGTGATTGTTGTCTTGCCAATACTGTTCTCAAGAGTACATGTGTACCTACCAGCGTCATGTTTCTCAGCACGTGATAGAGTAAATGACGTCATACCCTTAATCGTTTCTACCTTCATACGACGTTTATCTTTCAGGGGACCATCATTAAACTTCCAGGTCACATCTGGCATTGGGCTTCCGGTGAATGGGATTTCTATGACGGTAGATTCATTGATCTTCAGGACAATGGTTTCCCTGTATTTGTCTTCCAGTGTATAGTTGGGGGCAACTAGAATTAACAATATATATATATGTTCAACAAGTGTGTTTACTTCATGCAAAGCACCAGTTTATCAGATATAATCATTTAACATGTGTACAATCTATACAAAACTTACAATGTAAATATATTGAGCAATTGTTGTGTGCGTTTCTCAAATGTTGCCCATGGCATTTTCTATACCTTATTAATACCCTGTAAGACCTAACTGAAGTAATGAAGTGACCTTACCTTCAACAGTGAGTTTAGCATTGGATTGTTTGCTCTTGAATGTAGCTGAGTATTCTGCCACATCTTCATGGTCAACCTTCACAATCACAAGACGATGAGTCTTCCCATCAGCAATTATATCATACTTCTCACTGGCCCTGATTGGCTTACCATTCTTCAGCCATTGCACGCCTACATTGGGTTTAGATATCTCGCATTGGAAGCTTGCATTAGATGGAAGGCTGGTGATGGATTGGTCCTCCAAGGGAGTGATGAAGTCAATTAAGTCCTCTGTAAATCAAGCACAATATCTCATTGAATACCAGGAATTTGATAATCAAAATGAGAGAAAGAAAGCTGAGAATAAACGCAAGATATAGAGAGCACAATGCAGTGGCACCTGTAATGTTCAAGTTTCATAACAGAGCAATTTTTGAAAGACCTACTTAATTCAGGTGTTTCTAATGTATGAGAACTATTTTCAAATCTACAGCTAATGCATGAGTACTGTATACCACTTTCTATAGTACAATGTACAGCTTATGAAATGAAAACATCAAATATTGAGATAGAAAATTTTTTAATCAAAAGGCAAACTAAGCAACTAACTGAACCTAAAAGCAAACTATAAGCATGATTTATGAATCCCACATCTACTTAATTGTAACTGTTCACTTCACTGCATGAAAAGAATTATAAGCTTCATGTATTGAATTGCGACAGAAGAGTGAAAATGCCACTGAAAAAGCATGAAATCTGTAAAAAGAATGAAAACATGTAAAATACAGCAGAATTTGATCAATCACTGATCCACATATCCAAAATGTGATCCACATTCTGAATTCAGGGCATGGTGTTTGACCTAAAAATTAGTTGCGAAACACGTTATGAGGAATACATCGAAACGTTGACGTATCTTCTGGGATAGTCTGGAGGGACCACCTATAGGGGGCGTAATTGTAGCATGCAGCAATAATGTAGTAACCACATCAATGTAACAACACGGGCAGCTCTGGATACATCAGGTTCACACATTTAGATTCAATCCTAATATTTTCTTTCATCATTTCATATGGTTAATAGGGGATCACAAATATAACTTTGACTCCTGTAGTATAACAAAGTGTGCACAGAATGCAATATCAGACAACTGTGCATTTCATCATTCCTATACTTCGTTTTCAGTGAAAATCTCAAATGGATGATCCCTGAATGAAAATTGATCTGATTAAGATTGAACTGTAGTTTGTGTGACAGGTTTCAGCATATACATGTATTAATATACCAGTAAGACATGTAGTAGTAAGGAGGCATCACATCGACATTAGCGTTACCTTTTTTACAATACCCATAGATTCTACTATCGAAAAATAAGTCAGTATCTGATTGGAGGGTGATTTTCTCCGGCAGTGGATGGATAAAAAATGGCGGGAATCCACAGCCGATCACTTTGACGTCTGATCGGACATCTTTGCCTTCCAGAATTTCAATGCGTTCTGGTAATTCTCTGACAAAGATTGGGGCTGAAATGATACACAATGGGGTTTATGCATGGCCTATAGATGGTGCTGAGGTGCATAACTAAGAATGAAAGAGAATGCCATATTTATGCATACAAAGAAATCAAAAAAACTGACTATAGTACTGCATTCTCATTGATGTGCACACAAATAGATTTTGCTAAAAATCATATTCACACCAGTGATTCTATGCATTAAGATATGTTATCATTATTGAATGCTAATGCTAATAATGATGAATGCTGAAAACTGTCAAATAAAAACATGATGATTTGAACCTATAGAACATGCAGGGATCCAATTCAAACCAAGTGCGCTAAAAACCAATTGCAAGGTGTGCTAAAGATGTGTACTTCAACCAACTACACACATATTGTATGTTATAAATATGAATATACTGAATTAATATTCTATGGATGTTCACTTCTCTATCACAGTAAAACTGCCAAAGCCGGGGGGCTAGTTCTCCCCAAACTTGAACTATCAGCCCTTCAATAGAAAACCCAAAAGAGTCACAAATGCAGAATGTACAAAAGCAGAGGAATGTTGGAATACATACCAAATTTGAGCATCTCTGATGGTGGAGATGGTTCTCCATATCCAGCCTTATTCTCAGCAGTAACTCTGAATTCATATTCCTGTTCCTCTTTAAGTCCTGTAACATCATAGTTCAGGTGTGGCATCTTTTCAGCTCCATTTACAGAGGACCATTTCATGTCCCCGCTGCGACGCATCTCTATCTTGTAGTTAAATATGGGGCTACCACCATCTGAATCAGGGGCGGCCCAGTCTAGGACTATTTTACCATCAGCAAGTTTAGCAGTGGGCTGGCCAGGTGGTCCAGGTTTATCTGCAAATGCATTGTGAGAGAAATAAAATACCAGAGCTTGAACATCAACAAATTATCTCCATGTTATGACTGGGGTGGTATGGTAAATATCATTGCATATGTAGAACTTGTGTGGTGTAATATTTATAAGACTGTTCAAGGATATATTTGCATACAAAAGTCAACTCACCAAATGGATCCTTGGCAACAAACTTGACAGACTCGCAAGGTTGACTGACTCCAGCCTCATTTTCAGCTACCACTTGGAACTCATACTCCTCCCCTTCTGTCAGGTCACTCAGGTCAAAGGTCAACTCTTTTACGATCTTCTTAGTGTGACGTGACCACCTAGTGCTGTAGGACTGGCGACGTTCAATGTAGTAACCCAAGATGGGAGAACCGCCATCGCTGGCTGGTTTCTTCCAGGATAGGGTAGCTGTTGTCTTGGTGATATCTCCTACAGTGAGATCTCTTGGAGGACTAGGAGGATCTGCAAACACAAAGGAGTTTTAAATCAATTTCCTAAAATATGGCATTTACATTAGAAAATGTCACCAACTGTTATTGCACATAGTTCCAAAATGTAACAATTTGTGACAGGCCCCAATCGTCAAGTGCAAGTTACAAAAAAACTGTAGCTAGAATAACATGTAGTCATGAAGATCAACAATTAATGTAAATGTTCACTCACCAAATGGCAGTTTAGCTGTAACAGGTTCAGGCAATTCCACAGGTTCACTGGTGCCTACAGCATTCTCAGCAAACACTCTGATGTAATACTTGTTGCCTTCAACCAACTTGGCAGCAGTGCACTCCAGTGTACTTGCGCTAGTGGTTTTTACATCAGTCCAGGTGTTACGTTTAGCATCACGTTTCTCTATGATATAACCAGTGATTTCTGAACCACCATCATCCTCAGGTACATCCCAGGAGACACTGATGGACTCCCTTGTAGTACCAGTGACTGTAAGACTCCTAGGTGGAGATGGCTTGTCTGCAAAATTAACATACATGTATATACCTGTATTTTACACATTCATAAAATTATAAAAAATGAGCTTTCTAATTTTTTCATACTTTGATCATGAGTTGGGTTAAATTGGGTTAACATGTTCTGTTCATATGTTATGGTTATATGTGACATTTACAGGATAAACATTTGTATAAACTATAATATACGATTTACAGCTACTTTTGCAAGTTTTCCATGCAACATTCCCACTTCAAAACCCACAAATCTCAAGTGATTGTTTCTTTTCATTCCCACTTCAAAACCCACAAATCTCAAGTGATTGTTTCTTTTCATGCTCTTCTAGGTTGAATTATTGGTTCCAGATTGAACCAAGTGATGTTACAGTATAGTACTGCAGTATAGTTGGAGAAGTGCTTATCAGTGCATACATACCCTGAACAGTGATGTCAAACACAGCAGTGGCTTTGCCAACTATATTCTCAGCTTTAACCTCATATTTCCCTGCATCATTTTTGTTGACCTTTTTAACTGTAATCGTTGAGTAGTTGTCACCCTCTTCAATGTTCACTCTTGCACTTCTCTCCAGTGTTTCACCATTGAGGGTCCATGTTACAGAGGGTGTAGGTATACCAGTGTAGTTTGTACTGATGGTCAGGTTCTTGTCACCTTTGATACTTTGACTCTCCAAGGATTTGTCATAGTCAAGTTCGGGGTGTGCTGAAAGTTTCACAGAGGGTGCATGTGCAAGTATATCAAACACAGTATGTGATTCATGGTTCAACACACATACACATACAGGAACCATATTCTTGAACAATAGTGTGCATAGTTGAAATAATTGAGCACTTAGCAGTGATCTCCCCATGTTTTCTCTCAACTAGATGCCAATTCCAACTTTACTTTTTTTGGTCAGATATTTCAATATTTTATCATTCTGAGAGGGTGCAAGCAGAGTGTAGCAGGTAATTTTCAGATTTTCAACAGGGTTCAGCCAATTGCTCTAATTCATGTGAGACCACTGCTGAGTGATAATCTTGAGAATGTGCAATGATTGATTTGAATAGATGTCATATAGAACTTTTTTGTGGAAATTTATTATTGCTGTCATGTACTGTATTTGTACAGTCCATTTTTTACAAAATAAATGAAATGGATTTAATTAGAATAGGATAAGTGACTATGAATGATTATGTGTATTCTTAGGGTAACCTTATTCAGTATCCAGTGTTAAAGTCAATTTGACAATATTTCATTTTGGACAATGATGAGTATGAGTGCAGTTTGTATTGAGGTGTACACCATCACATATAATGCAACACTTACCAGGACCAATAGCTTCAGGTTCATCTATAGTGGCAAATATAGCAGTAATAGTACAAAAGTCTCAAACAGTTCAATAAAGTTCATTATGGTTAATCGAAATAGGAAATTATCTGTTAAATGCCATTATTTAATCTATAAAATCTTTCCAAAAGATATTGTGATTTATATAAGACTGAAGCTTTGAGATTTGGATGTCTCTGCTACACAAGACGACAAACTTGGGAGATACTTGTGAGCCTAGTGATAATCTATACATTTGTATTCCCTTTGACTTACTATGGACAGTCAGCTTGCAAGAGGTCTCAGACTGTCCTAGTGGGTTGAAGGCTTCACAGGTGTACTTGCCAGCATCACTAGGGATCGTCTCCTTGACAACCAACATAGCAACTTCATCGCCATAGTGATAGTCCATCTCATACTTGCCAGAGGCTGTGATCTCTTTGCCGTCTTTGTACCTGAAATCATTAAATGAAATTCATTAATCAAATATTTGGTAAAATAAGATAATTTATGGTTTAAATATTTATGAATCATGTATTAAAGTCATAAATGGATTCCTGATCATGTTAGGTATCAAAAAATATTCAATTATCAATTACTGTTAAGTTGATGTTAATGTATCTAAGGACTCGTATTGTAATATTCAACTCTTGTAACATTACATGTACAATAGTTAACAGATCCAGAGGTCAGGTTATACCTACATCTCATAGTCAACTTACCAGTGTATTTCAGGCTCAGGCTTTCCACTTATATCACACTCAAATACAGCTTCCTTAGGTGATACAACAGTGAAGCTCTGTAGAGGCTCCATGATACGTGGCTTGTTGCCTACGATTGGTTCCTTGCATTTGATAGCATCAGTGGACTCAGTGAATGGGCCTTGACCTGCTTTGTTCTCTGCAGCAACTCTGAACTGATACAGCTCATCTTCTTGTAGTTTTTCAACAGTGAAGCTCGTGTCCACTACTTCCACACTGAGATTGGCACGCTTCCACTTGAATTGGCCTTGTGCACGGTATTCTATGATGTAGTTGATGATTGGTGCACCACCATCATCTTCTGGTGTGGTCCATGTTAGTTCAATGGAAGAGTTGGTCACTTTACCTGCTTGAGGTACACCTGTAGGGCCAGGTTTATCTGAAGGTACAAAAGAAACACATACATGTATTTCAATTATGTCTATCTGCTGACAATGTGAGAGAATTACAGTTAAACTTACTATTAAGAACAAATCAGTATATCATGCTATTGTCAAAACCTATAAATAATATGTTTGTATGGTTATTTGAAAGTTGAAATCCATTGAAAAAGCCACAACCATCTTGGAGAAGTTACTATACTGCTTAGTACTTACCCCATGGATCCTTAGCAAGGATAGAGTCTGATGGTTTGCTAGGTTCACTTGGTCCAACTTTGTTCTCTGCAAGCACTCTGAACACATACTCATTGCCTTCTTTTATGTCTGTCACCTTATAGGTTAGCTCAGAGATCAGGGTTTTGTTGACTCTCACCCAGTGGTTACTGGTGGTGAGCTTGCGTTCTACATGGTATCCCAATACAGGGGTTCCACCATCATTAGCAGGGGGCTGGTAGCTCACTTGGCATGATGTACTTAATACATCACTCACAGTTGGTGCATCGGGGGCGTCAGGGACACTGAATTGACTCTTAGGTGTGATAGGTCCAATTTCAACTGCCTCTCCAACTCCGACTTCATTCTCGGCAGCGACCTTGAAGTTGTAGCCCTTGCCCTCAGTTAGTCTAGTGACATTGCATGTGAAGTCTTCTGTTGTATCAACAGACTCCCATGAGCGGCGGAGAGTATCACGTTTCTCTACGATAAATCCTGTGATGTCACAGCCACCAGTATCGTCAGGATCTTCCCAACTTAGGTCAATATTTGTCTCACCAATAGAGGTCTCCTTGAAGTTCTTTGGAGGACCAGGTCGGTCTGAAATTGGAAAAATGAAATTTAGTATTTTTGAAGCATAATAAGTGAAATATCTGCAAAATTCAATTAAGTATAAATTAAATTAATCAGATACTTGATATCGAATTGCTGACAAAGTATTTATGATAATGAAGAATGAGTTTGGAGCAACATACCAAGCACCAGAACTTTGATGGTTGCAGTGACAGATCCATTAGGATTCTCCACCACAAGCACATAATCTCCAGAGTCCTCTCTCTTGGACTTAGCAATAGTTACAGCAGACATAGTCTGTATGGTCTCTTCTTTGATACGCTTGTCTTTGGGCATGGCACCTCCATTGAATGTCCAGACTACCTTAGGCTTGGGCCAGCCAGTGAATGGAATCTCAATCACTGTGCTCTGACCTGCCTTTAGGATGATTGTCTTCTTGTATTTCTCATCAATCATCAAAGCAGGTGGGGCTAAAATTTGAAATGAAGATTTATAAGTATGTATTTCTGTAAAATGAGAATCGCTGTTTGGAACATAGCATTTCTACCTTACAAACCATCATATATGGGTTATAAATTCAAAATAACTTTGCAATTACATACTATACTAATTTGGAAAATGTATGATTTCTCAAAATCACCAACCTTCCACAAAAAGTGCAGCTTTGCTTTCCTTGTTCTTGAAAGTGCATGTGTACTCAGCCTCATCCTGTCCATCAACATCAGAGATCTCCAGCCTGTGCACAGTGCCCTCACAAACAATCTTGTACTTCTTACTGGCCTTGATAGATCTTCCATCCCTCAACCAGCTAACCTCTACATCAGCCTTGGAGAGTTCACACTCAAATACGGCTTTGCCTGGGATTTCAGTGACATCCTGGTCTTCCAGCTGTCTGATGAAGTTGATCTCCTCTTCTGTAATCAGAGTTACACGGGGTTCATTGCAATGAATGTGCAGGGTGTTAGTTATGGGGTGTCCAGAACACACAAGTACGGGGTCTACTTAACATTTTTAAAGCTTCATAGTTATTCATGACTTACATAGTGTAGATATGAGAATTACAGACTGTCCAGTCAATGTGAATTACAGGGTATCCAAAATGAATGGATTTTGTGTGTTAATGTTAATTCACCAAATGTCAATATGTAAAGACTGACCACACACATAATAGCAAGGTTTTGTTTGTAACTCACCATATCTAGCTGATAGAGAGGGAGGAGATGGATCACCAAGACCAGCCTTGTTCTGTGCAGAAACTCTAAACTCATACTCAGTTTCTTCCTTAAGGCCATGCACAGTGTATGTTGTATCTGGGCATTTGTCATCAATGTTCACCAGGGTCCACTTGAAGTCTCCACTGACTCTCATCTCTATGGCGTAGTTGAAGATGGGGGAGCCTCCGTCATCATGTGGGGGGCTCCAGGTCAGGGTAGCTTGGTCAGCGACTATATTGGTCACTTCAGGTCTACCTGGCACTCCTGGTTTCTCTGTAACAGCAAATATTGACAGAATTAATTTTATTATTATCTTTTAAAAAAACTTTGATATGGTTGATATGGTTGATATCAATTGATTCAAAAATGTTTTTAAAATGGTCCAAATTGCAGAAATAATCGTTACTCTTCATATTCTAGAGCTTTTTCAAAGAGGGTTTATACTCACCATATGGGTCCTTTGCCACAAACTTAGTTGGTTCACAGGGTTTTCCAACACCAGCAGCATTTTCAGCAGAAACTCTGAACTCATATTCATTGCCTTCAATGAGTTCTTTCAGGTTGTAAGTTGTTTCTCTTACAGTTTCTTTGTTGTGTCGTATCCAGCGGGTACTGGTTGCCTGGCGCCTCTCTATGATGTAGCCGGTGATAGGAGAGCCTCCGTCATCTTCTGGACGTGTCCATTCTAGGGTGGCACTCTTCTTGGTCACCTCTGCTGCATTAAGGTTAATTGGTGGGCCTGGGACATCTACAATAGCAAACATAGAAAATTATGCTTTGATCTACACATCATTCATGTTTATGTAAATGAATGTGCTATAAAAAAACTGGTAATCCAATAGTCTACTTTACCCTTGTAATATTGTTTGAATCTGAACTCACCAAAAGGCATTTTAGCAGTGGTTGGTTCATCAGTAACAGCAGGTTCACTTGCACCAATCTCATTCTCGGCAAACACTTGGATAAAGTAATCATTTCCTTCAGTCAATTTGCCAACAGTGAACTCTGTCTGATTGGCTCTAGTGGTACCAGATCCAGTCCATGTGTTACGTTTGGCATCACGTCGCTCAATGATGTAACCTGTGATATCAGAGCCACCGTCATGCTCAGGTGTTTCCCAAGTGACAGTAATAGAATCCTTGGCTGTTTCTCTGACTCTCAAGTTAAGTGGAGGTGATGGTTTGTCTGAAGCATAAACATTGCTATTATAACATATGAGCAGAATGCAATGTATTATAGTTTGCTTCAGAATTAGCACATTCAATATGCTTCTCAAAGTAATTTATTACAATATACAACACACAAGGAATGTGGCACTTATAAATTTTACAGATATTTGACAATTTTATCTTACTATATAAGAGAAACTGAGTTTAAACATGTCATTCAAATTAGGTTATAACACTGACTGATCAAATCATTACCTTTAACGCATACAGTGAAGTCAGCAGACTCGGAGCCTACAACATTCTCAGCAGTGCATGTGTATACACCATCATACTCCCTTGTAAGATTCTTAACAGTCAGGGTAGAGAATGTGTCAGAAGTCTCAATGGTAACTTCCTTGGTGTCTTCCAGGGTCCTCTCCCCTAGCTTCCATGAGACTGAGGGGGTTGGGATGCCAGAAATTTCAGCTGTGATTCTCAGTGATTTTCCAGCCTTCAGACTCTGCTGTTTCATTTTGGGTTCATATTCAATTGTTGGGTGGGCTGGAGGAAGAAAAAGACAATGTTAGTAATTACTTGCACTGATTTGATTTATAGCTAACTTTACAGTAAAGAATCAATGCATCAATGAATTATGCATTCTGAGTTCAATCAATTCTGTTACATATGACATTTTTAACCTTGAAGAAATTGAGTTCCGATGTATGTTGATTATTAGTGTAACGCTACTGCCTATACATGTATGTAAAGCATATGAGACCGCTAACCAGTTTATATCTAAATAACTTTATCGTTTGAACTCACCATTCACCACTAGTTTGCCAGTTGTTTCGCAAGCACCTAGTGGATTAATGGCCTCACATCTATAGTCACCAGCATCATTGGGTTCAACATTCTTAATCACCAATGTGGCAACCTCATCATTGTAATCAATGTCAATTCTTGGGCTTGGGCGTATCTCTTTACCTCCACGATACCATTTCACTTCAGCTTCAGGCTTACCAGGGTCGATGTCACATTCCAGTATAGCTTCATTAGGAGTGACAGCAGTCACCGTGCTAAGTGGCTCAAGGATTTTAGGTGGGTCACCAACAATTGGCTCTTTACACCTAACAGGCTCTAGATTCTGAGAGTGAGGTCCAACACCTGCTTTGTTCTCAGCAGAGATCTTAAACTCATAAAGCTCATCCTCTTTTAGAGATTCCACAGTGTAAGTCAAATCAGGGACTTGTTCATCAGGGTTGGCTCGTTTCCACTTAAACTGACCCTGAGCTCTGTATTCTATGACATAGTTGAAGATGGGAGATCCACCATCGTCTTCTGGCGCGGTCCAGGTGAGTTGGATGCTGGAGTTGGTGATAGTTCCTATTTGGGGCACACCAGGTTTACCAGGCTTGTCTGAAATCAAAATATACTTAGCTCTTAGTATTGAGTTCAAACCAATGCAACGAAGTACAGTAATGTACAACAAGTTGATGATTTTCAGACAGACTAAAATAAAATGTTTAAATTGAAACAACAAGAATGCTGAGCAGTAATAATAGTCTCTATACATAAAACCAATTACTTGTCCCTGCACTACCAGAAAATACATAGTAGTACATACCCCATGGATCTTTAGCCAAGATTGGTTCTGATGGTAGACTAGGTTCACTAGGTCCAACTTTGTTGAGAGCACTGATGCGGAACTCATACTGGTTGCCCTCAGTGAGATTTGGCACAACTGTTTCTAGACCAGTAAACTCAGTGTTGATTTTGATCCAGCGTGTGCTTGTGACTAGTTTACGTTCCAGTATGTAGCCTGTGATCGGTGTACCACCATCATTGGCAGGTGGTGCCCAGTGTACTGTACATGCATCACTGAAGATGTCAGTTACTGTGGGGGCTGCAGGCCTATCTGGTACATCTGAAATATAACACAAGTATTTGAAATTGGAGTCTTCATAATCATCTAGGGGATGACCCCCCTGATTAACTTCAATAATGATCAGGTGAATATTAGGTTAACCCTTGTTGCTTTATATTGTTTTTTCATCAGTGATTTAAATATAATATACTACGATGTAAACATGGCACATATAACTAATCATGAGACCAAGTAAACAATGAATAACTTACTGTATGGGCTCTTTGGAATGGCAGGAGAGTCCAGTTCAACTGGTTCGCCAGTTCCACATTCATTAGTGGCAGAGACACGGAACACATACTCTGTTCCTTCAATCAATTTCACAGCAGTGTATTCCTTAACTTCCTGTTCCTCTTCAATGTTCTGCCATGTACGACGTGTCGTGTCACGTTTATCAATGACGTAGCCAGTGATATCGCGACCACCATCATCTTCTGGTTCATCCCATTTGAGACTGACAGTGTCTTCTGTTACTCCAGTTACCTCTAGATTCCTTGGGGGACCTGGTTTGTCTGTTAATCATCAAAATGAGATTTTTTTAAAATATGAACAAGTAATAATGCCTTACATAAGCATATTTTCCAAGCATTATATATAAAGAATAAGGATATTGCAAAAGAAACAATAAAGATAATGAAATTTTTATATGGCTTTTCTTATCTGATGTAAAAAAGCACATCACGAATAATTCAAAATCACTCACCAATGACAATGAGTTTAATGGTCAATGAAGCGGATCCATTGGCATTTCCAATTGTCACCTTGAAGTCTCCAGAATCTGATCTGATAACTTTGGCAAATGTGATAGAAGTCATGGTTTTAATTGTATCAACTTTGAATCGTTTTGCATCAGGTAGGTCTCCACCATTGTAATCCCATGATACCTTGCAAGCAGGATTGCCGCAGAATGGAATCTCGATGGCGGTGGAGGAACCAGCTTTCAAGATGATTGTCTCTTTGAAGTCTTCATCAACAAGGAACTTAGGAGCAGCTGCAAGAGAGAAATACATGTGTAGAATGTATTTGAAACCAAAAATATATTTATATTATTTCTCACTGGACATTGCATTGACCAATCTGTATGTGGCATACATAATATGAAAGTGATATTGCAACAAATTATTTTAAAATGTACAGCTTGAAACTCCTTGATGAATATTTTGAGAATCAAATCACTCTTACCTTCTACAAACAGGCCAGCTTGAGATTTCTTATCTCTGATGACAACAGTGTATTCTGCCTCATCATCTCCGTCAACCTTGTGGATATTCAGTTTATGAATGGTGGCATCCACAGTCATGTCATATTTACGACTTTTCTCTATTGGTTTACCATCACGTTGCCACTCAGCGGTCATGTCAGGTTTGTTGATCTCACATTCGAATGTTGCCTCGCCTGGGATCTCAGTGACATCCTGGTCCTCTAGAGGGCGTAGGAAGATTACCTCCTCCACTGGAGAGTAAAAAGAAAGTCATCATATTATAATCCTGATATCAATGAACCAGTGAATTTTTTTCTAATATTACAAAATTTGGACTCACACGTCATGTATGTGTTTCTTTATCTAAAATCAAGCCATATTCTAATGGACAATGAAACAAGTAATATTACTGAAGATCTTTCACAATTTAAAAATTACAATCCGATTTTAAATAATATGGTCAAAATTTACCAAATATGGCGCTAGTCTCCTTGGATGGTTCACCAAGGCCAGCCTTGTTTTGTGCGGTGACGCGGAAGTTGTATCTGACTTCCTCCTTTGTGTTGTTAACAGTGTAGCTAGTCTCACTGATGGTGAACTCAGTGTTGATTGCACTCCACTGGTAATGTCCCTCCTCTTTCATCTCAATAAGGTAATTGAACACTGGACTGCCTCCATCATTCTTGGGTGGTTCCCAAGTGAGGGCTGCCGAGTCCTTGGACATGATTACCACAGGGGCACTTGGTGGGCCAGGTTTATCTGCACAGAAGAAGTAAACAAATGATATGTGACTAAATTAATATTCTAAATGTATAAAGTAATATCTTATAGAATAGGATGTTGTGTGTATACAATGAAGTGCATCACAAGCGAATCATAAAATTATTGTAAAATACAGTAAATAAAAATGACAGAAACAAACAGCAAAACGATGAAGTCAGATAACTCACCAAATGGATCTTTAGCAATTATTGTGATTGGCTCAGATGCAGGTCCGGGGCCAGCCTCATTTTCAGCATTAACCCTGAACTCATACTCGTCCTTCTCAACAAGGTCATTTAGGTCTAGTGTCATCTCTTCAACAAGGTCTCTGTTCACCTTCGACCACCTAAAAGCACCATTTACATTGTGAACCCAATCAGAAGTGTACAATCTCAGGAATCAGAGCTGTACAAATTCGCATAAACACTGTCAAGTCATCCTCTGTAGACTTAACAAGTGCTATGATAATTTAAAGAGGAAACAATTAACCTTGTTAAACTGTGTAAAGATCATTAACAGATTTTTAGGCCATACACAATGTGACGTGTGTAATAAAGGAATTATATACTTTACAATATCCTGTGAACAGACTGTGAATGTGTGACACATAAGACGTACCTTGAAGAATATGCCTGGCGTTTTTCAACTGTGTAGCCAATGATTGGTGCTCCACCATCATTCTCTGGTGCCTCCCATGTAAGTGTGCATGAGCTTTTGGTGATATCCTGAGCCTGGAGGTTGATGGGTGGGCCTGGTTCACCTACATGCAAAATAAGCATGTTTCAAACAGGGTTGTACAGAAAACTTGCAATAGATTTGTCAATAATCCTTTGATTAGGAATCCCTATATTGTAGTAAAGTATCATAAAAAAACAGAATGAGGGGAGTGCAATCTTTTACTCACCAAATGGAAGTTTAGCAGTGACTGGTTCCTTCAGTTCAACAGGTTCACTTGCTCCAATCTCATTCTCAGCAAACACTCTGATAAAGTACTGGTTGCCTTCAACTAGTTTAATAACCTTGAAGTTCAACTGTTCTCCAGTTGTGTTTCCAGCGGCCATCCATGTGTTGCGCTTGACATCACGTTTCTCAATGACATAGCCTGTGATTGGTGAACCTCCGTCATCCTTGGGTGGTTGCCAAGCAACAGAGATCCAGTCTCTATGGGTACCTGTCACCTCAAGGTCAATTGGTGGTGATGGTTTGTCTAGAAATTACAAATAAAGAATATGTATACTTTGTTAGAATCATGTTGGAATCATGATGATGAGCAATGAGAAAAAGTACAATATCAGAAATGGGCAGACATCAATACATTAGACAAGTCTGATAATACCAAGTAAGGACAGGACATTGAAAACATTTTATGTAAGTTGTTAATACCTCTTATCTTGACTTCAAAGTCAGCTGATGCGCTTCCAACCACATTTTCAGCAGTTACTTTGTATTCTCCACTGTCTTCATTAGACACCTTTTTGATGGTGATTGTACTGGATGTGTCAGTGTTCTCAATAATGGCATGTTTGGCATCAACAGTTTCACCATCTAAAGTCCATGTAGCCTTGGGGGCGGGGACTCCAGAAAGTGTGACAGTGATTGACAGGTTCTCTCCCACCTTCAACAGCTGAAGTTGTCCATATTTGGGTGCATATTCAATTGTTGGTTTAGCTAAAAGAAAATAAGCGAACCATTATGAAAGCTGTATATTATGACTTGCACAATTCATTCTCAAATAATCCAGAAAAGCATTTAATTATATCAGTTCATTTTTCCTTATTCTCAGGTGAAAATGTTTATTTTTTATTGAATAAAAATGTGGATAAATTGTGAATGTGAAATTCAATCAATATTGTTATCCTGCAATTAACTCACAGCCTTAAACTTTTTTTAATCATATTTCTAAGAACAAGGCTCCTGAAAAAATATGTCAAAGCACATTTGATGTAGTTTCCAATGTTATATACATGTATTTGAACTTACTGTGTACTGTGAGTCGAGCAGTGGTGTCAACCTGTCCTATGATATTTCCAGCAGTCACCTTGTACTTGCCAGCATCATTAAGCTCACAGTCCTTAACCACTAGAGTCACAAACTCATCCTCATAGGTCATGTCATACTTCTCATCTGCATTGATTTCTGTACCATCCTTGGTCCAGATCAACTCAGCATGGGGGTCACCAGGTGTTATGTCACATTCGAATACAGCTTCACCAGGGGATACAACAGTCTGGTCCTTGAGGGGCTCCAGTAACTCTGGTGTGGTCCCAACTACAAAAACAACATGAATGTGCATCAAGTATATACCAGTAGACCTTACATTAATCATCCAGTAAGTTAAGTATTTTAGGGTTCTGCTTTATATTTGGTCACACTTTTCTTAAGTTTAAATCTTTCAACAATATTAATGTTTATTTTTGGGTCAACAACAGTGAACTTTTTTTTGACAAATGGTAAAATAATATGTAATCAAAAAAAATGATGATGAATTATTGTCTGTTGCTTCAATACAATAACATGAACACCTGTACGTAGTATTTCAACATCTTGTAAAACACATGCAGTGTTCCATCAAGTGCCATGGGCTTCCCAGAGAAAAGGCTTCTCTTAAAAGCGCATACATGTACTAATAAGTCGTATATAAATGTGTATAAATGTATGTGCAAACACCAAATAGCATTGTGTAACACACTAGTGAGCAGTGAATAATGAATCATAATGTACATGTATATGACATCTGTAGATGTTTGGATGAAAGACTAAGAACTTAATAAGGCTAACACTAGATATAGTAATATGTGGCATCACATTGCCTCATCAACTAGTGCATTATAATTTAATGTGACTGGTTCAACTTAAGCAAAGTGTTCATTGTGGAAGAAATTGGGATAATTTACCTCTGTCCTCCAATATAGCTAAATGTAAAAGATAAATTCATAAACACTCAAATTATGAAATGATTTAGAGAGAACTAGGCAAAATTGGGTCATACTCACCAAACAGTACATGTATGTATAAAGACACTTATTTTGTCAGAAAAGAGAAACAGAATATTGTGCAAAGAAAAAACATTAACTTATCAAGGGAGGGTGTATGTATTTCAACCGAGACAGAATCTTACTCACCAAGTGGTGCTTTACATTTGACAATATCAGTAGAATCTGAGGGTGGTCCGGTTCCAGCTTTGTTCTCAGCAGTCACTCTGAACTCATAATCCTCATTGGTAATAAGTCCAGTTACTGTGTAAGCACGCTCAGGTACCATCTCATCTACATTAGCCTTACACCATTTGTATTCTAGTGCTGGCTTGTACTCAATGATGTAGTTGAAGATCTCTGCACCACCGTCATCTTCTGGGGCTTTCCATGTTAGTGCAATTGAGTTGTCAGTGATCTCTCCTATCACAGGTTTGCCTGGTTTACCAGGTTTCTCTGCAAAATACGAGTTTAATGTGATCACCATAAAAATGAGAATTGTATACTTTAATTCTAGGGTAGTATTACTATGTTTCAATTTGATGAATTTCACTGTTTGTTCAACTATATTCAACATTGAATCTTAAGTGCCACAAGACAGGAATTATGGAGAGGGACTCTATGGGGGTCCCTGAAATTCTTGTATCTTATCTTGACAGACCCTAGCCTCAAACACATAAAGCATATTCAACAGCACAATCCCCATGGATGAAACACATCATGACTTACCCCATGGGTCCTTGGCTTTGAATGGTTTGGATGGAGGGCTATATTTGCCAATTCCAGCCTTGTTTTCAGCCGCTACTCTGAATTCATAGTCCATGCCCTCATTCAGGCCTGTTGCCTTCATTGTAAGCTCTTCAATCACATCAGTGTTGACTTTCACCCAGCGGGTAGAGGTGGCTTGGCGACGTTCAATGTGGTAACCAATGATTGGTGCTCCACCGTCTGACTCTGGGGGTGACCATGTTGCTTGGCAACTGTCCTTGAAAATCTCTGAGATGATTGGTGCATCAGGAGGCCCTGGGACGTCTGTAGAATATAAAAAGCAACAATGTTAATCAAATAATATGTACAAATATGTTCAGGTGCAATGTAGATTCAAATATTTGTGTTGTCTGAAATATCAATCTTAAGTTTTCAGAATAATCATGTCTCATCACTGCCTGTGTTTAATGAGACTAACCCAAATATTAGCTCACTGGTGCATGTTACAAACTGTTTGTATAATATAAGTGCCTCTACAGATGTACATGTACTGTATACAATCAGATATAATTAGCTCTTAATCAGACACAAAATCATCTGATTGGATTATGTCAGAAGGAAGTGAAATTTTATAATACATTAATTAGCAGGATCTTAATCATGTCAATGAGGTTTCATTGTTAAAGCATGGATCTATCGTTTTAAGGCAACAGTAGATGTACACTATACAGGTTGGTCATATTTTCTTAAGATACAATATGATGTTAAAAGTACATGTACTGCAGAGGGGGATGTTGAATTTCATAGTGTTTGGGGAAGATAAACTATAATACTACATGTACATGTAGTAGGTTCAACTTACCCCATGGGTCTTTAGCAGTGATTGGCTGTGATGGTGAGCTGTATGGTCCAAGCCCAGCCTTGTTTTCTGCTGCAACCCTAAACTCATATTGATTACCCTCAATCAAGTCTTCAGCCTTAAATGTCAGTTCAGGGATCAGGTCCTTGTTGGCCTTCACCCATCTTTGACTTGTTCCAGTCTTTCTCTCAAGTTGGTAGCCGATTATGGGGGCGCCACCATCAGACAATGGTGGTTGCCAGGTGATGGTGCAGTTGTCATGGAAAACATCAGATACAGCTGGGGATTCTGGTGCATCTGGTACAGCTACAAGGTAATAACAGTTACATGTAAGTGTGCATAGGTTGAAAAGTTGTAAGGAATGAATATAGTGCCAAATCATATTAAAGAATGCTCCTTCTAATCAAAATAATTTAGTGATTATGGTTATCTTCATTTTACAGCAATTAATGGTTTAATTGATAAAAGAACTATATCCAGTGAATTAATCTACAAACCAAATAGTAATCAGCACAGCTTTTGGTAAATAAATTGTCAACTTACTGAATGGGTTCTTGGCTTTGACAGCTTCAGTTATTGAGGTTGGATCACTGACCCCATACTTGTTCTCGGCAGATACCCTGAACAAATAATCTTTGCCCTCAAGGAGTTTGGGAATTGTGCATGACAAATCAGTGGTTGTTTCAACTTGTTGCCATGACGTCCTTGTGATGTCACGCTTCTCAACAATGTATCCAGTGATTGGGCTTCCACCATCATCCTCCGATGGTTCCCATTTAATATCACCAGTTTCAGCTGTCATACCCAAGACTTCTAGGTTTTGTGGTGGGCTTGGTTTGTCTGGAAACATGACACCAAAATATAACAACACTGAATTTGATTATGGAAAACCCTAGAACACATATGGAAATATATTCAAAACTTTTACATTTTGTTGGAGCGGATTTAAATTCTATACAAAGAAAGAACCCTCTCATTTAAAAGTACATGTATGTTACACCACTAATTAAAATTATTTGTATATTGAGGACTTGTACTGAGAATGTAAAAGCTTCCTTACCAAGTACAAACAGTTTAATAGTAGCTGTTCCTTTGCCATTAGCATTGGATACCACCAGTTCATAATCTCCAGTATCAGACCTCACAACAGAGCCAAATACCAGTTTGATATTGTTCTTCTCCAGGGTAACTCTGACTCTGATTGTGTCAGTCACTTCACCACCATTGAAGGTCAGGTTGACTGTAGGTTGGGGATTGGCAGTGAATGGGATGTCAATCTTCTCTGTGCTTCCTGCCTTTAGGGTTAAAGTCTCCTTGTATTTGTCATCAAGGAACAGTGTAGGGGCAGCTAGAATAATGAATAATTAAAAGTTTAGATAACTAATTAATTAGTAATTATATTGTTTATGTGGTTTGTACAGATGAACTAAACAAAACACTGCTATTTGCTACCAGCCGAACTTTATGCTTGGAACATGTAGCTCCTTTGTGAATCCAAACCATTACTTCATGATATGTATGTTTTTATTAGTGCTCTTCTCGGCACTCATTTCAATGATTTTGCTCCTATATAATTTGATATAAGAAGTGGTCTAATGTGTTTCATCTGAATATCAACAAATATTTCAATACCTTCAATGAAAAGTCCTGCTGTTGATTTTTTACCACGAGCAGTGACATGGAAGTCTGCCTCATCATCACCATTGACATTCTTCACAATGAGACGGTGGACTCTACCCTCAGCAATAATGTCATATTTATCACCAGCTGTGATTGGTTTATCATGCCTGAACCATTGAACTGGGACCTCTTTAGAGAGCTCACATTCAAATGTTGCAGTTCCAGGGATTTCAGTAACATCTTGGTCTTCAAGTTTACGGATGAATTCGACTGGTTCCTCCTCAACGAAGACACCACCAGTTGATTGTTTATCAGCTATCTTGATTGTATAGTCACCTTCATCATCAAGCTGTACTTCCTTGATAGTAAGGAAGTGGTTTGTACCCTCAATACGGATCTCATATCTGCCACCATGTTGGATCTCTTTGCCATCAATGTACCATTTGGCAGGTATGTCAGGCTTGGACACTTCACACTCTAGTGTGATAGTTTGGTTCTCCATTGTGTCCACATCAGTCAGAGGCTTAAGGATCTCCAATGGTTCTTCTACAATGCAGACAATATAAGGCAGTGTTAATACAAATTATGAACTAGTTCAGAGCCATTACGAATTGCTTTCATTTTTTAGATGTACATGTACCTCACAAGAGTGTATATACTGTACATAAAATACAAATATCTAATGAACTGAATAGACAACAAGGATATGATGATATATGTATATACGAGTGCGATATACCTTGAACAGTCAGTTTAGCCGATGTCTCCTTATCAGCTATAACACAGGAGTACTCAGCTGTATCATTGATTTCTGCATCATTAACAGTAAGAGTGTGTTTGTCACCATCAGCAGTGATGATGAATCTGGCTGATGCGGTGACCTCCTCTCCGTTCCTGTACCAAGTAGCTGGGATATTTGGCTTGGAGACTGTACATTCCATAGTTATGCTCTGTTTCTCTGTTATGGTGGCATCTACCAAAGGTTGGATTATTTCCACTGGTAGCTCTGTGGAGTAAAGGAATACAATGATAATACAATTTTGCATGATTGGGTTATGTATTGAATCAAGACAAAATATGGATACACCCTTATGTCAGGAAAATAGCCATAATACAGATAAAAACAATCTGAAGAAACTACACGTTCAGTATGTACCTTTGACTGCAAGGTTAGCAGAAGTCTCTTTGTCCTCTACTGTCATTCTATAGGGACCCATATCATCAGTCTGTGCATCCTTAATGATGAGTCTATGGACAGCACCTACTGATTGTATCTCATACTTCTCTGATGGTACCACTTGTACATCACCTTTGTACCATGTAACCTTGTAGTCAGTCTTGGAAAGTTCACATTCAAATGTTGCTGTGTCTTTCTCCGAAACTAAAATTCCGACGAGGGGTCGAATTATCTCAACTGGTGCTTCTGCAAGGAGAATGTAACAAATAAATATAATTCAATATACATTACTTATATTTCAGTTTGTTGAAAAAAATTCAGTTTGATAACATGTACACACTTTTTGATAATTCCCTACCTTCAACAAGAAGTGTTCCATTTGATTTCTTGTCATCAATCACTATAGTGTACTTTGCTTCATCATCCAGTTCAGCTTCTGTGATTGTAATTGTGTGTTTTGTGCCATCAACACTGATCTTCACACGGTCATCTGCTTTGATCTCCTTACCATCCTTTAACCATTTTGCTTTAAGGTTTGGTTTGTTGATTTCACACTCAAGGGTGACAGTCTCATTTTCAATGGTCTCTTTATCAGTCAATGGAACAGTGAATTCTACTGGTTCCTCTGTAAATTCAATTTATAGTAAAAATTAAGAAATTGTGACAAAAGGTATGTGGGGAATCCGGACAATATATTTAAAGAAGCCTTAAGAAGGACTTTTATTCAACAAACAAGACCATACATTTACGTCAACCCAACATTCCTTACTGATGGAATTGGTTGTATCAGACGATCAAAATGTACAATAAGGGTATAGAAATACAGAAAAGTCTTGATTTAATGCCCTAGGTTGCACATACCTTCAACGAACAGAGTTCCAGTTGATTTAGCATCATCGATTCTAATGGTATATGCTGCCTCATCATCCAGGTTACAGTCCTTGACAATCAGAACATGCTTGGTGCCTTCTACAATGATCTGATAGTGGGAATCCTCCTTGATTTCCTTGCCATCTAGCAGCCAGGTGGCCTTCTTGTCAGGCTTGGAGACCTCACACTCAAGGCGAGCTGTCTCATGCTCCATGGCATCAACATCCTTCAGTGGGACAATGAACTCCACAGGGGCTTCTATAATCATGCAGTAAGGATACCATGTACTTATGAACTTATTCAAGGGGGAATATGATGATATTGATAATTGAGAGTTATTTCTTTGTTTGTTTTTTGTGTTTTTGTTTGGCCTTTGTGCTCTCTAATGTACATGCCATTACCCCTGCTATATTAAATTAGGTGTAAGCCAAAGCTTCAATGTATATAAAAAATATTGTCATTATTAACAAACTAAACTTGTAAGATCAAAACTGTTCTCTGGTTGATCACATTCTTCCTTTTGTGAAAAAATAGTTCATTTCATTAAGTTTAAGAGCTTAAATAATACTTTGAACATTTGGGTAACTAATTACGATATTTTGATTGAAGCAATTTTTCAAAGGTAAAAGATGGCCTATATCCTAGATGCAGCTATTCACCTTCAACAAATAAAGTACAAGAGGTGGTTACAGTTTTTACTGTGCATGCATACTCTGCTTCATCCTCAATCTCCACACAGAGGACCATAAGTCGGTGTACAGGGCCTTCTACTGAGACCACATAATTCCCTGAATCTGGAGGGAGAGCCTGGCCATCTTGGGTCCAGGTTGCATGCAGATTGGGCTTTGAGAATTCACACTCTAGCTGAATAGAGTCAAACTCTAAAGCATCGGCATCTTGAAGTGGGCGCACCACATGCAAAGGCTCCTCTGTTAAAGCAAGGCAAAACCATGCACATTGTTAGTATAAGTAAAATAAAATACCAATAAATAAATTGAAAACTTAAAATAAATGTATGTAATAAGCCAACTGAAATATTGATGGGTGATTTAAATCATGAACCATAAAGCAACAAAAGTATCTAAATAAACAAAACTTGTTAAATTGTTATCTACGTTTTTGGTTTTGCATGAGTTGAACATGTACCTTCAACGATTAGATTTCCATTAGATTGTGCTTCACCAAGAATTATAGTGAACTGTGCACTATCATCCAAAGTGGCATCCTTCACAACAAGTTTATGGATCTTTCCTTCCATTATGATATCATATTTATCAGATTTGTTGACATCTATACCATTTCTCTGCCATGTTACAGGTGTATTAGGTTTGGAGATCTCACACTCAAATGTTGCAGATTCATTCTCTATTATGGTATGGTCAGTTAGTCCACGTGTGATATTTGGTGGCAGTTCTGTTAGCAAATAAATCATATACAGGTCACACAAAGTCACATAACACTTGGCACAGACTAGTGCACAGCCACAGTCAATGCATCTATCCAATTGGTATGTTCTGTTGGGGCTGTGTGCTAGACTGAGGTACACAACAATCTACACTCTCTAATACTATAAAGCATGGGGAATTATATCCAACACTGATTGGCAGAGTAATATATTGGGTGATAATGAATGATGGAAAGCATGCAAGATCATCTTATAATGATTGATTTAATGTGATATTGATTGATGAAGATTTTGTTTGATAATGATTGATGTAATTGAATATTGTCTGATGATGACTTATGGAGACTTTGTTTGATAATGACTGATGGAATGGAATATTGTCTGATAATTATTTTATCAAGACTTTGACTGGTAATGTATGATCATCTTGTAATGAATAAAAGATAACAAAACTATCCAATAAATGATGGAATAAAAATCTGATGACTTTGAGAAAATACTGTGTACACAAGAAATGGAAGTAAAATTTATAATGATGACTATAATAGTAATGATAAAATGATGACTGCTCAGACAACAAATGAACCAAGTAGTATATACTGTGTAATATAATACAATAAACAAGGGAGTAGAGAGAAAAAGAAAGGACCACTCACACTGATGCAAACAAATGATTGATGGATTGAACAAAACAGGAGTCATATTGTCTTCCTTATGGTCCATCGGATAATATCATATTGAGGTAAATGGGGAGGGCAAAATGCAAGGAAAAGAAAGAGGTACACTCATGGTCATGTACCTTGTACAGTAAGTGTTGCGGTTGAACTAACATCCCCAGCAACACATGTAAACTCAGATCCATCTTCAACTTTACAATCAGATATGTACAGAGTGTAACTGTATTCATGGTGCTCCATTCTAAACCTGGGCCTGTCTTTGATAAGCACCTCACCAATGAACCACTCAATGTTATAATTCATTTTGTTTAATTCACAAGTGAATTGTGCTGTGGATGTTTCCATTACAGTAAGATTCTTGATATGTTCAACGATTTTAACAGGTTCCTCTGTAAATGTATTTCTTTCAATTACAATATGGTTTCTCAATGGGCTTATGATGATGTCTTGGATAGGGTTAACATTGCATCTAATATTCTATTCTACTTTAAACTACGACATAAATTACACTAAACTACTCTATCAATATCTACTTTGTACTACTTCAATAATATTATACAGTCATATTAATCAGTGTGAAATTAAAACAAATGGAATGAGTAATGTGAAAATAATAATGGTATTTAGTGGCACAGCAATATCAAAGCAACACAAGAGTGATTTTGAATCTCTTCTCAAGCAAGATTTCTGTGAAGAGGCATCATCAAATGATAAAATGACACCATAGTACATTCAATGTTTCAAGAACAGAATCTGAAATAAATCAACTGGTCACACGCAACCAAGCACATGTATCTCACCTGTAACTGTAAGTTTAGCAGTAGACTTGTTGTCGCTAGGAAGAACAACTGTTATATCAGCTGCATCATCCAAATGGGCATCATCTATCACAAGCTTGTATACCACATCATCAGAGGACATCTTAATCCTGTTTGTGGCCTTGAGTTCTTTGTCATTCTTCAGCCACTTAACCTTAGCATTGGGTTTGGTCAGAGTGACAGTGAATTCAGCTGTCTCAGTTTCCATCACCTCCTGGTCTTGTAGTTGAACAGTGAAGTCAACTGGAGCTTCTGTAAGTGGAGTATGAACATCACAATGTGAATCAAAAACAATAGTTTGTTTATATTCATGCCCAAGAAGATATTCCTCTGCAAGATATTAAACAAGTGATGCTGTTTAATAACTTACACTGGTGAACACATAATTAAACCTTCGTTTAATTATTGTAAGTGTTCAACATTGACATGGTCTTCAAACATAGAACCTTGTAGAATTGGAATTGCTTCATGGGCTAGAATCAAGGTTAGTCAGGTAGGGATCCATTAGTGCAAAGCAGAGCATGATATACACAATATATACAGTTTTAAGTGCATTAGGTACTGATTAGAATCAACAATTACATGGTTATCATACCATTAGAATGTTATACACACCATCAACATAAAGCATAGCAGTAGTTGAGACTTCATGTGATACCACACAGGTATATTCAGCCTCATCATCCAACACAGAGTCTTTGATAGTAAGTTGTTGGGTAACACCATCAACTACAATCTTGACCCTGTCACTCTCTGTCAACTCATGACCATCCTGTTGCCATGTGGTTGTGATATCAGGTTTTGATAGTTCACATTTCATGTCAGTTGATTCACCTTCCATTATGGTTTGATCTTTCAAAGGTTTAACAAATTCAGGCATGGCATCTGTAAGGTTAATACATCACACTTTCAAGTATTTTAGATGACATGATTTCAGAATGCAAGTTAGAAGGATTCAAGTCATCATTTTACAGAATGATTACAAAGCAGCGCAAAATAAACCAAATCAATCATTTTAAAACACAAGATAAACATTCTGGTTACAATTTGAAAGCATACAGACATTCCTTGCAATCTTTACTGAAGGACAAATTACAATGCAAGCAATGTGAAAAAATCACTATCTAATAGCACACACTTTTGAATTTGAACAAGCATATGGACAGATTAATAATGACAATGTTATCAAAATTATAAATGATTGCAAGAAATTGTCTAAAGCTGAGTTAGAAAAGCATGTACCAACCCTCAACAAAAAGCATAGCCGATGACTTTTCCCCATTTTCTAGTGTTATAGAATATTCAGCCTCATCTTCTATGGCTATATCTTTGATGAGAAGCTCATGAGTGGTGTCCTCACGGCTTATCTCATATTTATCACTAAAGATAATGATATCATCATCTTTTCTCCAAGTTGATTCAAGGTTTGGTTCCTTGACTTCAACATCAATAGCAAGACTATCCCCTTCAATAGCCTCAACATCAGTCAAGGGGACCACAAAAGCACTCTCTACAAGCAGGAATCTCATTTCATGACTGTGTTTGCAACTATTATACAAGGTGCATCTAGACTCTAATTATAGGTGAATACATTTGTCTGGATTAATTGGAATTGTAGATTGTAATTTATTTCATTTTATTAGATTAGGAATTTTGAGATTAACATGGGTTATTATTATGAGGCAATATTTCACACAAGTGGGATTCACATCAAACCAACACAAATACAAAACTGCATATTAAAGGTAGAACCTGTCAAACAGAATACATCTTTTTTAAGGAAAACCTCTTTATGTACATGGAACAGTTTTAAGATTTCCATGTTAATAAATCCTCTCTTTAAAGAACAATTTTGGCAAGTATGATTGTGTTCTACATACGCAGGCTTTTCTGTTCATAACATTAAATAGTATGGACAAATGATATTTCAAATCATATGAGAAGACAAAATGAAGAACTAATGAAATTATTTAATGCTTAACTGAAATCATATTGTAATTTCCTGCAACTGAAATTGAACTGAAAATGTTTGGAAACTGAAACAGAATTATAAGGCAAAACACACACACAAGGACATTCCTGTACTTACCATTAACAATAAGCTTAGCAGTTGAAGCCTCATCTCCTACTTTGATTGTGTATTCTGCTTGCTGATCCAGTGTAGTGTCAGGTAGTGTCAGGGTATGGGTAACTCCTTCCATTATGACCTGATATGATTCACTCTTGGGGAGTGGTTTGCCATTCTGCAGCCATGTAACAGGGCAGTCTGGCTTGGATAGCTCAGCAGTGAAGGAGACAGATTCATGCTCAATACAGGTCTTGTCCTTCAGTGGAAGAGTGATGGTCACCGGTTCTTCTGCAATGCAGGATAATATATATTGAAATAATATGTTATTATTGAAGCATGTCAAACATAAGTACAAAGCCCAGCCAACTCATGTCAATAGCAAAACACAGCATGTACCATATATTTACAAAGTATGTCACAAAACACTATATTCCATTCGGCATTTTATTGTTAAGTCCATTCTGAAATAAAATCTAGTAATGTATACTGTATTTTCAATAAAACTCTACACATTCAAATTCTAGTATGCTGCTTATTTAATAAAACTCCACAAATCCAAAACATAACAGAAGGAACAAGCATTATCCATCTCACCCCATAGCATATCACATAATACAACAGGGTTATGTCTGTTAAAGATAAACACCCGTCCACCCATAATGTTATTTCTAGTCACATCTTAAAAGTGATCAAGAACTTAACTGCAAACAAAATACTAGTTTTCACAATTCAAAATGTGTTACATAAATATAAATCCAAAACATATTATCTAGCTAAGCAAGCATTAAACGATGTCCATATTCAAGGAAGAGGTCTCCATCCGTGTGTGTAAAACATGTTACTTCTAACATTAACAAAGCTAGACTTAACATGTCCAATGGGTGATAACTGTGACGAATAAAGCATCCAGGTGTACTGCATCCTAAAACATTGCAAAAGTAATTGCATTCCACCACCATTGATGCATGTACCTTCAACAAGAAGAGTGCACTTTGAGAGCTTCCCCTTTATCTCGATATGATACTCTGCCTCATCATCAACAATGCAGTTTGATATAACAAGGGAGTGTTTTGAACCTTCAACTTGGATTTCGTATCTATCTGAAGGCTCCAACTGTTTGTCATTTTGGAACCACTGGGATGGCTGACCTGCCTTGTTGATTTCACACTCAAGTTTAGCAGTTTCTGTTTCCATTACTTTAGTATCTTGTAATTCCGTTGTAAATTCTATTGGGGTTTCTGTTAATGTAAATGACCCAGATGCAATAATTGCTGGTACATATAATGTACAAATAAAATAGAAATTAAAACAAAAATTGAGAAAAATATTTAAGATAGCCTGAAACAATTAAATAAAAAATGATTCAAACTAATAAAAACTAAATGGAGATAGATACTGATTGGTTGCTAACGCTTATGTACCTTCAACATAAAGAGTACATTTGGATGTTTGATCTGCAATCTGTATAGTGTATTCAGCCTGGTCTTCAGTGATACAATTCAAGATGAGCAGAACATGTTTGGAGCTCTCAACCTCTATCTTATATCTCTCAGATGGCATGATCTCTATACCATCTTTGAGCCATGTGGGAGGTAGATCTGGTTTATTGACCTCACATTCAAGTCTAGCCATTTCAGTTTCAGACACTTCAACGTCCTTCAGTGGTACAACAAAAGTAACTGGCTCCTCTGTTGAAAAAATTAGTAGCATCTACTGTAAAAGCTGACACACCACACTGACCAAAGTTATGTGTCACAGTGATCAGGACATATATAGTTATGAAAATTAGCATAAAGTTAAGTCCTAAGGATGTGACACACAGTACATATGTATGCTTGAAACACAATTACCTCAGATCTAAATGGAAGAAACACTTAGGACTAAAGAGCTTAAAATGGTCCTTGATCACTGTAACATGTTTGATGAAATGATTAATCTACATATACTACTGAGTAAGTATCACACTACTTATTTTAATCATCATATGATTTATAAGTTCAATTGCTCAATCCCAATCAGAATCTTTAGATGAATATATTTTAAATAGTAAATATCATGCACATGTCAGACATACAAAACATAAACATATAATTTTCACACAAGTCTACCTTCAACATAAAGGAAGCATTTGGTCTCCTTGTCACTGATTTTAATTGTGAATTCAGCTTCATCATCTAACTTAGCATCTGTGATTATAAGATAATGTTTGGTCTCCTCCACAACTATCTGGTATCTACTAGTGCTAGGTTTTATAACTTCCCCATCTTTGTACCATACAGGTGTCTGGTTTGGTTTGTTAACTTCACACTCTAGACGAACAGTGTGTTTTTCAGTAGTTTCTGTATCTTTGAGAGGCACAGTGAACTCTACAGGGGCTTCTACATTACCAAGACAGAAAGAAACAGAGTATAAATATAACAGAACAGGCATGACAAAAGAAATCAAAAGTAAATAGATATTCCAGAAATAGAGCAGGTGGGTAAAAGCAAGAGGATTATTGGCATATATTCTACACAGAAATATTATTAACGTTCATTTAGTCTCTAACTACCTTGGACATAAAGTTTTCCCTTGGATTTCAAATCTTTGAGTTGAATTGTGAATTCTGCTGTGTCTTCTCCAAGCGCATCCTTTATAATCAGCACATGTTTTGTAGCTTCAATGATAAGTTGATATCTTTCTGTGGTAGGTTTGATCTCTTTGCCAGCTTTGAACCATTTAGCCTTCATGTTTGGTACATTGACCTCACATTCCAAACGTGCTGTTTCCTTTTCCATTATTGTTACATCTTCTAATTCCTTTATGAACTTCAGTGGTTCTTCTAAGAACAAAATATCTCTATTCAGATCTACCCCACATATATTATATTAACAACTACATGTACTCAACTACTAGTCTAGTGTTGCTACATGCAAATCTATACATAAGGAACTAAGAGCAGGTATAGAAAAGACAATAACATTGTTAAAAAGAAGATTTTGAGGTGTTTTACCTTCTACAAGGAGAGTAGCCTCAGATGTAGCCTCTAATAGTTTAACAGAGTATTTGGCCTCATCATCCAAAACACAATCTTTGATGGTCAAGAAATGTTTTGTTGCCTCCATTGTGGTTTTTATACGCTTTGTTGATTTGATTTCTTTGCCATCCTTAAACCATTTTGCATTAAGACGTGGCTTGGAAACCTCACATTCAAATATGGCAGTCTCTCCTTCCATAATGCTCACATCTTCCAAGGGTTTCAGGAATTCAGTTGGAGCTTCTATATTAGAGAGAGATAGAAACATTGGTAAAGATGCACTAATCAGCAAAGAAAGAGATATATAGGAAAAAACAAAGAGAAACAAGAAATATATATATATAGTTTTAGTAAAATAGACTAAGTGTTAATAAGAAAGAACTTATTTGGGTTACCTTTTACAGTAACTTTACACTTTGAGGAAACATCCTCTAGTTTGATAGAATAATTTCCAGCATCATCCATTTCACTTTCTTTAATAGTCAGGAAATGTTTGGTTCCTTCCACCTTGGGGACAACTTGTTTAGACGGTTTGATTTCTTTGCCATTTTTGAACCAATTTGCCTTGATGTTTGGCTTGGAGATTTCACACTCAAGATTGATTGTTTCTTTCTCAATGACCGAAACATCTTCAAGTGGTGTGAGCAGCTCAACAGGCAGTTCTGTTGTCAAAGTAAAAAAGGAATATAGAGATGTGAAATAGTTCACAAAGGAAGAAGAATGAAGTTCAGCTTCAAAATTCAGTTTAATAGAAATACAAATAACACAAGTACATCAAAATTGTATGCTATTGTTTTCATGCATCAAGGAAGATATGACAAATGAACAATGAGTAATATATTAATAAAGAATGACAGTTAGTATTTAAGCATTTCTCTGCATTGTGTTTTTTTGGCTATGATACATTTCAGTGGCTAAGCTATTATACCTTCAACTAGGACCATTGCAGTAGATACTTTATTTCTGACTCGTATACAGTAATCTAATTCATCGTCAAATGTGCAATCCTGTATGACAAGAATATGTTTGGTATCTTCAGATTTCATTTGATACTTCTCAGATTCCGCAATGGGTTTCCCTTCAACAAGCCACGTTACATCTTTACAAACAATATTAGTTATAGCCTCCATTACTGCAGTAGCATGTGTATAGACAAAAACATTCTTCAACGGCTCCAGAATCTCTACAGGGGGTTCTAAATGGGAAAGAAGCAAGCAATGAAAAAGCCTACTTTTAAAAAGCATGTGAAAGCAAAGCAGATATGGGGTAAAACAACAAATATGTTTTAACAAATAGAGTGAAGTTAGTATGATTGGTGATGGTGATTATGATATGGGATTTTAGGTAAGGAAGTTTGAAAAATGTTTTACACAGGGTACAAAGGTGGTCATATAGTGTACAGTATGTGCATTCCCTCAGGGTGAATTATCCCCATCTTGGCACATAAATACAAATAAGTCCACATACCCACTATGAGACAACATTGATGGTATTAAAGTACCCTTACCAATGACTTTGAGTAAGCAAGTACTCTCTTTTCCTTGCACATTAATAGTGTATTTAGCAGTGTCAGTTGGGGAACAATCGTCAACCACTAAGGTATGTGTGGTATAATCAATGGACATTTTGTGGTGATCACTAGGTGTAAGCTCAATGCCATCTTTGTACCATTTCGCCTTGAGGATAGGTCTTGATATCTCACAAACAAATGTAGCAGTCTTTTTTTCAAAAACTGTCATATCTTGAAGCGGTTTTATAAACTCCACTGGGGATTCTGAAATGTGTTATTAGAGGGTAAGCAGTATATTCATGGTGTCAGTGCATCATATGGTGATGTGTAGATTAAACGAGATGGTGTATGCTTTGAAAGCAGTGAGAATTAGTAATCATTCAAAAGAATACATAAATGAACATGTAGAGAAACATCATTTATGGTTTATGATTGAGTGGTGTAAGCATACTTCGAACTTTATTATAGAACATACCATCCACATAAAGAGTAGCTTTAGATGTTACATCTTGTATTTTGATGCTGTATTCAGCTTCATCATCGAGCACACAGTCTTTGATAGTAAGAGAGTGTATTGTTGAATCCATATCAATCTGAACTCTTTCAGACTCTTGAACCTCTTCACCTTCGATATACCATGTGGCCTTTTGATCAGGCTTTGAAATTTCACATTCAAATGATGCTGTTTCTTTTTCCATCACTGTGACATCTTTAAGTGGAGTCATGAAGACAAGTGGGGCTTCTGAGAAAACACACAAGAGTGGATTAGATAAAGAAAGAGATATTGAAAAGTTAATATATGAATTCCTTAAAGTACAGTTAAAGATAAAAGAGAGAGAGATAGACCTACACAGTTCATTTCCGTATCATGAATACCCTAAACCCAGATAATTCCATATATCATAAAGTAGAGCCTACATATTTGTTTGATATAAGCAAGTACCTTCAACAAGTATCATTGCAGTGGATTCCTTCTTATCAATCCTGATAGTATAGTCTGCCTCGTCATCTAGTTCACAATCATGAACCACAAGATAGTGTTTTGTGCCATCAACTTTCATTTCATATTTATCTGATGGCTTTAAGAGCTCGCCATCCATAAACCATGTTGCCTTTTGGTCAGGTTTGGACACCTCAGTATCAAGAGTTGCAGTTTCATTTTCCACAACAAACACATTCTTCAATGGGTCAAGGAACTCTATAGGCAGCTCTATAGAAGAATTCACACATAGAAAGAAAATAAGAATGCATTTCACATTAGGCCAGTGTTAAAGCAATGACCCGAGTGAAATTTTCTGCATGATATTCAGACTGATCATAGATGTGATAGAAAAATAAGAGAAAACAACACAAAGATATTAATTCATCAGTCTGTAGAAGACAAAGAACAGATTCAACTTGCATGCTTTTGTAAAGAACATTTTTACAGGTTCATGTAGTAATGGGCCTCACCTTGGACAGTCAGTTTTGCTTGAGACTTCTTTTCTTGGACATTGATTGTATACTCTGCCTCATCATCAAGAACACAATCCTTTACGGTCAGGAAATGTTTCTTTCCGTCAACTTTGATATCATATTGTCTACCAGATTTAATTTCCTTGTCTTCTCGGAACCATTTTGCAATTTGGTTTGGTTTAGAAACTTGGCATTCAAATGTTGCAGTTTCTGTTTCCATAACTGTGACATCAGAAAGTGGTGTCAAGAATTCAACAGGGAGTTCTAAAGAAAAGAGAAATGGAATATAGAAAGGAAATAAGATACATACAGTGCATATAGTTAGGAGGCAGTATAGTAATACAGTATACAGCAAAACAGACAAAATGAGATACTGCATACAAAAGCATGTTACATTTATGAATTTCTTACCATCAACGCAAAGTAAACATTCAGAATCTTTTCCTTGGACATTGATGGAGTACTTTGCTTCATCATCAAGGATACAGTCTTTGATAGTTAATGTATGTTTTGTTCCATCAACTTTAACTTCATATCTATCTCCAGATTTGATTTCCTTTCCTTCACAGAACCATTTTGCTTTCTGATTTGGTTTAGAAACTTCGCATTCCAATGTTGCAGTTTCCTTCTCCATAACTGTGACATCAGAAAGTGGTATTGTGAATTCAACAGGGAGTTCTAAGAAAGTGAAGAGTAAAAGGTTATTGGCAAAGATAAATTTGGAATATACAAGCGAAGAGCAGATATTAGTTTGCCACATCTACAGGACAAATAGAAAATATTGTTACATTCATACAAGAAATATTAATGAGTAAGCTACCTTCAACAAGTAGTGTGCATTTTGAAGATACATCTTGGATTGTAATTGTATATTCAGCTTCGTCATCCAACTCAGAGTTTAAGATGACAAGGAAGTGTCTTGTTTCTTCAATTGTTATCTGGTATCTCTCAGAAGGTTTGATCTGTTCACCATCTTTGTACCAAGAAGCTGTTTTATTAGGTTTGTTAATCTCACATTGTAGCTTAGCAGTTTCCTTTTCAACTACTGTGAGATCTTTCAGTGGAACAGTGAATTCTACAGGTGCTTCTAAAAGAGAAAAGGAAAGACTCATAGACAGGAGTGGTAAAAGGTGAAAGCAGAGTATAACAAGCATTATAAAGAAAAGTACTTGGAGAGTATGGAAAATGCCATAATACTATATCTTACCATTGACAAGGACCATACATTTGGAATCTTTGTCTTTAATTTTGATGGTATATTCAGCTTCGTCATCTAATTCAGATGGATTGATAATGAGATAATGTTTGGTAGCTTCAATTCTTATTTCATATCGCTCATTTGGCTTGATTTCTTTTCCATCCTTGTACCAAATGGCGGTCTGATTGGGCTTGTTGATCTCACACTCAAGTGTGATGATTTCGTTCTCGGTCACCTCTTGATCTTTCAGTGGGACAGTAAACGTAACTGGTTCTTCTGAGAAAAGAAAGAAAATGTTGTAGCTAGAAGATTCAAGAAGAGAACTGAAGTAAAAACTAAAACACACATGTGATTTATTAAAAAGCCAGTATCTATCTTGATCTGATAAACAATTAATTTAAAGAACCAGTTATCAAGATGTATACCATTGATCAGAACTTTTCCCTTGCTTTCTTGATCACTGATTTTCACAGTGTACTCTGCTTCATCATCAAGTTCAGTTGGTTTGATTATCAGGAAATGTTTGGTGTCTTCTACTCTGATCTCATATCTATTACTTGGTTTTATTTCTTCTCCATCCTTGAACCAAGTGGCCTTCTGTCCAGGCTTGTTCACCTCACATTCTAATGCGACCTCTTCCTTCTCCATGACTTCTTTGTCTTTGAGAGGCACAGTGAAACTGACGGGTTCTTCTAAAGGGTGGAATAAAAACAGGAGGTAAGGCACAGAAGACAGATAAGAACAATGTTTCACTCATTGTCAATTAGGAAGCATAGAATTAATTAGAAAAGTAAGTAACATTGGTTAACATGAAGAAATTAATATACAGTATACAGAGAAAACAAGTTTACAAGGAAAACATAAATGAATGTACAAATGAGACAGATAAGAACAATGTTTCACTCATTGTCAATTAGGAAGCATAGAATTAATTAGAAAAGTAAGTAACATTGGTTAACATCAAGAAATTAATATACAGTATCCTGAGAAAAACACATTTACAGGGAAAACATAAATGAATGTACAAATGAACAGTTAAATGGTTAATAATACAAAGGTTCAGTTAAGAAGGTATATACCATTGATCAAAACTGTTCCCTTGCTTTCCTGATCACTGATTTTCACAGTGTACTCTGCTTCATCATCAAGTTCAGTTGGTTTGATTATCAGGAAATGTTTGGTGTCTTCCACTCTGATCTCATATCTATTACTTGGTTTTATTTCTTCTCCATCCTTGAACCAAGTGGCCTTCTGTCCAGGTTTATTCACCTCACATTCTAATGTGACCTCTTCCTTCTCCATGACTTCCTTGTCTTTGAGAGGCACAGTGAAACTGACTGGTTCTTCTAAAGGGTGGAATAAAAACAGGAGGTAAGGTACAGAAGACAGATGAGAACAATGTTTCACTCATTGTCAATTGGGAAGCATAGAATTAATTAGAAAAGTAAGTAACACTGACTGGTTCATCTGAACGGTTGAAGAATAGGGAGCAATAGGTACATCGGACAGAAATAGAACATCCATTCATTATTTGATCATTATTGTTATTTGGGAGAGAAAAACAGAGGATTTAGTATAGAAGGTTAGGAAAAGTAAACAGTAGTGTTATAAGGTAATAAATATTGAGAAATTAATGTACATTCAAAGGACAAGGTAAAAGGCATATACCATTTATCAAAACTGTTCCCTTGCTTTCCTGATCACTGATTTTCACAGTGTACTCTGCTTCATCATCAAGTTCAGTTGGTTTGATTATCAGGAAATGTTTGGTGTCTTCTACTCTGATCTCATATCTATCACTTGGTTTTATTTCTTCTCCATCCTTGAACCAAGTGGCCTTCTGTCCGGGCTTGTTCACCTCGCATTCTAATGTGACCTCTTCCTTCTCCATGACTTCCTTGTCTTTAAGAGGCACAGTGAAACTGACTGGTTCCTCTGAAGGGTTGAAGAATAAGGGGGTAACAAGGGCACATCAGACAGACATTAAATATCCACTCATTTTTTGTTTATTATTGTTAATTAGGAGAGGAAAAACAAAGGATTAAGTATAGAAGGTAGGGAAATGTAATCATTAATGTTATAAAGGAAAACACTGAGACATTAATGTACAAAGAAATAGTCATTAGAAGAAAGGACTGGTTAAAATGTATATACCATTGATCAAAACTGTTCCCTTGCTTTCTTGATCACTGATTTTCACAGTGTACTCTGCTTCATCATCAAGTTCAGTTGGTTTGATTATCAGGAAATGTTTGGTGTCTTCTACTCTGATCTCATATCTATCACTTGGTTTTATTTCTTCTCCATCCTTAAACCAAGTGGCCTTCTGTCCAGGCTTGTTCACCTCACATTCTAATGTGACCTCTTCCTTCTCCATGACTTCCTTGTCTTTAAGAGGCACAGTGAAACTGACTGGTTCCTCTGAAGGGTTGAAGAATAAGGGGGTAACAAGGGCACATCAGACAGATATTAAATATTCACTCATTATTTGTTTATTATTGTTAATTGGGAGAGGAAAAACAAAGGTTTACGTATAGAAGGTAAGGAAATGTAAACATTAAATTTATAAAGGAAAACACTGAGACATAAATGTGCAAAGAAACAGTTGTTAGAAGAAAGGACTGGTTAAAGGTATATACCATTGATAACAAACTGTTCCCTTCATTGTCTTTGAGAGGCACAGTGAAACTGACCAGCCTTTCTGCATCATGTATTAATAGATAGTGAAATAGAAACAGTTGGGCATTTCTAATAGGGAAAGGTTAATAAGCATTTTTAAAGTATTAATAAGAATATAAGATATAATATATGTACCATTTACAAGAACAGTTGATTGAGATTCTTTCCCCTTTATGTTCACAGTATAGTTAGCTTCATCATCAAGTTTGGAATCCTTAATGATGAGGAAATGTTTGGTGCCCTCAACTCTGATCTCGTATCTCTCATCTGGCTTGATTTCCTGGCCATCTTTGTACCATTTGGCAGTAAGATCTGCTTTGGTAACCTCACATTCCAGCGCTACAGTTTCTTTTTCCTCAACCTCAGAGTCTTTCAGAGGTACTGTGAATTCTACAGGTGCTTCTGAATGGGGGAACATAAAGATATCATGTTAGTATTGTAAACTCTTGTATAAGAAGACAGATAGGTGAGTAAAGGTTGTGGTCATTTTGTCAATATTGAGAATATAGATATTAAAAGAGAGTAAAACCAAAGCAGGAAATCAATATGTATTGAGTTGACATAAAATATATATACAGATAGACATGTATTCTGGGAAGATAGTTTGAACATTGACAAAACCTTTAGAATCATCTTATACCTTCTACAAATAAGGTTCCAGTGGTATCTTTATCTGCTATCTTCACTGTATATTCAGCTTCTTCATCAAGTGTTGGATTCTTAACAGTTAAAGTGTGTGTCACTCCATCAACTGCTATTTGATATGTTTCATCAGGTTCTATTGGTTCGCCATTCTTAAACCAGGTGGCTATTTGATCAGGTTTAGACACCTCACATTGAAGACTAGTGGTTGCCTTCTCAGCTGTTGTTACATCTTTGAGAGGCATGGTAAACTCAACGGGGAGCTCTATTGAGTAGAAAAGAAAAGGAACAATGAAAAGGGTTAAAAGGTAATGTATATGTTTTGGAAAGGGTTAGGTACAGTTTGGGAACATCAAGAGAGTTAAGAAGAGAGTAATGGGTATTAAGAGAAAGGAATAGTACCTTCTACAACCAGTGTTCCTTTGGTATCCTTTTCTGCTATCTTCACTGTATATTCAGCCTCCTCATCAAGTGTTGGATTCTTAACAGTTAAAGTGTGTGTCACACCATCAACTGTCATTTGATATGTGTCATTAGGTTCAATTGGCACTCCATTTTTGAACCATGTTGCTACTTGATCAGGTTTAGACACCTCACATTGAAGGCTTATTGTCGCCTTTTCCTTTGTTGTAACATTTTCAAGTGGTTTTGTGAATTCAACAGGGAGTTCTGAGGGAAAGATAAAGCAAGAATATAGTATTAAATATGCAAAGAGAAGGGGGAACATAATGCAAAGAAAATATCAGAGAAGTATAACATTAAAGTCAATATGCAATACCTTCAACCATAAGTGTTCCCTTAGTGTCTTTATCAGATATTTTCACTGTATATTCAGCTTCTTCATCAAGTGTTGGGTTCTTAACAGTTAAAGTGTGTGTCACACCATCAACCATCATTTGATATGTGTCATCAGGTTCAATTGGCACTCCATTTTTGAACCATGTTGCTACTTGATCAGGTTTAGACACCTCACATTGAAGGCTTATTGTCGCCTTTTCCTTTGTTGTAACATTTTCAAGTGGTTTTGTGAATTCAACAGGGAGTTCTGAGGGAAAGATAAAGCAAGAATATAGTATTAAATATGCAAAGAGAAGGGGGAACATAATGCAAAGAAAATATCAGAGAAGTATAACATTAAAGTCAATATGCAATACCTTCAACCATAAGTGTTCCCTTAGTGTCTTTGTCTGCTATCTTCACTGTATATTCAGCTTCCTCATCAAGTGTTGGGTTCTTAACAGTTAAAGTGTGTGTCACACCATCAACTGTCATTTGATATGTGTCATCAGGTTCAATTGGCACTCCATTTTTGAACCATGTTGCTATTTGATTCGGTTTAGACACCTCACATTCAAGACTGACTGTGGCCTTTTCTTTTGTAGTCACACTAGTAAGTGGTTTTGTGAACTCAATTGGAATTTCTGTTAAAAAGAGGAAATGTTGAATAAGAAAAAGTAAAGGTGAACAAGATTATTGGGGAAATAGCATTAGAGAGATGAGGAATTGTAAGATGTGTAAAGAATAAGCGTTACAATATGTACCTTCAACAACAAGTTTTCCTGTACAGGCTTTAGCTGCTAGTTTCACTGTATATTCTGCTTGGTCGTCAGGAGCTGCCTCCTTGACAATAAGTGAGTGTTTCACTCCTTCCACTTTGATTTCATGTGTTTCATCTGGTTTGATCTCCTCACCATTCTTGAACCAAGTGGCAATTTGGTCAGGCTTTGAGACTTCACATTCTAGAACCGTAGTTGCTTTCTCCTTGGTGACAACATCCTTGAGAGGGGTAGTGAACTCAACACCAACTTCTATTATTGAAAAGAAAAGATAGGGTATTGTTATGGGCAAAGATGTAGCTTTATCAGGATAGGAGAGGAAATAGAATATGAAGATATAGTCTAAAACAAGCAAGCAAGCATGCATATTCTAGAGAGAAAGGATATATTAAGTAAAGGTGAAAAAGGAGAAAGTACCTTCAACAAAGAGTGTAGCTTTGGACTTCCTATCCCCAATCTGAACAGTATATTCTGCCTCATCATCCAAGGTGCTATCTTTAATAGTTAACGTATGTTGCGTTCCCTCGATGGTGATCTCATATTTATCATCTGCTTGGATTTCTATACCATCTCTGAACCACTTCGGTATTTGGTCAGGTTTGGACACCTCGCATACCATGCTGACAGTCTCATCTTCCAAGACGTCAGAGTCTTTCAGTGGGATGGTGAACTCAACTGGTTTTTCTGATACAGAAATAAAGGATTAAGATGACAGAAAAGATAAGACAAAAGAAATTGGCTTGAAGAAAAACATTTAAAAAGGAGTTTGACAACTAGGAGAAACTACACAGGTAATCATTTTGTAATTCGTAGTATCTACATGTATATCCTGGTTTAGAGAAGTCTCAGATCAAGAATTTCAATATTATACATAGGAAAGAAATAAGCAACATACATAAAGAAGACAGTCTTAGTACAAACGAACCTTCAACATGTAATTTAGCTGATGATTCTTCATCTTGAACCTTTAAAGTGTACTCAGCCTCAGCATCAAATGATGCATCAGGGATAGTGAGTGTATGACTGACACCATCCATTGTTATCTTATAACCACTTGTATCATCAATAGGTTTACCATCCTTCAGCCAGGTCACATGGGCATTAGCCTTGGTCAATTCACATCCAATAGTAACAGTTTCATTTTCCATGCATTTGGTTTCCTCTAGTGGTTTTGTTATATGTACTGGTTCTTCTATAAATCCATGCAAACAAACAGTAAAAGTGGATATACACACAAGAGAAGAAAGAGACAGAAAAGTAAATAAATACACAAAGATTCAACAGCACAGTTACAATGAAAGGTAGTAGAGTTAGACAGAGTTACACAGTTAGAAAGATGGAAAAGTTCAAAGATTTAGAGACCCATATATTACCTTCAATGATGAGAGTAGCAGTTGATAACTTTTCACCAAGTTTCACAGAATATACAGCAGCCTTTTCAAATGAGGCATCAGGGATAGTTAATGAATGTTTCACTCCATCCACCTCAATCTTAAACTCATCGGCCTCTTCAATTGGTACTTCATCTTTCATCCATGTTACAGGAGCATTGGGTTTGGAAACTTCACACTCAAATGTTACAGACTCATGCTCCATACATTTTGTTTCTTTCAGAGGAATGGTGAAGTCAATAGGCTCTTCTGTGGGAGGACAGGGAAAACAGAAATAGGAAATGAGATTCACACATCAAAACACGAGGAAGAATTCAGGATATATAAAAAACAGAAGACATTTGACAAAGTAAAGGATAGCAAACACCCATCAAACATAAAGGCTGCCTTCAAAGCCATAATAGCCATAATATCATGGTAGCCACAAAGAGATTTGAGCTTTACTTACCCTCAACTGTTAGTTTAGCTTTGGAGTTCTGGTCTTGGGCAACTATGGTGAAATCAGCAGTCATATCCAGTGTAGCATCTGGGATCCTCAGTGTGTGTGTTACACCTACCATCTCAATTTGATACTTGTCAGATTTCTCAATAGGTTTCCCTGCTTTGAGCCAGGTGACTGGACAATCTGGTTTGGAGAGCTTGCAGGTAAATGTATGGCTTGTGTGTTCCATGATGGTGGCATCTGTCAGTGGTTCCACAATGCGTACAGGTTCTTCTGCAACACCAACATCATTCATATATAACTGAACATCATCATTCACATGAATTAGGGCATCATGAACATAATCTATTTCATTTTGAGTTTGAATGTTTTACATGTTGCAAATCATACTAGAGCCATTTTAGTTTGGGTTATTGAGGCGCATTCATCTGTACACTCTTTTAAAATCAGATAAGAGGCTCCTGTAATTCCTAGATCACATTCATCGTACATCTCTCTCACATACAAGCAAGCATTACATCAACCTCGCACAGTGTATTGCATTGTTATTAATATGAGTTGTAGATTGTTAAAGTATACAAACCTTGAATGTCTGGTGTTAATGTTATAGGAGATTCAGAGATATTTCTTGTTGTTAATGTTAAAGAAGATTCAGTTGGTTGAACCTCATCAGGAGTTATTACATCTGGTTGTAAGTCTGTAAGTCAAGCAGGGGTTACAATAAGCACATGTATAGCAGTGAGAATATAGCGCGCAGGATAGCTGAACAAACACAATGGTCATAAGTCCCTTTACTAGAAAACTATCTTGAAATATTGAGGATCACGATACCTCCTTTTCAATTCATGATATAGAATTTTCATAAAAGAAGAAAATGGGTTTTTTAAATCTTATGCCGTAATTCTTGTTGAGATACAGCCCCCAAAGTAGCTTGTCCAAGCCATAAACTTTATACAGTTGTGCAAGCTGTGCAAGTGACATTTACATGGCAGCAGCGCCTCATTTAAATAGTGAATATTTAATACACACAAATTACTTCTTACAGTAAAACATATAGATTTACATATATGACAAATACATGTACATGTGTTGACAACACTATCCATGCATTATGCTCACGTGCAGTGCTATTGCAAATTGTGCACAGTATCCACAGATGTCCAAGCAGCAAACAAGAACTTACAAATTAGAAAAGAAATTGATAAATATTTGAAATAACTCATGTCATCTGAAGACTAAATTATACTAATACTGACCAAGCATAGAGACATTTACAAGAGAACAAAGAATAAAACAATCCCATCTTCCTCATGGGAAAATCATAAGCATCTGAAATATCCAAACAACAATGCAAATAACACTTCTTCTATTCATAGGGTCCAAAAGAATAAGAAACATGAGAATGTATGAATAACTGCTCTAAACAACAATGCAAATAACATATCTTCTATTCATAAGATAGGTGTAACAAAATAATGAAGAATAGGCAATGAACATTTAGATGAATGACATTTAACATAAATTCAAACAAAACAGAGTAAACCTGAAATACCAACTGGCAAATGCATCTCTGACCAAATATTTTGGTAACCATCTAAAGTCATCTATTAAACAGAATAAAGCAAGACAAGGGGATACACTGAATTCAATTACCTTGACCATGTTCAAAATATACATCACTGTTTGTGACACTGAGGTTATCCTCCCTCTGTCTGCCTTTGAGGTTCAAACCAATTACTTCAAAACTTTTCTCAACTTGATTCTCAGTCATATTTGGTTTATCTGACTCTATCATACTCAAATTTACACTTTCTGATTTTTCTTGAAATTCGGTTTCAGCCAATTCCCATTTTGATGTTTCAGTAGGTTCAGAAGTTTCTCCTGGTTCAGTAACATGTACTTCCAAAGTGAGAGTTTCAGAAGTTTCCTCAAATATGTTTTTCTCATGTTCTTTCCTTGGTGTTTCATCAAATGCGATATCTGGTATATCCTCTGTTTCAATATCTGGTATTTCCCCTGTTTCAATATCTGGTATTTCCTCAGTGTCAATATTTGGTATTTCATCTGTTTCAAATTCTGGCGTTTCCTCAGTTCTTATACCTGGAATTTCCTCAGTTTCAATTTCTGGTATTTCATCTGTTTCAATTTCTTGTATTTTTTCTTTGATGATTTCTGGTGTTTTTTCAGATACAATTTGAGGTATTTCTTCCAGTTCATTATCAAATATTTCCTCAGGTACAGTTTGTGGTGTTTCCTCAATTTCAATTTCTGGTGTTTCCCCAGATTCAATTTCTGATGTTTTCTCAGGTACTGAATCTTGTGTTTCAGTTTCAATTTCTAGAGTTTCTTTAGTTCCTAGTTCCAATGTCTCCTCAGATTCAATTTCTTGGGTTTCCCCAGATATTGAATCTAGTGTTTCCTCAGTTGAAAATGTTGGTCTTTCCTCATTTTCAATTTCGAGTGTTTCCACAGTTTCAATTTCAGGTGTTTCCTCATGAACATTTTCTTTTTTCTCAGGTATAGTTTCTGGTGTTTCCTCAGGTAGAGTTTCTGGTATATCCTCAGTTTCTATTGTTTCCTCTGTTACAGTTTCCGGTGTTCCTTTGGGCACTGTGTCTGAATTTTCCCCAGTTTCTGTTTCTGGGGTTTCCTCTGTTAAAGTTTCAGGTGTTTCTCCTGGCAATGAGTCTGATGTTTCCATAAGTGCAGTGTCTGCTATTTCACCAAGAACTACTACTGGTGTTTCCCCAAGTACAGTTTTGGGTGTTTCATAAGGAACTATTTCTGATGTTTCCTCATGTAGAGTTTCTAGTGTTTTTTCAGTAACAGCTTCATATGTCTCCCCGGGTACTGCTTCTGTAGTTTCCCCTGCCACTGTTTCTGGTTTTTCATCAGGAGCTACTTCTGGTATTCCCTTGGAAACTGTTCCTAGTGTCTCCCCAGCTTGAGTTTCTGGCATTTTCTTAGGTTCAGTTACATGTGTTTCCTCAGGTTCAGTTTCTTGTGTTTCCTTAGCTTCAATTTTTGGTGTTTCATCAGTTTCAGTTTCTAGTGTTTCTTCAGATTCAATATCTTGTGTTTTCTTAGCTTCAATTCCTGGTGTCCCATCAGTTTCAATTGTTTCATCAGTAACATTTTTTGGTGTTTCTTCTGCCACTGCATATGGTGTTTCCTCAGAAACTATTTCTGGTGTTCCATCAGTTTCAATTTCTAGTGTTTCCTCAGGTTCAGTATCTTGTGTTTCCTTACCTTCAATTTTTGGTGTTCCATCAGTTTCAATTTCTTGTGTTTCCTTAGTAACAGTTTTTGGTATTTCATCTGCCACTGCATATGATGTCTCATCAGAAACTCTTTCTGGTGTTTCCTCAGTAACAGTTTCTTCTGCCTCTGTATCTGGTTTTTCATCAGGAACTATTTTTGATGTTCCCTCAGATACTGTTTCTGATATTTCCTCAGCTTCTAGTGTTTCATCAGCTTCAATTTCTTGTGTTTCCTCAGTAAAAGATTTTGGTGTTCCCTCTGTTAAAGATTCTGGTGTTTCTTCTAGCACTATATCTGGTTTTTCCTCAGGAACTATTTCTGGAGATTCATCAGGAACTATTTTTGGTGTTTCCTCAGGTAGAGTTTCTGTTGTTTCCTCAGTTTCAGTTTCTGGTATTTCCTCTACTGCAGTTTCTGGTGTTTCTTCTGTTGCAGTTCCAGGTGTTTCCTTTGTAACAGTTTCTGATGTTTCCTCAGTTTTAATATCTGGTATTTCCTCTGCTACAGTTTCGAGTGTTTCTGCTGGCAATGTGTCTGATGTTTCCATAAGTGCAGTGTCTGGTTTTTCACCAAGAACTACTTCTGGTGTTTCCTCAGGTACAGATTTGGGTGTTTCCCCAGGTACAGATTTGGGTGTTACATAAGGAACTATTTCTGATGTTTCCTCATGTAGAGTTTCTCTTGTTTCCCCAGTTTCAGTTTCTAGTGTTTCCTTGGGTGATGATTCTTCAGTTTTCTCTGCCAATGTTTCTGATTTTTCATTAGGAGCTTTTTCTGGTGTTTCCACTGAAACTATTTCTGGTATTCCCTTGGAAACTGTTCCTGTTCCAGTTTCTAGTGTTTCCACAGGTTCAATTTCTTGTGTTTCCTTAGTTTCAATTTCTGGTGTTTCATCAGTTTCTATTTCTTGTGTTTCCTCAACAACAGCTTTTGGTTCTTCTGTCTCTATATCTGGTGTTTCCTCAGAAACTATTACTGGTGTTTCCTCAGGTTTTCTTTCTAGAGTTTCCTCAGATTCAGTCTCTAGTGTTTCCATTGCTTCAATATCTGGTATTTTGTTAGTTTTAATTTCTTGCGTTTCTTCAGTAACATTTTTTAGCGTTGTTTCTTCCACTGTATCTGGTGTTTCCTCAGAAACAATTTCTGATGTTCCCTCAGCTTCAGTTTTTAGTGTTTCCTCAGGTTCAATTTCCTGTGTTTCATTTGCTTCAATTTCTGGCGTTTCTTCGGTTTCATTTTGTTTTCTTTCCTTAGTAACAGTTTTTGCTGTTTCCTCTGCCATTCTCTCTGGTGTTTCCTCAGAAACTATTTCTGGTGTCTCATCAGCTTCATATTCTTGTGTTTCTTCAGTTCTTGGTCTTTCTTTAAATAGAATTTCGGATGTTTCTTCAGATACAGTTTCTGATGCTTCCTCTGGCACTGTATCTGGTATTTCATCAGCAACATTTTCTGGTGCTTCTTCTGAAACTATTCTTGTATTTTCACCAAGAACTATTTCTGGCGTTTCCTCAACAATTACAATTTCTTGTGTTTCATCAGAAACCACTTCTAGTGTTCTCTCAGAATCTATCTCTTGTGTTTGCTCTGTCACAGTTTCCTCATGTGCAGTTTCTGGTGTTTCACCAGGAACTATTTCTGATGTTTCCTCAGCAGGTACAATTTCTTGTGTTTCACCAGAAACCACTTCTGGGTTTTCCTCAGAATCTCTTTCTTTTGTTCGCTCTGTGGCAATTTCCTCAGGTACAGTTTCTGTTGTTTCATCAGGAACTATTCCTGGTGTTTTCTCAGCAGGTACAATTTCTTGCATTTCATCAGAAACCACTTCTGGTGTTTCCTCAGAATCGCTTTCTTGTGATTGCTCTGTCACAGTTTCCTCATGTGCAGTTTCTGTAGTTTTACCAGGAACAATTTCTTGTGTATCATCAGAAACCACTTCTAGTGTTCTCTCAGAATCTATCTCTTGTGTTTGCTCTGTCGCCATTTCCTTAGGTACAGTTTCTGTTATTTCATCAGGAACTATTTCTGGTGTTTCCTTAGAATCTATTTCTTTTGTTTGCTCTGTGAAAATTTCCTCAGGTACAGTTTCTGTTGTTTCATCGGGAAGTATTTCTGCTGTTTCCTCAGCAGGTATAATTTCTTGCGCTTCATCAGAAACAACTTCTGGTGTTTCCTCAGAATCGCTTTCTTGTGTTTGCTCTGTCACAGTTTCCTCATGTGCAGTTTCTGTTGTTTTACCAGGAACTATTTCTGGTGTTTCCTTGGCAGGAACAATTTCTTGTGTATCATCAGAAACCACTTCTAGTGTTCTCTCAGAATCTATCTCTTGTGTTTGCTCTGTCACAGTTTCCTCAGGTACAGTTTCTGTTGTTTCATCAGGAACTATTTCTGGTGTTTTCTCAGCAGGTACAATTTCTTGCATTTCATCAGAAACCACTTCTGGTGTTTCCTCAGAATCTCTTTCTTTTGTTTGCTCTGTGACAATTTCCTCAGGTACAGTTTCTGTTATTTCATCAGGAACTATTTCGAGTGTTTCCTCAGCAGGTACAATTTCTTGCATTTCATCAGAAACCACTTCTGGTTTTTCCTCAGAATCTCTTTCTTTTGTTTGCTCTGTGACAACTTCTTCAGGTACAGTTTCTGTTATTTCATCAGGAACTATTTCGAGTGTTTCCTCAGCAGGTACAATTTCTTGTGTTTCACCAGAATCTATTTCTTGTGTTTCCTCTGTCACAGTTTCCTTAGGTACAGTTTCTGGTGTTTCATCAGGAACTATTTCTGGTGTTTCCTCAGGTGAAGTTTCTATCATTTCCTCGTGTACAGTTTTTGATGTTTTCTCAGTTGGTGATTCTTCATGTAATGTTTCTGGTCTTTCCTTAGATACCAATAAATCTGTAGTGCTCTCATCAAGTGTTTCTTCTTCATTTACAATAGGGAGAGCACTCATAATATCACAAGCAACTGACTGAGAATCAAGGTTTAGTTGATTGGTATCCACAACATGTGGCTGCACAGTGTCAAGAATAATATCTGACTCAAAGGCAAAGTGAAGGGTAGAGTCGGTGCTAATCGTGTGCTGAGTAGCTGGAACAGCAATTATTACAGTGCAGTGGGTTATCACACAGTGCATATTACAATTCCTGCATTACACAAAGATATCATTATTAAGTTCTAACACTGAGAAATAAAGGTAATGATATCTTGTTGTAAGAAACTAGTCTCACTCGGGTCTAGTACATGGTCAGAAAGGCTGGCTCTGCTTCTACAGTGTTCAAGGTGTTTACTTTGTCTTATTGTGGTCTTGTTGACAATAGAAATCTCCATGCAATGATACATTCTGGATTCATAATCAGAGGTAGGTGCTACAGCATTTAAGCTCCTCTATTATATACTTAAAACATACTGGTATCATTTGGGTATAGCAAATGGTATTGTGGTGTAGTGGGGGCTATAATATCTTGAAAACTACTGTGAAATAGTGTATATTCCAAGAGTAGACACTGTACTGACATTAAGAATATATAAAATGCTCTCATTGGAATGTGATTTATCAAATTCATAAGTGAACAATTAGAATATGCAAATGCATGACTATCATTGGAATGGGACTGTCAAATTGAAATATTGGCAAATGAGTCTTTTACTATGAAAATGATAAGGTGTATTTTTCTGCATTCATAATTGAGATCAATTAAAAATCTTAAATACCAGAATAGAGAGCTTTTATATTTGTACCATGATATCACTGCATGAGGTCGTTATCATAGGAGACACACATTTAAAGAAAGCACACTTTTTAAGGAAGCACACATAATGAGTTAGCAACACTTTAGCAAAAATCTGTTATCATTGCTTTTGCAGTATATGTTGAAAATTATATTTGTTTTAAAATTAATTTCATATTATTTTTGTTTTGAATAGCAATAGAACATTACAGTAAACCATACCACGTATATTGATTATGTGATCTCATCAATAGTTTTTTTTGACAGACATTACACACTTTTGAAATTGATCTTGTAACCTCTGACATAAAAGTCACAAACCAAATGCTTCACTTCCATTTTATTGTCAAATTCGTATCACAAGTTTTAGTTCTACATTTGATTCTATATAATGAGGAGTGATATATATCAGTTTCTTTAATTTGGCTCATCACATGAGGCGGGGTTTACTGTAAAAGTCTAATGCTTGTATAATCACATAGGGTCAACTATGGGGTGAATTGAAATGACCACATTTTTGGAAACCATTTTTCATTGGATGTCCGAGTCTCTTACCATATAGTTGAAGATGTTGTACCAGTAGGAATGTATGTTTATTTTGATTTCAATGCTTTTGAAGAAATTTTGAATTTCCAGTTGAAAAATAGTTTTAACAGTATTCAAATAACTGGTCATTTCAATACAGATGAGAGTCTCCTTTGTGATAACCGTTAGTCATAAGTGCATTAAATATTACACCACACATTGGTTAGTTCATATATATATTTATTAAGATATAAACATAGACTTTATATATAATATAACTTACATGAACACTTTAACAAGCATGCAGCACCCAACAAATGTAACAGTAACATAACAGAATAAACAGAACAGGAGATAAAAAACTCAACACTTTTAACTTGAGTTCTTACTTACCATGATCCAAGGTGCATTTAGTTACTTTTCACATTCACATATTTCCTTCTATTCTAACTAATGTATTGGTCAGTCATCATTCAGAAAATGTATGTACATTCTTTGATTAAAAAATTCATGCAAAACATTTTTGGTTATTGTGGAATGTTAATGCTGATCAAAAGGAATCATTATATATTATAGTTCAAAAATGCATTGGTTCAATGTTTATGCTCTTTGTGCCTCACTATACATGGAGTGTAGGTTGTTGAGGTAGAAATTGTAGTCTCTTCACACATAGTTAGTCTATTCTAGTCTCACACAATGTTAGTATATGTTCACACTTTATTAGTATCTATTCACACACTGTAGCATCTATTCACACAAAGGTGGTGTCTGATCACACTGTTAGTGTCTATTCACTCTAGTAAGATAGTCTGCAGACAAATATATCTCAACTGGAAAAAGAAAACATAAGAAGAAAAGCAAGAGATAGTTGAACAGATATCTAGTACTATACAGAACAATTCTAATTCTAAATAGCATCAAAATGTTAATAAAACTACTAAAATTCAATTCACTAATGAACTAGATAGAAATTAGTATTTCGTTTAAATATGCACCAAATTTGTAGCACAGTTTTATGCTCAACTCATGCTCATTAGTGTGGTAGAATTAAGTACCTTCTATCCTGGGTAAGCCAACAAGTTTAGCAGTTTGAGGTATTTTAATGACCACTGGACCAGTAGAGTCATCACTATCAGGTGTTACAGTTAGTTCATTAGGACACAACACATCCACAGATAAAGGGGTTACATCAATAGTATCACACACACTCCCAGGTTCTAGGTCATGGCCAAGTACAGTAATTTCTAAGTTTGTGTCTTCAATAGGGCCTTTGTCTGCAGCATAATTCACCGCTTGAGTATATTGAGACATTGCTGATTCAACCTCTTCTGTGATGTGACTCTGAGTAGGTCCAAAACTGAGTTCTGTTATAACACTATGTTTAGGACTTTTTTCTCTCTCAGGTGTTGAATCTTCTTTTGTTACCCCAGCTTTTGTGATAGTGACATAGTCTTCAACATTAGTTTGTGGCAGATTATCTGGAGTGAGTTCTAATGAAACAGACTCAAAGTGACTCTTTGGTTGAGGAGAAAATTCAAACTTTGATATTTCATTTGATATCTTGTCATTGCTATCATCTGAATGGGATTTCTCAACCATTGTTAATATAGTTTCTGGTGTTTCTATATCAATACTAGTGCTTGATATCTCTGATGGTTTGTCTTTGGGAACCTCAATTTCATTTGATTTGACATCAATGTCATCTGGTTTTCCTTTACTCGATATGTCTATCGACAATGTACTCTCGATATTCAAGTCATCAAAAACATCTATTCCCTCACTAGAGACATAAATACTGGATGGGGTATCAACAGGTTCACTTGACAAACTTTCACTAAACATACTATCCGTTTCCTCAGTCACTGTACTTAATACAGTTCTTCTCATATGGTCTGAAGGCTCTGATTGTGGGGTTACATTGATTACTGTTAGATCTGAATCAGTTACACTTGAAGGACTTAATGCATCTTCAACCTGACCAATAATGTCACCGAGGCTAGTGTCTATAATAACATCAGTAGTCTCAGTTTCAAATGGTGCTATAGTCAGCTGGGCATCAGTTACCAACTGTTCAAACTCAACATCATCGGTATGAGTGTCATCATCAATATCATCCACCTCAAGGTCTGATCCATCTGGCACATCCATTGTTTTGTTTTTGTCTTTCTTTACAACATCTACATTTACAATGTTAGTTATAGGGGTAAGTACAGAAATTTGAGGAAGTTCATTATCCATTGGAACAATAGTCTGTTCTTCATCATCTATAGAGTCTAGATCTGAAGCATCACTACCAAGTGTTCTAAGAGATTCATTGCTTATAGCTGTTGTCACTGTCTTGTGGCATTGTAAGTTAAGCTCACCAGTCACACCTTTTAAAACACATAGGGTTAGTTAGTTCACAATTAACAAATGTTATTTATCAGTTAATATGAAACATACAGTTATTTAGAATCTTGGAATTCACTTTGCTATTTCATTTCATCATAGAACAGACCCTTGCATTTAAGTAGAATCCTGCATTTGAGTTTTTTAGTTTTTTGGAGAAAAATGAATTCCAAAATTTCATGTTATTGAAGTGTACAAATACTGGATATGTGTAGTGCTATTTGTGTTATGTACATAGGTTTAGGTTTTACAGGAGAGTCCATTGTGCTAAAAACCTGGCCCTATGGAAATGAATACAGCAGAGGAGTGAGGAAGTAAGTGAAGATGATCATTTACACATTTAGTGCACAGTAATGTTATTAGAACATTAAATCAACAGTTAAAATCATCAAAATGACAAACCTGTGTCAGGCCCAGTTGACATATCAGTCTTTAGTGTGGGCAAAGCAACCAATTCATCAGGAGTTAAAGTAGGATTTAGTAGTTGATCAGCATACAATTGGTGGCTTGTGCTTTCATATATTAGTGAAGGAGAGTGAGGTGGAGAAAGCTCACCACCAGCAGAAGTATCACTAAGCATGGGGGTGCAATCATTGGGAGGGACAGGGGGATTGTCAGAGAACAGTTTTACATTGACTGTTCTTGTCTCTATGTCAGTTTGGTCATTACTAGGTCCAGGAATATGTGACATGACATCATAGTTGGCATCATCAGTGCCATCATTTAAGTCGAGGGATCTGTCAGAACCTGGTACTGGTGTCAGTGGAATGTCAATGTCATTAACAACTTTCATAGTGTCAACAGTTTGGTATGTTTCAACCCCTGTTTTACTATTGTCAAAACCAAGTTCATTTTGAGATTGACCATTTGAGTTTTGAATTTCTTCATATCTAATATTGTCAATACTAGTATTATACAGTGTTTTGTGATTGTCTCTTTCATCTGGAGAGTCTGAATCATCTTCCTTTGTTACTCTTTCAGAATCAATGTCATCTTGGTCTTGAACAAATTCTATGATTTTTACATTGCTTTCATTGACTGTGATTGTGTTTGATATTTTCTCAGGTACATACAGTTCAACATCAGCTGTCTCTTCATTACTATCATGGCTCTTGTGTGTTGATATACTCAAAGCTGCCTGTTCAATAACGGGATTGGGTATTTGAGTGACTGATGTATAAAATGCAATTATTTTGTCACATTGGGAAGCCTCGGTGGTAGATGCTGATATAGCTTGGGCAAGTCCAGACAAGCTTTTCAGTGACACAGCACTATTGTAAACAATTTCTGATTGGGTGCTGTAGTTCAAGTCATTCTCATCAGAATTACCTCCACCAGAGCTATCCAAAGGAGTTATCATACCACCCTTATAAATAACAGTTGTGTTCATTTCAGAATCAGCACTGCTATCAGAATCGAGACCTATCTGGGTATCATCAGTCCCAATGTTGAAGAAGTAACTATCAAGGCCTGATTTGATGGGAAGTTCAACACTACCAATGCTGGATCCTGTCTCATGTTCAACGTCTTCCTCATCAGTATACCCTTCAGCTGTTGTATCACTGCCTGATGTCCATCTCTCAGCAGCAGAGTCAACTTCATAAATTGTCTCTAGATCACAAGCTGTGATACTAGCTTGCTCATGGTATGGGTGCTCTATGTCAGGTGTTGCATGGTAATCAGGTAGACCACCCTCGTCTATAAACTCAATATAGGCTTCGTGTGCCTCTGCTGGGATATAAGACCCAGATTCGTCTACTAACCATATAGTTTTATCATCAGTTGATTCTTTATGCTCAGTCAAGTTATCATCAAGATGTACTTTTAAGTCATCATGTCTGTTAAATAGAAGTTCGTCAGTCAGGGTTGGGGTAAAGCCAAAATCAAGGGAGCTTAGTGATTCAATTCTAGTATCTGCTGAGTGTGGGGCAAGTTCACCATGTGTTTTACGATCCTCCATATCCACTACAATATATAACAGCACCTAGTTAGTATCAGTATCAAGAATGTTAACCTAACTACGAAGTGCAGAGATTTAGTAGATCACATGTCAGAGAGTTAGATCACATCTATTGTAAGACTTACCCTAACTATCAAGAGTACTTAGTGAGTAAGGGCATGCACATAACTAAAGATACAGAAGATAGATCATAGGAGAATACTGCATTTCTTACTTTCAATATCAACCTCAATGATATCCTTTTTATCATCATCCATTTCAGGTGTTTCCACTGTGGTGAGTGGTACTTTGATTTCCATTGGCTGGACAGTTTCCATTGGTTGATTAGCATCAAAGGTAATTTCTGATTGTTGCATTTCTATTTCTTGATCAGGTTCATCAGTTGTACTTGGCTGTGGTACATCTTCTTCAGGCTCTAGATGAGTTACTTCAGATGTGTCAGTTTCTTCCAAGGTAACAGTGGTTGTCTGGACCCCATCAATATCTTCGATTTCCTTGACAGTACTTACAACTTCAGTGACAACTGTAGTTTCGGTGCCATCTCTTTCTTCTTCATGATCATCAATTGGTTTAGAAGTTATTTCCATCTCATATTCAGTTGTTTCTTTGGAGTCATCATCTTCATATGTTTCAGATACCTTATCTCCTCCATCTATATCTATTTCACTTGTGACATCAGCTGCAGGGATATCAGAATCATCGGGAGTGACTATGATAGTAACAGGTGGGAATGATATAGGAGAGACATCTGAAAGGCAATCAGTAGTAGTGCAAGGGGACATACATAGAGTGCAAGGAGCAGAGAGAGAGGGAACTGACCCCAATATCCAATTGTCAACATAAAGTGTAAATGTATAGCTGGTCATGGCAATTAAAAATGCAAGAATAAAGATTTAGCAAACTTTGACATCAATATTTGGCGTGCCATATTTATATTTTGAAACAATGTCTATATCAGGCTGATATTACTATTGACATTTCATCAAAGAATCAAGCTACAGAACATCCAAAAAGGATTGGCAAAAGTCATGTCACTAAAGCTCGAATCATGCTCTCTCTTGAAACACATTGGGGTCACTTTCCTATCTCTCAGTCCAGTAAGTTGAACATATAGTACATGTAAGTGGCTGCAGGAAGTGCATCATCCAGAGTGGACATATAAAGCTGTATATAGGTAGCCATGTGCACCAAGTGCTAGGTCAGTATATATGGATACAGTATTCATTAGTATTTCATATCAAGAATGTTAATTGTTGCTTATTTAGTATTAGTTTTAATATGAGTATAGACAATATATAACAAAGACATTGTGTGTACAGAATGGACATTAGCCAATAGAAAAACAGGTACAAACCTCCTACATCTTCCAATGTTTTTTGCACATCAAGATCAATGCTGTCAAGAGGGTGCTCCTGTAAGGGTTGTTGTGTTGGAGAATAGATCTCTTCAGACATTACAGAAGAACTCTCATAGTCAGTTGTATAATCAGTGTATGATTCATCAGTGGCTGTGTCAATGGGGTGAAGTTCTAGTGAGGAACACGCAGAGTTATTAGTTTCTAGATACCCACACAGATAAAACATTGTGACCACACTACAGTAAAACCTGCTCTATTTTCAATGTGATGTCTATCAGAGATTTATTTGTCATCTTGTCTATATGGAAAAACCTTCCACTTATTAACATTGTTATTTTACATGAAAGACATATTAAGGTATACAGTATTTGGATTTCAGGTTTCACTATATATGAGTGTGATGTCACAATGGAATATCATAGGCAGTGTGAAATAGACTAGAGTGTACAAAGGCATGTAAGTGCATTATCTAAGAGATCATAGTAAAAGCTCTATATGCAGGGTATGTCATAAGAACTTCAGGCCTCTTGGTCAAAACATTTTATTTTACTATACACGTCCAGTCCAAAACTAACTTGGTCTGGAGGCCTCTTGGACTGTGCTTATGACACACCCTGTCTCTATGTCAACTATGTATGATAAACATCATGATACAGAGCCTAATATTACGAGAATCCCTATATAGGTAGGAGAATACAAACAGGTGACATCATATATAATGATATGTTAATCAATCTTACACTAAATTGTTAAGACAGAAAATATTGTACGTTAGTATTTAGTGATATACCAAATTGTGTCTGTGACATATAATAGTAGTTACTCTGTTTGCTTCATCTAAACACGCAAGATCACACAAAAACACATGAATAAAGTGTCCATTATATGTGTATACTGTACTGTACATTTCCTTTGTAAACTGGGTGCTGAGGACCTCCAGAAATAATGCAGACTTGTGTCTTATCAAGTGTCCATGCAGGATACTCACCATTGACAAAGAGTTGAGCAGAGGTATGATGATCCCCTGGTAGCTTCATAGTATATTTAGCTTTCTGATCAATCTGAGCATCGGGGAACTCAAGAATATAAGTATTTCCCTCCATTTTGAACACATAGCCCTCACTCTCATTCAGCTCCTTATCATCTTTCAACCATGTTACTGGTACATTGGCCTTTGAGAGCTGGCAGGAGAGCTGGGCACTGTCATGCACGTAGCAGTCAGTGTCAGTCAGAGGGCTCACAATCTCAACAGGCTCCTCTGTAAGTTAGTGGCAAATAGAAATGTTAAAGTTAATGAGATTGTTGTTGTTATAAAGCTAGCCTAGCCCCAAAGTTACAGGCCCAGTAAATGAAATATAGATGACGCAGTAGAGGATTAAGCAGATGGCTTAGCAGACGGCCTAGCAAACGACTTAGCAGACGGCTAAGTAGATAGCATCAAAAGACTGCTTCATCTCTTTGTATATTTAATGGGAGAGGTACTTTTTTATTCCAAGAGAGTGTAGCAAAAGGGCTAAGCTTACTAGTATATAGTCAATGTTAGAGTCAGTAAAATATACACCAGTTATATACAGAAGATATAGTATTAACACTAGATAGCTTTAGATTTCAGATATATCTCAGTTAGACAGTTAATTTCATTATTGAAGCAAGGAATCTTGTATTTTAGAATCAGAGGATTTAGATACGTTACTGTTTGTTGTTATAAGCACACTTCTAGAATATAAGGGGATGAAATATAGAATTAGAGAGATTAACACTAAATATCAATTAAATATAGTATTATTGTATAATGTTAATGTTTGAGGAGCAAAAAGTGAGTATTCCAAAGGCTGCATTCACTCAAGTATTCACTCACTGCTACCCTTCTATAGGTAGATACTTCAGTGCTCTCTCGTATTACAATCATACACATCAAGTTTTCATGGTGATACTCTCCATACACACATTCTCTTTTCACACAGTACATCATCACAATTTCTGATGGCCATATTGAAGTCCATATATGAAATATGTATGCAATGTCATATGCAAGGGATGAGTTATACCAACAAGGAATGAGATTGAAACAGATTGGCATACAACAGTGTATTCATTCATTGTGTGTTCGCAAAGATTCCTACATGACCACCAGGAAGATATGTTTATATTGACTTACCTTCCACCCAAAGCATAGCAACTGATGACTTGTCAGCTACCTTAAATGTATACTCTGCCTCATCATCTAAGTTTGAGTCACGGACAATCAACCTACAAATTAGTTCATATTTATGTGAGCAAATTAATTTGAATGTCCATGTAAAGATGTCACAATCGCATAACTAATAAACTTCAGAAATTCAATAGCTCATATTCAATCATACTCACTACAAACTATGAAAAGAATCAGGACTAGAGTTACATATCAAATTATCCAACAATATTTTTGGTGCATTGATTTTTGACTTTTTTCAAAGAAGGACAGTATTAAGCCAATACACTGCCCTAGATGTCATAAAATAATATCAGTTATGGTTCCAGAAACATGAACGTCTTTGTTCAGTCTTGCACACTTACCTGTGCACACAGCCAATAGAGATCATCTCATATTTAGAGCTAGCAGCAAGAGGCTTGCCATCACAATACCATGTGACATCACAGTTCTCCTTGGACACTTCACACTCAAATGAAACTGTCTCATTCTCTGTGCACTCCTTCTCTTGGAGTGGTTTTACTATCTCAACTGGTATGGCTGTAAGCAGAAACAATGTACAATAGTAAAGGATGGTGGTATAGCAAAATACAAAAATATACAGTATGAAAAACATTGTGACAGAATGTTTATCGGATTTATAATTTACCAGTGAAATATTGCTTGTCTAAGATGGATGTTCTATTAAATTTTTAATCCTCAACAATACATATTATACAATACTATACATTTTATAGAAACATAAACAGTGCATTTCACATATAGAATAATTTAACAATGTAGTTCAGACTAACATGTATTTTTTTCAACAGCAGGCCATATATCCAATGTATATGCAAGTTTTTCATCCATCATGGGGGTTGATCTGTTGGCACTAACAAACATATACACATGTGTACTATCAAGACCCCATTCCTATATCATGAGCTTGCTTGTGGTAGCATTAATTTAAAGAGGGACATCACTCTTGAATATAGCCTGTCACATTTCTGATACTGATATCAAGCTCACAGTGGGATGGAGTCAAGAAAGATCCATGGTAACTCAAAATATAGAGAAATCAACCACTCACCTCATTTCAAGCACAGAGCACATTGCTAGATAGCAATACATACTCACTCTATGAACACTCATGTAAATGAGGAGGGCTTCCGAAGCTAAAATGTTTGTAAGAAACCTTGACAGTGAGTCCAATAAGCCAAAACCAATACTGACCAATGCTACAGATCATGTCATCTACCTTACAAATGTCCTACTTTGATCCAGCATGCAAAGAAAGTTCTACCATTAAAAAGCACTAGTATTCCATGAAGATATACAGTTAGTCAAATATGAAGGCTGCTAAGACTGACTAAAGGTGTTCACCATGGAGTATATGCTCACTTTAGAGAAGTGTTCACTTACATTAAGTTTAATTGTATCAAGCATGCTCATTGATTGATCACTTTTATTTCAAATGACACCTGTACCACTCACTACTACAAAGATATAGTTTAAAGGTGTAAAGCCATGACCAGATTTACCAGTGACAGTTTGTCATTGATAGTGATCTGAAACAGTAAACCATCACCGGACCACTATATTTACTAAAATACTCATCTAATACTGTTCAATATATTGTATGATTACTACAGTGGAGTTTATTGTATGATAAGGTGCAATGATTGGCACAGTGCATGCAGGATTTGTTTCATTACACAAAGGTTGTGTGTTGTAATTGTCATGCAATACTTACCTTACATTTACTTACTGTACAACAGACACAAGATATCCTAATAGACAAACATATAGCTGTAGAATCACAAAGCTCTACTGTCTTATAAATATGTTGAAATAAGAAAAACAATTTCAATTTCAAAATCACCTTTTGTGACTTAATTTCCCCCAATGCATTATATGAAACACCACATTCTCCAAAACAGGAGTCATATATTATCTACTCCCCTGAATTCAATTCTTCATTCTTCCAAAAAGGGACTAAGTGGATGTTGTTTGAAGGTCTGTACTTTGAGAATAAAATTCATGTTGGTGAATTTAAACTTGTGCCAAAGGTAGGTTAAAACCAAGTAACATCAGAAATATTAGGTTTTTTGAAAAGGTATCAAAAGTATAGTAAAGTAGGGCTTGAGATTCTACAACACATGCTACCTTGTTGTCTTCATTCTTCATGTTCATGATCCTCAGTCCAATGTTGTTCCTTGTCCATTGTAGGCTCAGTTTGTTCTGTTGGGTCTCCGAAAGTTACAGCATGCATGTTGTTATGTTTGTTATGTAGAATTCAAGGAGGAGTTTAGGAATTAACAGGCGCCATAACTTCAGGGGTCTTATCATTATGAAGCATATTATCATGTGGAAAATATGAAAAATCTGATAGTAGACAAGTAAGGGAATGGAAGTCAAACAACCCTGGGATTGGTAGGTTTGCTTTAATTTGCAATTTGTTTCATTCATAGTACGTATATGATAGCCTTAGCCAAACTAGGCAATACATTTTACCAGGGTGATTGAACATAGGGTTGTGGCTTTACTCTTCTAAGATCATATTTTGTTTTTACAATACTTTTATAAGACACACAGCATCCAGAAGGTCATTTAATAAAGATTTTATGTGCAACCATCATGAGTTTCTTTCAGGTCAAACATGTTAAAAACATTTTACATGCCATGTTTTGTAGTTGTATCTAATAAATGTACATTAATTTTCAAAAGTATCTTTTGACTCCTCATCATGATTTGCTTCATGGATTTACAATGGTTTAAAAAGCCACAATTGCACTCACTAAAAAACATAAAAACATATGTGTTTTTTATTAATAAATCTTTAATGTTAAAGGATTCTATATTTATATACATACATTAACAATAACAAGCAAGTTTTGTTGATAACATCCTATATGTGCCATGTAGTAACAATATACTCATGCATCAACATTTTAAGTTACATAAACTAAATAATTACACCCTAAGTATACACCCATCCTCCAAATACAGGGCCACAGCATACATGCTTCCCTCCTTCACAATTGATATTGTCTGCAGCCCTATGCTTGGGGTATGAGCATCAAAATTGGACCAAAAACTATTGAATACAAGCAAGGTGAGGTAACGTAAATGTCTTTTAAAAAATATACATCTTTTAAGAGTATTATTTTCTACAATATTTGAGTATCAATATTATATCATATTGTATCTACATTACATAATATCATATATATCTCTATATTGGCAGGCTATATTTATAAGTCTATACGCCATATCTTTTTCCCATCAACAAGAGTGCTCTCCCCTGCCAAAGACCCTTCTGAACTTATAACAGAACTTCTAGACAATGGTCTTTCAACTCTAGATACAACAGAACTAGATTGTATTACATTTTTTCTCATGGAAGAGTATGATGAGGTACTAGTTGAGACATGATCAGATCCTATCATCTGACCACTTGCCATGTGTCTGCCAAAATCCCCAGGTCCTCGCAACTGGTAATCCATTTCTATTGGCCTTTCACTTGTGTATTCACTATGATGTTGTTCCTCTCTAACATAACCTGATGTGTGAGCCCCTGTGTCTGGATCAACTGATTGAAATTTTTGGAGAGACACTGAGGATCTTGGCTTAAAGCCCCCTACACTAGCACTTTGCCCTCCATCAATAACATCAACTGTTACATTGGACCTTTCAACGTCTCTTGGAAATGTGGCAAGATTGATTACAGGTGGGGGTGTATCAATACTTGAATCTTGATCAGTTGTGGTGTTTACCTTATGTACAGTAAATGCACTACCTGAACTACTAGATGATACATGAGCTTCATTATTTCTAATACTAGACTGACTAATTGAATCTCTTCCTAACTGAGATACTGGGAGAGCAGGTTCCTGATTATCTTGGGACCCTCTACTAGATAAAGTGTCTGTTTCAATTCTATGAATTGTAAAAGTTGGTTGGACCCCTTGTTCCAGAGCTGTTGTCTGGACAGGTATTTCATGAGTATTTGAGGTGGTACTTGTAAAATGTGATTTTGTTTCTTTAATTGTAAATGTTGGATCATGAAAGCTTGTTTCATTTCTGAGATTCACTTGTATTGGTATCTCTTGTTGGGAATGTTCACCATGAACAATAGTGGTATAGGCGCTCTCATGAACAGTATTATCATCAGTGGGGTTACCTTCACGTTTTATATTTAAAACTATAGGGACTTCATAACCTGGTGAACTATGTGTCTCAGTATGTGTTGATTGAGTAGAATGATTTATTACATGAGATTCATTTCTAATGTTAACTACGGGGACCTCATAGCCAGTTGGCTCTGTAACCGTGTTCTGAAACTGGTGTGTCATTTGGACATGAGGGGATACCCTAGCTACATTCATATCAGCACTTCTAACAGGCACAACAGTGTCCCAACTAGTATTTTGAATAGTGAACTTAGGCTCTGTGGATTTAGTCTCAGTTTGAAGATTAATCTGTATTGGTATTTCTTGACTTTGAACACCTGAAATATGCTCTGATCTTTGAGTTGTGTAAGAAGGGATTTCATAATCTCCTGAATCTATTCGACCATGTTTTTGCCCAGTGAGAGTGACAGAAGGAGACACCATTGGTACATTCCCCTGGAAAGGGGTTTCATATTCTGAACTATCTTCCCTGTGTGTTACCCTCTGAACATTAAAAGATGGACTCTGACTTATTCTAACTACATTGGGCGATTCTCTACCTTTGTTTTCTCTTACATTTGTTCTATCTAATGATTCATAATCATCCTGAGTATTGAATTTTTCAAAGTTGATTGAAATAGTTTTAGGGGCAGTTTGAGTGGCATAAACATGTGTTTGATCATTTTGAGTATTTGTCTGTTGAACTACTGATGAATTGTAAGATGATTTACTCACATGTTCTGAATATGAATGCATATCAGTTGAAACCTGATCTTGAGATATAACATCTATATATTGTGTCTGTCCACCAGGAACTGTTTCAGTGGTTACACTAACAACTTTAGCTTTAGACACTTGACCTGTAGGCACAGGGGAAAGTGAACTACCAGGGTTTATTGTCACTTGGGTAGCATGTAGGGAAGATGATGAACTAGGCCTTGAATCAGATCTTGGTTTATGGAGGGAAGAGTATGTGCTAGACACAGAGTCGTGCCTATCAGTGATGAAATGATCAATAGTGGTATAGTCTGTCGAAACTCTATTAACCGATTTAGTATATGATTCACTGTTCTTATAATCATGATCAATTCTATTGGTGGTTATTTCATGTACATCATCATAATCATTCCCAGATGCTCTGTTGGAAGCATATGATCTCCTATTCCGTTGTGTATTTTTAGTACCAAATGAAATCTCATTGACATCATCATAATCAGAACCTGATGCCCTGTATGAATCAGATGGGGTTCTTGTTTGTTGTCTGCGGATTTCCCGCAATGGCATGGGGGATTTTGCTCGTATTTCTTTCTGCTGTTTTTCATCAGTTGGAAATTCTAAAATGTAGCATTTTGGTGCAGTCATCTGTTCAGTCACTTCAACATTATCATGGTCAATATGCAGGACAGTTGCCATTTGGTTGTCTTGCTTTCGCTGAATACCAACAGTATCAGACTCTCCCTTATATGGATTGGATAAATCTACTGTGATAACAGCCTTTTCAGAGTGAACAGATGATGGTCTGCTTTGTGAGGTATCCAACGACACATTTCCCATTACAGTAACATTAGGTTCTTGTATGACACCTTCTTCAAATACATCAATCTGTCGTGACTCAAGTGAGGTTACTGACTTTGTGGTATAAACTGCAATTATTTGTGGCTCAGACGGCTCATCAGGAATAACTTGTAAATATTCCTCTTCAGTCAATGTTGTATAGTCTTCCTCTTCATTTCTATAAACTTCTCTTTGTTGCTTATCTTCATTGTTGAGGATCAAATTAAGCTCAGATGTCTCAACAATTGCCGTTGTATCTTCTGCTTCATACTCTTTATCTACTATTTCTCCTTTGTTTTTCAAAATAAGATCTAGTTGCCTCTCACGTGCTTGAGCAAGAGTATCATATTCAGTTATTTTTTCATATTCAGTTATATATCTATCTTCAACTATTCCATAGTCAGTTGTATCACGTCTGACTTTTGTAGTTTGTTGCTCATAAGATTCATCTTTCACCATGTCTTGTACCTCTGTTTGGGTTGGAATAATTGCCCTTGTTGGCTGTAGATTTGTAGATATGGCAACATTTCTTTGGTCAAACCCAGTTTGCATCTGAATAGTTCTCTGCTTAATATGTGTTTGTGTTTCCCTAGTATCACCACTAGATTGTGCTGTTTGGGTATCAATCTCACTCTGTTCCACATTTGTTTGTGTCTGTTCAGTGGAAGTAACAGCATGGTCTTCACCTGTTCTGACAGTTCTCATCAGTGGTTGAATTGTTTGTGTTCCAAATGAATATGCCTCCAAAGGCTCACATTGTGTGTCACTTGTATGCTGGGTTGTTACTGGTGTCTGAGTAAAGTATTCATAACTTTCTGCAATAGCTTCAACACCTATTGATGATTGGCTAACAGCTGTCTGAGTTTGGGCCTCATCAAAATATGTCATCTCTTCATGGACCTCAAATCTAGGATAGTTTTCGAATTCAACTTGAGGGGCTTGAGTAGGGACAATGACTTCTTGTATGATTTCTGGTTCAGGATCAGTTTCGGTGCCCATTTCCCTTGAATTAAAAATAATTTGGGTGCCAACATCATACAAGTCAACATACGTTTGACTGACCACCTCAGATGTTGTAGCGATACTATCTCCAGTACCTGTTGTTGATTGTGGAATTGAAGTTTGAGTTGAGGTAACAGCCTGACTTACATCTGTTGTAGTGTGTTGCTCCTTGGTTTCACTTATCATCTGGGATCCAATGGAATATTGTTCAATATAAGTCTGAGTTTGTACAACTCCTCTATGGACTGGCTCCATTTGCGATCCAGTGGTAGTCAGATCAATACTGGTCTGAGTCTCAGTTGTAAATGCCTCTGGAATTTCAGGAACAACATACACACCTTTAGAAGCTTGTTCCGTGGTTGGTGTCTGAGTAACTACATCTTCACCAATAAATTTAACTGGTGATGAGCCACGATCAGTAGTTACTGGTTCAAACTGTATACCAACAGTTCCCTGGTCAACTGATGTCTGTGTTCCGCATACAAATGTCTCCCATTCATATTGTGTATTTGATGTACTTTGATATATAACTGGTGTTTGTGTTTGTGAAATACCCTGCTCAACTTGATCAGTTGAGGTATATGCTTCATAACTCTCAGGGTATATTTGAGCACCAAATGAAGTTTGCTCAATAAAAGTTTGTGTGACTTCTGTCTGGACTGGTACGGGTTCAGGAATTGCCTCACATGCTACAGAGTCTTGCTCAATGAATGTCTGAGTTTGGACAACCCCTGTATCAATTGGTATAGGAGAGGCAGCCATTTCCCTGTATCCTATTGCCATCTGAGTTCCAGTTGTAGATTGTTCAATGAAAGTTTGACTCTGAGCAATGGACATTTCAGCAATGTCGCTCTGCATTTCAGTTGATCTTAGTTCCACTATTGTCGTCTGTGTAGTGTTTTTTGCATATTCAACAGTATCAGTAGCTACACCACATTCCTTAACATCAGATTCATACTGGATTCCAGAGGATGTAACATCGACTGCAGTTGTCTGTGTTTCTATGACTGAAGTATCTGTGAGGTCAGTAACCATTCCAGTTGATTCAACTTTAACGTAATTTGTCTGAGTTTGGATTTCTTCAACATCTTGTGGTATAGGTGACATTCCTCTGCTTTCTGTAACCTGGGACATTTGTATACCTATAGTGCCCTGTTCAATAACTGTTTGACTTACTCCATGTTGCAGTTCAACATTTTCAGACTGGGTCTCTGAAGAGGCCAATTCAACAGTTGCAGTCTGTGTAGAACCCCTAGAGAATTCAAGCATGATTGTAGACATTTCTTGGTCTACAAGCTCTGCAGTATTCTGAACAGAAGAGTCCCTCTGGTCTACGCTTGTCTGGGAAAAGGCAACTGCAGATTCTGGGACATGATCAACACCGACTGATGAGTATTCTTTAATTTCAGTTTGTGTGTCACATTCATATACATCCAATGGGATAGGAGAGACACTTCTTTCCGTCACTGACTCAACAGCTTGAACACTAGAATTGGACTGATCTAGAAATGTTTGAGTCATTCCAGGTAATGTTTCTGTAACATCAGATTGAGATTCACTATTGCTAAGCTGAACAATTGGAGTTTGTGTTGCTGATAGTGCAACCTCTGTTATTTCAGTCTCAGTAGTTTGATGAAACTGTCCAGGTGCCTCCTGGATACCACATGACACTTTTCGAACAGTTGGTGTCTGTGACGCGCCTACCAACATATCTGGATATGTATTACCAACTCCGACTGACTGTTGGTCAGTGCTTGTTTGTGTGCTCCCTTCTTCAACATATAATGGTAGAGGTGAAGCACCACGATCAAACATCATTTCAACAGCTTGGGTAGATGTCTCGTCGTATTCTTTGATAAGTGTTTGACTATGGCTGACTTTCATTTCCAATGCTTCATATTGTGTCTCTGAATTAAACTGAGCCACAGAGGGTGTTTGTGTAGACATAGGGCCAAAGTCAGGTTGGATTGTACCTGTTCCCATATCATAACTCTCAGGATACATTTGAGCACCAAAGGACGTTTGCTCAATAAATGTTTGTGTGTTAGCAGCATAAACATCTATTGGTTCGGGACTGGCGTCAACACCAACAGAATGACACTCAACATATGTTTGTGTTACTGTATCACTGGAGACAACAGGTATTGGAGATGATGCTCTTTGTTCAGTCTCAGTGACCATCTGAGACGCAACTGAGGATTGATCTACAACTGTCTGTGTTGTACCTAGTTTTGTTTCTGTTATCTCAGATTGTGTCTCAGTAGTTGTCTGCTCTAGCACTGGTGTCTGGGTAGATGATTTGCTGTATTCTACATATACTGTTGATGTTTCCTGGTCATTTAGATCAGGGGATTCTTGAACACCATATGAAGCTTGAGCAACTATTGGAGTCTGAGACTGCCCAATAATAGTGTCTGGTGGTTGATTTCCAACTCCAATTGACTGCTGCTCTATCAATGTTTGAGTTTCAATGCTTCCACTCTCAATTGGTACTGGTGAGGCAGATCTGTCTTGATATAGAACTGGATCCATTTGGGTCACAGAATCATCAAATTCCTTGATAACAGTCTGCGTATGACCAGCAGATGTTTCCACTCCTTCATATTGAGTTTCAGATGTGTTTTGTACCACAACAGGAGTCTGGGTTGATGAGAGGAGACATTCAACTGTCTCAGTTGACGTCATCTGATCTGCACTTACTGGGGTCTCCTGGACACCAAATGAAGCATGTTGGACAATGGTAGTCTGGGAATGGCTGACCATGGTTTCTGGGGGAGATATTCCAACTCCTATTGATTCTTGCTCGATAGTTGTTTGTGTCATACAGTCCCATAAGTCAGGTTCTACAGGAGATACACCTCTGTCTGTCATCATCTCAACAGCCTGGGTAAAACTAGAGTCATATTCCACGATACGGGTTTGACTTTGTCCAACTTTCAATTCCATGGCTTCATACTGGGTCTCTGAATTGAAATGAGCGACTGAAGGTGTTTGAGTTGCTAATGGGGCTTGTTCAGGTTGAATGGTTGTGGTTGACCGATCAATGCTTTCTGGGTACATTTGAGCACCAAAAGATGACTGTTGTATAAATGTTTGAGTATTTCCAACAGACATTTCTGGAACGTCAGGGATGATTTCAACACCAATTGAATTCTGTTCAATGAAAGTCTGAGTCTGAATTTCATTTCCTTCTACTAATATTGGGGAAGTGGACCTATGATCAGTTTCACTTTGCATTTGAATACCTTTTGATTTTTGATCAACTGAAGTTTGAGTAGTGCCAAAATTAGTTTCAGTTACATCTGATTGTGTTTCACTTGTACTTTGTTCTAATATTGGGGTCTGAGTGGAACTCTTACTTAATTCTACTGACTCAGTCGAGGTCTCTTGACTAAAGCTCTCTGGAGTTTCTTGGACACCTGTTGAAGCTAATTCAATGATATGAGTTTGAGAATGAGCCATGATAGTGTCAGGAGGTTGAATACCTACTCCTACAGACTGCTGCTCTACACTTAATGTCTGAGTTGTTATAGTACCTAACTCTACCTGCATTGGGGAAGCTGACCTATCTTCATATATCATTGGTTCCATTTGAGTATAAGACTCATCATATTCTGCTGTGAACGTTTGGGTATGACCTATACTTTGTTCTAATGCTTCATACTGAGATTCTGAGGACGTGTGTAACACAGATGTAGTTTGAGTTGTGGTTACATTCTGTTCAATGGCAGTTGTTGATGTACTAATTTCAGAACTTTCTGGTTCTATCTGGGAACCAAATGAAGATTTGCCTACTTCAGTGGTCTGAGTCATACTAACACTTGTTTCAGCAATCTTGGGATAGACTTCAACACCTTTTGAGGCTTGTTCAATGATTAAAGTTTGAGTGACCGATTCAGACACTTCACTAGCTACAGGCGAGGTTGACCTTGTTTCAGTATCTGTATCTTTCTGAACACCAAAACTTGACCGATTTACAGATGTCTGAGTATATGTTACATTTGTATCTTTACTATCAGATTGAGTCTGAGACGTGCTTCTTTCTATTTGTATAGTTTGTGTAGCGATCTGGCTGCCATCAACATAATCAGTGTATGTTTCCTGATCAGTGGTATAACCATTTTCATACTGAACACCCAATGATGACTGAGACACATTCACAGTTTGTGAAAAGCTAGCATAAGAATCAGGACATACACCTACACTTTTAGACTCTTGGTTGATTTCTGTCTGGACAGCCAGCTCACTCACATCTACATATTTAGGTGGTGGGGCATGCTGAATAAATTCCTGCTCAATTGAAACTATTTCTGGTTCATATACCTCAGACTGGGTTTCTGAATCATTTTGAACTATATGAGGTGTCTGAGTAGAAGACACTCCCAGATTAACAGTAGGCATTGAGGTACCACAATCATATCTTTCATTTTCAATTAAAGTATGAATACCAACCGACGACTGATTGACCCTAGTTTGAGTTTGAGATGTATTCTGAGCAGGATACATGAAGACACCAACCCCTTGAGACTGTAAGGCTTTAGGAGATGTTTGGGTTGCAATTTCATTTCCAATGACTGATGATGAGATGGGAACAATTTCACTAACAACCTCAGTGACAAACTCATTTATAACATGGTATTTCCTTCTCTCTGGGATACTGACAGACTTAGCTGTTGTAAACTTTTTAGGTAACTTACAAACCTTGGGAACTTCAAAAATCAGCTCTGACTTTTTGTGACTTTCGAGTTTTTCTTCCTCAGTAAAAGTATTATGCGTTTCATGAATTATCAAAACCTCTTCTTTCCTACGTTTTCTTTCAATCTCTAGATCAGTTTTAGTCAATCCTGGTTTGGGTACAGTGAATACAATTTCATGTGGCTCACGTACGCCTTCTAAATTTTTATAGATTGCTGAAGTGAAGCTTTGTTGTGAGTCAAGATCAGTAACACTGACACTGTCTATTTGATCTGAACTATAGTCACTCTCCACATCTGATATATTACGCTTCACTGGGGAGCGGTTGATTTCCACTTCTACATGATATTTTACATTGCCATCCATTAGTTCATCAGAGCTACTCAGAGAGTCTTGGTTTAGGGAAGTAGTACCACCAATAGGTATTGTTTCAGCATTGTCTATATCCAGATAAAGTTCAACTGTATGATCCCCTTCAACTTGGATAGTCCTAGTGTCAGAGCTCTGAAGCGTGCTGCTTGTATCAATAGTCCTAGTACTGGATGTAGTGTGGGTTGTTGTTGTGGTATACTGGGAGCGGGATTCTTCGTCGATAGTGTCCATCACACCTTCAACAGCATATGACAGGAAGGCTTCTCTAGAGGGGTGAACAGGAGAAGTTGGCAAAGCATTCGGGTCAATGGAAGTCTGAATTAATTCATGACTGGTTAAAGATTCGGGGGACAAATCCTCAGATTCTTCAACATAGTGTGTGAATTCAGAAGGTAAACCACTGACGGTTGTTTGTTCATGGCTGGTGGTACTATACGTAGTCTCCACATATTCCATACAGTGTTTTGTGGCTGTTGTTGTACTAGAACTACTTGTGATCCTAGTAGCGTTTGAGTCTGTCACTGAATCTCCCTGTGACAGAATCTGTGAAATTACATCTGATAGTTTATCTTGATTATGATTAGAAGAATCATCCATAGAGGATTCAGATGCAGTGTAGTGCCGAGAGTGCACTGATTCTGAAAATTCAGATGAGTCATCATAAAACACCTCACCACTTCCTGTGCTTGTAAATACACCACTTATGTTTGTGCTACCACTCGTAAATTCGTCAGTGGTATATTGGGAAGACTCTGACGCCTGAAATGGAGCTCCTGTAAAATCAAGGCTCCTGATATCTGATGTTGTCCTAAGTTCACTAGGTGCACTAGATGACCTTGACCCATTGGGTGGAATATTTCGAAATGCCATATCAGAGTCAAGGTCTGTATCCAATGGTCGAAAGTTACAATTCAAATCAGTACTGTTGAAATTGTGATTATAATCCTGGTTGATCGAGTTAGTAATATTGTCATTCAAACAATTTTTAAACAATAGTTTATCTGTGGTGTCGTAATCAGTGTCTCTAGATTCCTGTGTTGGTGGCCCTGGGCAATCCTCTGCTTGGTAACTTGTCGATTCTGAGAAAAATAAAACAATATTTAATCTCTTTACCAAAAACAGACTTCAAATAATAACCACATCCATCCACCCACTGTCTAAAAGCTTCCTAAATGGTACTATCACCATATTTGCGCAGACTATCTATCATATGGTACATGCATGCTTCCTATATTCTAATAACAATGCCACCCACTTCCACTTTGATAGTGTTTACACATACATGCACTCCTTACCACTAATCTCAGACTAAAGTATTTCTATTTTTCATTTTACCTGTTTTGAAATTATTTGCTTTCATGACATGACAACATTATATTTTTAAGAAGAAAAATAAACAGCATACTGAGGCATTTGTTTGTTTTCTAAGTGTGAAATAAATTCATGAATGGAATTTCAATTTAAATAAGGTGGGCCATGAAGAATCATTTTTGAACCTGTCAATGCATGTTTGTATGCAAATAGTAAAAGCTAGATCATGCTTCTTACCCTACCTTAACATACACAATATATGAGACTTAGCATGTTTCACTTTGAGGAAGTTAAGTCTTCTTAACACTTCTTTAAGGTTGATTAAAAAAATCATTAAGCATATTAAAGCACATTGAATAAAAATTGTTAGTTTTGATATTCTAAAGGGAGCTCACCCAAACATTCTTTCCAGACACAGATCATATTTACACTATACACATATCACTGACCTTAATAACAAAGCCATACATTAAACCATGTTAATCCGACTGAACATTTCTATACCTTTAATAAATACATGTTCAGTATATACAGGTATGTTTAATCTTAGGCTGATATTTTCTCTGTATTAAACTCATACCCACATTCCTAAACATGAATTTGACGAATGGGCAACTGATTCTGAATCAAAATATGCAGGTATTAAAGTGAAAGATGATGTGTTTTGATCTTTTCTGTGACCTTAATGAATATCAAAAATAGCATGCCTGCCCTTATTTCCACCTGTAAACAAGTGATGATTGAGGGTATTCACAAAAGCCATAAAATTGTGCAAATAGTTCCCACAAATGTAAAATGTCACAATAACTCCATTGATGTTGTTTTTTCATCAGAAACGAGAGCATACTATCCACATAAAAGTTTATCACAATAAAAATATTTGATGTCACGATAGAGAGATAATAATAGTTGATGTCACAATAGTAAAAAAGTAATTTCATATAAAGCATCCATATGTTTGATCAAATGATACTTTCCAATCAAGCAATTAAAGACATTGTATAAATGAATATCCTAATGAATACATGTATGTGTAATGAGAAAGTATGAATGATTATGCAACTATTAAAGCAATTTTTAATTACATTTAATATATTATTAATGACCCACACTGCCATTCAGCAATATCACAATCACAAAAGTAAAGCTCGTATACACTCACTTAACTGCATTTCCATTCATATTAAGACATTTGAAATCACACACCATCTGAACTCACTCGTGATCTCTGACATGCCTTTTCATATCCATTAAAAAACTCAGTAACCTTCATTGAGAAAAGTGAATTAATCATTCAATGTGTCTCAATGGACCTTGTGGGTGTTGTCGTCAGTCAATCTCATGTTAAAACTAACCATAATATATAGAGAATACAACATTATTTCATAATATTTAAGAAAATGTTTATAATATTTATTTCAAATTTAATTACTAAAATTTATTCAATTGAAATTGTCTGTATAATAAAGTTGAGTTTAGTGTAATAAAAAAAGTGTACATTTAAAGCAAGAATTAAAAAATCCTTACCCAATTCCTCGAGGTATTTGCCTTCAATGGGATAACTTAAGCATGTGCTCTCGTGTAATTAATAAAACTATTCATCCAATTGTTCATCTTTATTAATTATTCCCTATTCTATTATGAATGTCCTTTAAGGCAACAAACCAGGGCCTTGTTCCAGGGCTACATCAGAAACACTGCTTCCATTTTATGTCTATCTTATATTTAAGCGAACAGGTTTAACATAGCAAGTATTTCATTGACAATACTAACCTACTTAAAGGGTATTTTTGTGTGCAGTTTAAAGCACTTCACAGATCAGTACTCCAGAATAAACCCTTACAACTTTGAAATATTTATTATCAACATCTAAATTCCCAATGTTTATTTTATTCATACATGTCCATAAGGTGGAATTCTGAAATTACCTTTGAACATGGTATAATCTTTTGGAGTGTTCTGGATGTTAAAACATAAAATGAGAATTCAAATTAAGGGAAAGATTTCAATTGAAGGTCAAATGCGAAACTTTTTAACCAAGCAAGATAATGACATATCTTTATATCGCCCTGTGGTGAAAAGCAGTTGGGTTATACTATGCATACATGTAATATATGCAATGGACATGAAAAATGACATGAAGATATTTTGACAATTGCATGATTTAAAGCTATCAATATTTATGTCTATCACAAGTAGGGGGTCATTAAAGAAAAGGTATGAGAAAGTAGGGGTCAATTAGTGTGTCTGAAGACAGTTTGGGGTCATGTCTGAAGGTCAGGTCATTATCTTGAGGTAGCCCATTAGAAGAAAGTAAAACTAAGGTGCACTTCATCAATGTGTTTCATCTATTTCGTTTAATGATATACAGTATAACTATATATTAGGTTTGAAAATGGATGATTATATTATTAAAGAAAGGCAATCTACTACCAACTATACTATATGCAAGGACCCAAACCAAGCAATTACAATACCATAGATATTTTTATTTATTAACCTCTAATTATTATATGTTAACGATAACATACATGTATTAATTAACTAAGTGAAGAAAATGTGTATTATATGTTCTTTTTAGTGTTAAGATCACTTCTAATATTTTAAATCTGTAATATTAACAAACCATAGATTCTACAATATGACACCAAGCTATACATTACATCAAAGTATCTGACAATTTTGACAATGTTTATATTGACATACCCTCAATAGACAATGTTGCTAATGAATCTGGAGAGTCTAAGATGAAGTGTAGATCATTATATGAATCAGCGTGATCAGTGTGATGTACGTATTCAACCATTTGGACCATTTCAAAAGCATCCATGTGAGGATCATCATCGTGTATGTGTGCATCATCATTGTTATTAGTATGACACACAATGTCAGCATCATGCTCAGATATGCGAGAACCTACATAGTGAATGTGGATGCAAGTATGTGAAGTTCTATATGATACACAGAGATTACAGCACTTTCCTATATATTGTGGAAAGTTAATTAAAATGTATGAAATTCATTGATAATCCACTATTGTTAATAAAAAAGCTGAAGCTGCAGTGGCCGTGACCTACTATATCTAGCTAGTTGGCTGCTATAAGCAGATGATATGAAAATAGTATAAATTGCAATATTATCTATTCCCTTTTAAGCTAAGCTTAAAGGATTACAGAATAATAATCAAAAATTGTTTGCCTAACATTTCCTTGTACAACTCATCTTGAATAAGGATAAAGCAATTCAATTGAAAAAATGTGTTAGTTTTAGGTAATATAAGCAAAGAAAATTTCTGGTTCAAATGAATAACCTAAGAATAACAGAGCATGCATGCGTATGACACCATTTACATTCTAAACCATTGTATCAGATAATAATGCAATGGACTTGATGGGGAATCATCATGCAACCCAACAAACTCTAAATCACATACACGAGATACTTATGACTCAGCCCATGACCATCCTATGACAAGGCATATGACAAGGCATGAGATCAAATAATCTCCCTACCATGAGCATCCCTTTATCACCAGCCTACAGGTAAATAAATAACTATGACATTGACTTACCTTTAAACCTCTAGGAGCCATGCATGTTAGGAAGCTTCAGCCTGCGTGTGTTAGAGTACATGTACCTTCCATGCAATATAATACAATTCATACCTACTCACCTGCCTACCCTCTAGCTTCATCATCTTAACTCATACGTTACAGGTGATTTCACAAATAAATGAATATTAATATAAAAATTGCTGCATTGATGAAATTAATTGATAACAGGGTTGATTTATGGATTGGGATATTACAACTGGTTGATATTGCACTTTGATCATTATTTATAATGGGTTATTTATCTGAAAGATATTTGAAAGTTAGGCAGTGACCGAAACATGGACTACATCCCAAGGGGGGAGTGTTTAACCAATGCAGCAGTTAATATGCAGTCAAATTAATACAGAATGACACTATCTATTTATTAAACAGTTCAGCCTAGATAAATCATTTTTATTCATTATACAGTAAAACCTGTGAATACTGAGCATTTTTGTCAAAGAAAAAAAGTTCAATGTTGGTAGGTATTCACAACAGAGAACGGAATTTATACAGAAATCAGTAGAGCATGTGATGAGGAAGGGTGTCCACTTGAGAGAGGTGTTCACTAGAGAGAGGTGTTCATTTAGACAGGTTTTACTGTATTAACTATGAATGTCAACTACACAAAAAATAGAATTAAGGAATCAAATGAATTAATTTGACTGTTATCTTCAAACACCAAACCCAGTATAGGCCCATTTCTACATGTTAGTCTATAGTGTACATTGCGTTACAAAGTGGATTACTTTCAAGGAATTTCAATATGATCCAGATTACATCAAATCATTCCTTCCTAGCAATATGCAACAAATATAGGGTATATGTATGGTTCTGTTTTCGTTTCAGGTTTACAGGATTCATTCTGGATACATCAACATAAATTGGGCACTATTTTAGGAATGATTCGTTGTACAATGAAGGCTGCACAACCCTTACAACTCATGTTAATTCAGTGAATTCATTTTTTTGCAAAATACAGGTGTAATATGAATAACTAACATTCAATCATTGTATCTTTTCCTCAATGTAAATGGTGAGGTAAAAATATGAGCTAAGAGTACAGTTTGGGTTGTGCAACCTAATAAATTTTTTATATGATTGCATGAAAATAATAAAAAAAAGGAAATAAAACATAAATCTAATATACAGTATATATGGACAGAACTGAATATTGATCTCTTCATATTTGTTGTTTTTTTTTCCTGCAAGGGAAGATTAATTAGAAATTCTCAAGTTTGTAATCTTAGTGTTTTTTGTTTCTTCTCTTTTTGCAAGGGTATAGAGAACTCAAATAGAGAACTCAAATAATCCATGATGACTTTTGGTATTTTTATCTATCATTTAAGTGTATAATACTCTCATTTTACACTGGTTTCAATTCATGGTTAGGTCTATGGGATGTTTTTAAAATTTGTATTGATAAAGAATTTTTGATCTTTTGGACCCCCCCCCCCCTTTGGATTTCATTTCATTTTAAACTTTAACCATGAAGGGTATATACAGTATTTGGAAGCACAAAATCAAGTAATCTTGATGACTTCTAATATTTTATTTATCATTATAGTACAAATTTCATGTTAATTTTAGCCTAACCAGGAAAACCACTCATTTTTCCAATTCTAATTTGCTGCCATTTCACTGATAGTTGATATAAAGTTAATGTTGAGCAAGGTATGCTCAAATCAACTTAAGTTTTATTTACATGTTTCGGGTTTTATAGGTATGCTCTTGTTTTCAAACAAAATAATTCATAGCCGACAGTATTTTCAACTTTTTTCAATATACAGTATAAAACATTGAGTTGTACTGATAGTCGCAATGCATGAATTTGGCTTATTATTGCTTGGCTTTTTCTATAAGGGCTTTATACCTTTCTCTGTGTTACATAAACTAATGGCTGGCAATCATTTTGTTTGTTTTGTTTGTTTTTTTTGCAAGGGCTCACTACATAAAATTTGAAACGAGTCCAAGTAGCTTAGCTGGGTAATTATACAGCAAAGCACATAAATGTATGGAGTAGTAAAACCCAAATCAATTGATTTTTGGAATCATTTCATTGTAAATATTCTTTTTATTAAAGGATTCTTCTTAGCATCATGATGGTGCCACTTGAATGTATTGAGAAACCAATATTGTATTTTAAACCATGCATTTCTCCTTTGGAGGCATGCTAAATTTCATGATATATCCAACTTAAACTTTAAAGTTAGTGTAGTTTCTTTTCATTTTTGATTATCTATGATCCATTTGGAGTGGATACACTGTAGAGCAAGGTATGCTCAACAGATACCATTTTTGTTTTTGTCTTACTTTTATGTTTCATGTAAGCATTTTGCTTGCATTTTTGTTTTTGTTCTTTGTTCATGATGGAAGCATAATATCATATGGTTTTAATTGCCTTTTCAACGAAAATGGATAATCCCTTGAATGTATTGCCTTTTCATAACTGTTCCAATGTTGACTTCCTCAATGACACAAATCAGCTTGATTTTTATGAATCTTTAATTTTTGACCCTCTTGATTTTGAGAGGAGAATCGCAACCGAAGACCAATATGAAAATGTACAATCAGATATGCAGGACATTGCTCAAAAGTGCAAATTTTTTAACATTGACCAGTTCAACTCAACTGTGAGGCAGGACTCTTTTTCTCTCGTTCACTTCAACATGAGAAGTCTTCCAAAAAATAACTGGAAATTTCAAATATTTGAATCACTGAGTAGTACTAAATTTTCTGTAATTGCCATGTCAGAAACATGGCTTAATTCCAATATTGAAAAACTTTATAAACTTGATGGATACAACTCTGTCTTTAATTCTAGGAATGGTTCAAGAGGTGGAGGCATTTGCCTTCATATTGATAAGCATTATTCATTCAAAGTAAGAACTGATCTTCAGCTAACACTTAATCAATGTGAATCCTTAACAATCGAAATTGAGCAGATATCTGGAAAAAATATCCTTGTTACTGGTATATATAAACCACCAAATGCTAATTTAAATGATTTTAATATAGATTTTAATTCACTGCAAGAGAAAATTGTAGCAGAAGATAAAATTTCATATATATTAGGTGACTTTAATATTGATATTTTAAAATCAAATCAACATGAACAAACAAATGAATTTATATGTAACTTGCATTCAAATAACTTTATACCTTTGATATATAGACCTACTAGAATTACTCAAACTACTGCCACACTTATCGATAACATTTTTTCAAATGCAAATAACATAGCTCAAACAGGTGTATTACTTTATGATATTTCTGACCATTTCCCAATATTTGCAATTAATGATAGAACAAAATCTTGTGTTAAAAAAAGAAAAATTCAATATCGGGTTATTAATGATGAAACACTTAGTAGACTTAAAAATGAGATATCTTTGATTAACTGGGATAATTATGATGAATCTCCTTGTATTAACACTGCTTACAATTCATTTTTAGATATTTTATCCAGAACATATAACAGATGTCTTCCTATTAAAAATAAAATAATTAAAACGTATAATGATAACAATAAACCATGGATAACTTTAGGGATAATAATTTCAGCCAAATATAAAAACAAACTGTACACCAAATATAAGAAAAATCCAACTTTGCAGAATAAGACAGTTTACACTAGGTATAAAAATAAATTAAATCATGTTATCAGAAATGCAGAAAAAATGTTTTATAAAAATAAATTTGAAGAGAGCAAAGGTAATATAAAGAAATCTTGGAATATTATTAATAGCATTTTAAAAAGAAAACCAATAAATTCAAATACAAATTCCTCATTTGACCTTGGTGAACGGAAAACAACTAATGGTGAAGAGATAGCAGAACATTTTAATCACTTCTTTAGCACAATTGGTAAAAAACTTGCTGATCGTATTAAGACTAACATTGACCCAATGATTAACATGAGAAAAATGAATCAAAATTTAAACTCTCTGTTCATTACCCCAGTTACAATAAATGATGTCACAACAGGAATTAAATTACTAAAGGATTCTGCAGCTTCAATTGACGATATAAAACCAATAGTTATAAAATCGCTTCATGAATTTCTAGCAGCTCCACTTGCACAAATTTTCAATTTATCAATTTCTACAGGTAAATTTCCAGATGCACTTAAAATTGCTAGAGTTATCGCAGTATTTAAAAAGGGACTTAAAGATAAATTTACTAACTACAGACCAATTTCTATTTTGAGTGTTTTTGCGAAAATGTTAGAAAAACTTATTCATGATAAGGTAATGGTATTCTTAGAAAAATATGAATTACTCTATTTACAGCAATATGGCTTCCGAAAAAAACATTCCACATATATGGCTCTTTTAAATTTTATTGAAAACATAAGAACAGGTTTAGACAAATCGGAAACAAGTATTGGAATATATATTGATTTAACAAAAGCCTTTGATACCGTGGATCATAATATACTGTTGAATAAACTTGAATTTTATGGAATTAGAGGAACCCCACTTTCTTGGTTTAAAAGTTATCTTGAAAATAGGAAAATTATAACAGAATATACAATACATGATTTTGAAATTGACCCAAGTACTATAACTGATATGAAATATCAATCATCTTCTTCTAATATTGAATATGGAATTCCACAAGGCTCTGTTTTGGGGCCCCTCTTATTCATTATTTTCATAAATGACATATATTTAACATCAGATAAATTAAAATTTGTCCTATATGCAGATGACACAAATATTTTATTGACTGATGATAACATTGATAATTTAGAAAATGATATAAATGAGGAATTGAAGAAGGTTAATGATTGGATGACATCTAACAGATTAACACTCAATGTAGAAAAAACAAAATTTATGATTTTTGACATAAAAAGAATCAACAAAATTGACAACTTTGAAGTAAAATTAAATAATCAATCAATAGAAAGGGTAAATAATATTAATTTTCTAGGAGTAATTATTGACTCCAAATTAACATGGGCTGCTCACATAAATGCACTTTGTACCAAAATTTCAAATTTAATTCGACTAATATATAAAACTAGACACAAACTAACTTTGAATGCCCTGCTGACAACCTATTATTCTTTAGTATATTCATATATAAGTTATGGAAACATTTTATGGGGCAATGCAACAAAAAATCACTTAAACAGACTATTTATTTTGCAAAAGAAATTTCTAAGAATAATGACAAATTCTGAAAGAACTGCTCATTCAAGTCCCATCTTCAAAAAGTTCAAAATATTAAATATTTTTGACATTAATAAATTTCAAACGCTCACTTTTGTGCAGAAAACTGTAACAGAATCTGCAGACTTTCCGTTTCATAATTTTAAACATTTTTTTCAAGAGAGAACAGATATACACACCCATGATACTAGATACAAATATAATTTAACAATCAAAAGGTTTAGAACTGAAACTGCTCGAAAATCAATTGCGATTAGAGGAGCAATACTGTATAACTCACTGGCTAAAGACTTCAAAAAGGCAAAATATATAAAGAAATTTGAAAAACTGATAAAGAATGATCTTATCAGTAAATACCAATGATAATCTGTGCTTCCATTTTTCTCTTTCATTTTAATTCATTTAGCTTTTGATCTATGACTAAAACATTACTTTTAAATATTATGTCCCATGGAATATATACGCCCCTTGGGGTGTCTTTTTCATGTAATTGATGAAATGTTGTATGATGTAATTTTGAATGAATAAATTGAATTGAATTGAATTGAAATCTCTAAAGGCAAACCAAATGAATAATGCATAAAGAAAGGGTTGGATACTATAGTAACGGTTATTAATCAGAAAACAAATGATTGATCATTTTTAGTTAGGCACAACAAGCAAAACAAAATGACTAATCCCTACAAAATGTTAGTCTACTCACCCTCTACTATAAGAGTAGCTGTTGTCTCATCTTCCCCAATTGTGGCCTTCACTTTACCACTGTCCCCTAGGACTGTGTTAGTAATAACCATGCGATGGAGGAAAGATTTCCCATCAGAGTAGATCTGATAGCGACCTCTGGATTTCACCTCAGTGCCATCTATGAACCAGTGTACCCTGGGTACAACCTTTGTGACCTCACAGACCAGTTCAGCATCTTGGGTCTCCATGACAGTGACATCACTGAGGCCCATACTAAATCTAAGGGGCAGCTCTAAAGGGAAACATGCAGACATGAGAATACATAGCCATGCAGGGTGGGAGCTCATGCAGTACAGTATAATCAAATAGTATTTTTATGTGAAATAAATTGTTACAATGTACATCTACAATAAATTATATACTCGTAGGTGACTTTACTTATGTTTCTTGCATTCTATATAATTCTAACTAATGTTTAATTTTTGAATCAATATAAAAAATAATTAAATATTAATTGAATATATCTACTTTGTTAATTGAGTTATACCTCCACCACACATTAAATTACATTTTTATACCTTCACCACAAATTAGTATACATATTTACTACACCCTCCAAAATATAGTGCACATAATGTTACACCACCACAAAACTACTCACCATTTCAAATTACACCCCACAATAAACCTTACCTATTGCAATGCTCTTATCATAACTTAGTTAACTAACTTAAAACAACTTGAATAGTTCACTAAACATCCAGACATACAAAATACATGTAAAAGAACCTATCTATCAGCTACTACCATGTCAGTAAATAAATTTGTCATCCAAGAAATGAACCGAATTCCAATGTTCAAGGGGATTCAACTTCCACTATAATATCTTCTTAGTAAAGTTTAGTATCTGTGCATTGTTTGTTAGACATCCTTTATTTTTTATGTGTGACTAAAGTATGTTAAATATATAGGTTCCATTGAATATTCTATGTGTGTTAAATATGAAAGTATCAGAATAAACTACATGTAGGTGTGCTAATTGTATGTGAGTGTGAGTGTATTATTTTGTACAACATATATTTTCTTCCACCAAGACACCCTAGTCCTATATATCCATCAGTGTGTTTACCTCCTACATATAGAACAGCAGTTGTAACACAATCTCCAACCTTTGCAGCAACATCTCCTTCATCATCTCTATTGACATTGTTTATGGTTAAACTATGGCTTAAACCCTTCATGTCTATTTCATACTTGGAGCCTTGTGTCACTTCAACTTCACTGACAAACCATTGCACATTAGCTGGCTTAGAGACCTCGCATGTAAAGCTAGCAGTAGTATTTTCAGCGACGCTTTGGTCTTCAAGTGTTCTCGTGAACTCAACTGGTTGAGCTATTAAAGATGAGTATGGGTTATAGTATAGATTGCATCTATATTAATTACACATTTTGATTAGGCTATATCTAGTGTTAAATTTACATTTCCTAATATGGTGTTATTTTTTGAACGAACCATCATAAAGCATATTGTCAGGAACTACAGTGTATTTACATTGAAAGGAAGCATAATGTATAAACCGGTCGCATTGATGAATTATTTGATGGTAATTTAAAAATCTACCTTTCACATAAAGATAAGCAGTGGATTCAAATTGGCTGACTCTAGCGGTAACTTGGGCTGAATCCCCAATGAGCACATCATGTATTACCAACATATGTGTCACTCCATCCTCATAGATTGAATATTTCTGGGACTCTTTAACCTGTTCTCCCTTCACAAACCAATCAACTTCCACATCTTCCACCGATGTCTCACATGTGAATTTTGCATTTTTATGTTCCATAACATTTTGATCCGTTAAGCGTTTGGTAAAGTTGACTGGAATATCTACATAGTGTAAGCAAAGCAAGAACATCCAATTAGATTTAATTTTAAGTTAAAGAAGAGCAATATTTAGTCATATTTAGTGTACCAAATGGATATTAAACTATTTTAAGCTAAAGCCAAGTCAGTCCTACAAAATAAATGGTGATATGTGTGTATTGTACAGTAAATTGTGTTTCTTCCAAAAATCTTTACAATTTTAAAATCTTTACAATAATTTATTGTTGCAATCTGCATCCTGTGTATTATACCATGCATAATATTAATTAGGGAACTGACACCATATTTTATTAACCATAAACCAAATAGACTACAAACTGACCGTGCTCTCCTTGATTCCAATAACATAACTTCAAATCATAATTATACCAGAATACCACTGCCAATCACCATAGTTAAAGTATTGTTTGAATTTAATGTGACAGAAGAAAATGGTGAAATGTGTTTGCGTGGATTGAATAATATAGGACAAATGGGTGAGTTTAGATGAATGTGACTCTGGGTGCTATAGAAGGTGTATTATTCTGCATGACTGCATGTGTTAATGTACATTCTGTAAGTGCCCCATCCTGCCTATTGTACCTTCAATAATTTTGGTATCAAGTTCTGTTGTGTCTATTATTTCAACATCTCTGGTCTGTTGAAAAGACTCCTCCATTCTAAATTCCTGATGTGATTGTTTCTCATCAATATTGCTGTTTAAATGCTTCATTTTTGTACCTCTAGGTTTCTCGTTATCATCGACTACCTCGTTGATCCCTTGGTGAAGGGGTTCAATATAATTTGATTCCAAAATCAAGTTGGTGGTGGTTATCATTGAGGTGAAGTTAAGTTCACTGGAGTGTTCCTTCTGAACTTGAAATGCAAATGTAGAGTTGGTTGATTTATTCACAATTTGCTCACCAATAGGCTGGATGTTGTTGGCCTGTTTAACAGTGAGTCTCTCATGAAAATCAATCATATCCTCGGATATCTGTTCATTTGTGTGGTGGATGTCATAATCAAAGGAATCAAGGTTATCTTGTGTTGAGGTAGCACTGTTTGTATTAAGGGTTGCTTGGAATTGATATTCAGTTACTTCCTGCCCATGTTGGCCTGCTGCAGCTACAGAAGTTAACAAAGTGCCGTCTTTAGATTAACAAAGGTTTTGGGCTACTTGGGTAATTGGGAAGGAATTACTTTCGAAAAACAATGTTTGGATTTTCATCACAACTTGTTTTTAAGTACATGAATTAATATTTTGTGAGATGAACAAATTATGTCGACTTGATCCCTACACTAAGACAACATTTAAACTAATCTATCTACAGATGTGAAATCTAAAAGAGAATTCTACAAGTTTCTAAACTACAAGCATGTGACAAAGCTTGGACAAGTTCGGATGCAGAAGCATTTATTCCCATAATCTTTAAAACTAGAAAATCTACGAATGTACAGAATTATTTACAGCTTAAAGTATAAAACATTACGAGATTTCCTATATGGAGTCCTACCTTCTACATATAAATATGCAGTTGAGGTTTGGTTTCCACATTTGGCTGTTACTTCCCCAGAATCATCAGCAGTAATGTCTTTGATAATCAATGTATGAATAGTGTCTTCAACTTGAATTTCATACTTTTTACTTGTCTCTATTTCTATGCCACTGATATACCATTCAACATCTGTATCAGGCTCCATGGTCTCACATGTGAAGTAAGCATCAGAGCCCTCAGACAGAGTTAGGTTTTCAAGCAGTGTTCTAAATGCTGATGTCTCCTTTTGTGTTGCAAGTCCTAGCTCAACTATTAGTTCATCCATATTATCTAGTTCATCTTTGGGAGTTAGAAGAGTGACATCATGAATAGCTTTGTCTATTATCTCTTTGGACATTGTATCAGCTTGTTGATGAATGAAAGTCTCATTGTCTCGCTGCATTAGGATGCTAGTGACAACATCCCGCAAATTCTCATCACGCCCTCTAATAATAACATCCAGTTCTGATCTCTTATCAGAGTCAGCCAATTCTCTGTTTTCAGCTGATTTTGTACTCTGACTATACTCTATGTCATATTCAGTTATATGTTGACTCCTGGTTGTAATAGTTTCAGTTGTAGCAGTTAGGATGGACTGACTAGATTCTGATTCTGATGACTTGTACTGATTAGCACCTGTAGTGTTTGATACAGTGTTCTCCCTATCATCTGTACTGGATAAGAAACCGGTAATAACACTTCTCAGTGTTTCCTGGTCATCATCTACACTGCCCTCTATAGTTTCAAACTCTAAATCTTCTCCTTCAATGACAGTAACAGTTCTTTCTGTTACTTCACTGGTATGTTCAGTTTGAATATTGTCCATAATTTCACTGTTATACTGGCTTATCTGTTCAACTGTTTGGAAATGTTCATTAGTCTCTATATCTTCATCTTCTTCGAACTGCATAGGAATTGCTAGAGGGGCAAAAAATAAGCAATTTCTTAAAGCAACTCCTTGTAAAGATCAAAATTTGACAAACATGAAATTTTGACTTGTGCTCTTTTAAGTTTCTAAGAAGGAAAAAACAATGTTATTAAGATTAATTAATAGTGATCTTTTCTGAATGATCAGTATTTACAAAGTAGTTCCCAAGTGATAAACAGTAACTTAAGACAGAATGGATAATTGAAAACTACAAGCTTTCAATAATCACTATATGAACTAAAGGAATAGGGAATAACTGAATGTGATATAGGAGTTGACAGTTTAAAGTCACTTATTTTACTTTCTATAGGTAGCATACCTTTAATAAAAAGAGCAGCAGTAGATATGTATTTGCCACATCTTGCTGTGATGACACCCGAGTCTTCAGGTATAGTATTGTAAATGTTTAGGGTATGAGTGAATCTGTCTTTAGTAATCTCATATTTCTGATCAGGCATGATCTCTACTCTCCCAATGTACCATCTAACAGAGGTATTGAGTTTGGAAACTTGGCAGGAAAAGGTAGCTGTGCTATTTTCTATGATAGTGGTATCCTTAAGCTCTACAGTGAAATGATCTTCTTTGGCTGTGGAAGAGAAAGTGATGTTGGAAATAGGAGAGGAAAATGATAACGTATACCCAGGGTTTACTACAAATTGTACCGCAACTATAAAGGTATATTCTAATACAGTAGGGTAGGACCCATGCACCAATTGCTGTATAATTTAAGTCAAACATTTAACCTCTTAACTAGTATAAGCCATGCAACTTATTTAACCCCGTAAATACTTGAACTACATTACTTAAGTTTGCAGGTATGAGGTTACCTTTTACATCTAAGTTAGCTGTGGTTTCATCTTGGCCAACAACTGCACTTATTTCCCCACGATCTTGTAGTTGGCAGTCATGAATGACTAGAGTATGAACCAATCCCTCAAACACTATCTCATACTTTGCACTACGTTGAACTAGATCATTGTTTATGTACCATTGTACCCTTGCTTCATTCTTATCTACTTCACAACTAAACTTGGCTGCTTCACTTTCCTCAATGTTTTGATTGTCTAGAGGTTTGGTAAATATCGCTGGTAGTGCTGTGAAGTTAAAGCAAAAAACCATGCAAGAGAATGTTAATTCAACCATGGATTTTTTAGATTTCTAAAAAACCCATGATTCAACCAAGATCCAGTAATAGAGTTTCCATATGGTCAATACAATGCCAGCATGAACCCTTAATGTATATGAAATGTCATGTGAATACATCTAGTTATTTTGATTGGCTAGATATTATCACATGACCCTTCACCAGTTAATCATGGGTCCACCAGGAAAGGTTTATTACTAGACTTGGGGTGATTACATTCTCAATCAAACAATAAAGCAGCACACAATTATGCATAAAAATCAAAATAGTTTGAGTGAATCATCAATTTCATTTCTTTGATTGGATTATCTATTATTAATTATTATTAATCACACACATCTATGGAAAAAACTAAATATTTACACAATCAAATGCAGAAAAATAAGCTACAGTGCTGGATCAATAGACAAGCTCAATCAGTGACAAAACAGTATCTCAAGAAACAGAGAACCTGTTTGCTGGAAAATTTAAACATTTTGGAAGCCAAACTCAAAAACAGGATTATGTTATATCTCCAGTGATCCATTACTGTTACATTCTAACTTAGCATTCGTGTAACTTACCATCCACATACAAATGTGCAGATGTCCTGTACTGGCCACATACCGCTGTGACTTCTCCCACATCTGCTACAGCTGTATTGTGAACCAAAAGAGCATGCATGGTACCATCAGCAATCAGTTCATATTTGGCAGGTTCAGACTTGATTTCAACACTATTAATGTACCACTTCACATCTGATGACTCTCTAGAAAGCTCACATGAGAATTCTGCAGTTTGTTTTTCAGTCACATGTTGATTTTCTAGATGTCTAGTGAACATGGGAGGTAGTTCTACAATAGCAAGCAACATGCATTGAAAACAAAGTAACAAAACAAAAATCAGAGACTGTAAAAGGAAACACAACATGCAAAACAGTAATTACAAAATGTAAGATAAACCAAACATTATCTAGCAAAACCAAGAAAGTGCATTAAGCATTTCTTGTTCTTACAACTCAACTTAAAATGTTTCCAGTTGATAAGTAATATCAAAATATTAGCAATAATTAACTTCTTCCACCAATATCCACATTTCATATATCTGCAGAATATTTCAAATTTCATGGTTAGCCCTCATACCTTCTACATAAAGCATAGCTACAGTTTTATCTTCCCCAACTATAGCAGTGATCTCTCCTTCATCATCTAACTCAGCATTCTCAATAGTCAAGTAATGCCAGTGCCCAACTATTGATATATTGATTCTGCCTCTACTGTCTAGCAGTATATCATCCAGGTACCAAGTCACTGGGGCATGTTCCTTATTGATCTCACATTCAAATTTTGCGGTATGGGTCTCATTAATGGTGATCTCCTTAAGTGGGCTGGTGAACTTAGGGGGTAGTTCTGCAATGCAAGACAAGCTCATGCGGTTAACCATGCATTAACAAAGCAACATGCAAACACACAAAGGGTAACTCCACAGCATTTCCTCTTCTCTGAAATAAAAACTTATGTTAATTACACCTCTAGCAACCTTCTTGTTAACTTGTATTATAAAGCTTATCCCATTGTTTATTAAGCTTATGAGAGGACAAAAAATTAAACCAACCAATGATTGGTGTGTAATGTCACCAACACTATGACTTGAACTGTATTAGACCTGTCAAGCATTGCAACTATGATCTCAATCTATCCACAGGGTTACACCAGCTAAGCTTTGAAAACATCAACATAACCTGGATCCATCCACAGTATTAGACATTAAGCCAATTGTAGAACACATCTATGTAGACACTGTATACCTATAACAGTAAGCTCTGCATCAGACCTCAATGAAGTCCCAGGTACAACAATTGAGACCACGCCTTCATCATACACAGTCAAATCTCTGATCACTAACGTCCTATTGTAACCATCACTGCTGAGTTTAAACTTATCACTTCTGCGGATTTCTCTATTACCAAGCAGCCACCTGACTCTCAAATGAGGCTTAGATATCTCACAATTGAATTCAGCAGATGATCCTTCTACAGCTTTCACATTAGTTAGTTCCTCAAGGAATACAGGGTCAGGCTCTGTTGTAGGAACATAAAATAGTAACTCATTACCATCTTTTAATTATGTCAAGGCCATTTTGAGAAACTGAACAAGGGATAACCTCAGAATTAAAAACGAACCATATTTAAGATGAAAATATGTCATTTTGAAACAAAAACCATTCCCAGAAAATCTTGGGACAGAACGCAACAACCCAAAAACTTCAAATTATTGGAGCCTATTTCAAAAGAAAGTTGAAAAACTAGTGAATGTATTACAAGTGATGACCAACAAAATAAAATACTATGAAGTACCTATGATGCTAAGAGTTGCTTCAGTGACCTCTTGACCTAATACAGCATGGATAGATCCAGCATCTACCACTCTGCAATCCTTGATGACCAGTGTATGCCACCTTTCCTCCACAGCTATATCTATATCACCTCCTGGTGTAAGTCTATCATTACCCTGGTACCACTCTACTGGGAAATTAGCCTTTGATACTTTGCATATAAACTCAGCATCACTGTGTTCCTTAATATGGACATCCTTAAGACTCCTGGTAAACACTGGCTCTGCGATAAATGTTACTATTATATTCAACTATTTCAACTTTATGTGTTCAATTTAGTATGATCCTGCATTAAATACATTTTTATAAAACAATTAAGTGACAATCTTTAAATGTCTAAAGGTCAAGTGAATGTTGAATAAATATTGACCACTTTCACTATCTAAAGTTGCTTGAGAATTAATAAAAATATCAACAATTTATTGCCACTCATGAATTTTATCTACATAAATCAGAATTTAACCATTTCGTACTGTTAAGAACTTGACATGGTTATAAATGTGAGAAAGCAAGTGTTTATAGGGTTACATTACACTGAGGGACGATCAAGAATTTAATGACAGTCATTTCACTTTCAAGCCTTCTAGCAAATGCATCAAAATAAATTACTTTAGCAATTCACATACTAATTGATAAAATAAATATTGCAAAGCTAATAAATGACCAATTCCAAAACAAACAGGGTCATAAATATTTCAGCTATGTCCACCACCTTAAGCATATTTTCTTATAATATTGTTTTCTTTAACTAGAGGTGTTTAATTAATTAATAAGTGATAAAATAAAAAATAGTATGTCTGGGTTTTAAGACTGAAGCGTGTATAGCTACATCCATGATAGGCATATGAACACTTTTTATTATAACATGTGAACACCTCCCTATTTGAACATGCAGTGCTTTACTCTGACATTATGCTATATCATCCATGGATTCTGCATCCAATTTGGGAACCCCAACAACCTGAAGCATATGAGGCCTTACAAACAATGGGTGTGTATTGCTTATAACATAAACATTGGTGAATAGGGAATATTATCCCAGGTAAAGTGCTTCCTTTTTGCAACCAATTCCTTAAATGCAACCTCTGCAATATTTCCATCACCTAAAACAAATCTCGCCAATGACCCCATCACCGAAGCAAATGCTGAAACTGTAAATGAATTACCTGTGACCGTCAAGTTAGCCACAGTTTTATCCTCCCCAACAGTAGCCATAATCTCCCCTTGGTCATCTTCACTCACGTCAACAACCTGTAGGGTGTGCAGGTAGCCCTCTGCACCTATGATGTACTTATCACTAGGCCTAACCTCTAGTAGGTCAAGAAACCAGCGCACTTTGGCAGTGCTGCTTGACACATCACAATCAAACCATGCTGTGTTGCCACTGGCAACTGCGTTGTCTTCTAGGGGTCTAGTGAACACTGGGGGAAGTTCTAGCAATGAAAACAATGTAGATATGTAGAAAGGAAAAGCACAACAGAGTGTGAAATATGATTGAGTTCAAAGACATTAAGACTGAAGACAGTGCTGTACTTAAGACATCTAGAATTCATGAGGTGAATTCAATTCTTTTCGACATTCTAATTGGTAGCTTAATTTAACATATTTATCACTCCTCATAGACCAGTGTTATAATAACAAATGAATTTCATATCAATAGTGTTTTGATTTCATAAATATTTATGACCTGGATAAGGTAATAAATCACCCACCACCTTGTTAATAATGAACCAAACCCTAAAGCTGGTCATAAGAATGTATCCTTAAGTTACATGTACCTTTAACATGCAGAGTGGCACTTGTTATAGCATTAGAATTCAAGATAGCAGCTGTCACCTGACCTCCTTCATTCAGGGTGACATTGTCAACAATCAGACTGTGCCATCGGCCATAATCTAGTATATGCACTGACTCTGTATTTGTCACTTTCTGGCCTTGTATGGCCCATGCAACCTCATGTGATACATCATTCACTTCACAAATGAACTCAGCTTGTGAGCCCTCGTTGATGGTACAGTCTTCTAACGATTTTGTGAAACTCAGCAGAATTTCTAGATAGAAATAGTTCAGAGAAAGAGTGTCACACGAAGTACACACAGAATAGTAATAGAATGTATAACGATGTGTTATGGCAAAATAATGCAAAAGTTGAAATACCCATATGTGCTAAGGAGTAAATGTCCAAACATTTACTCACACTCCCTTTAATGTCATTAATAAACATGCAAGCTTCTAAAAACTGTTCCTCATCTAAATGTATATTTTTCTAACTTCTATGTATACCATGTACCTGTAAATTGTAAAAGCACATCTATGTAAAAACCAGCCAACTGAGCTGCCCTATACTTTACCATGGCCTGTTAAAACCTATAAAAGATAAAGAGTATGCTAACATGCACACTAACCTTCAACGTGGAGTGTTGCAGTGACGGAAACTTTCCTCACTTTGGCGGTGACCTGTTTTCCTTCTTCTTTCAAGTTGACATTCTGGATGGTCAAATAGTGTTTCTTCTTGTTCTTCATATCTTTGGATATCTTGATTCTGTCCGCTGATTTCACTTGATCATCCCCGATGAACCATTCAACATGGAAGTCATCGTCATTTGTGGTTAGGACAAATTCAGCGTCACTTTTCTCTGGGACTGTGACATCATCCAGTTTCAGAACTGGGATGATTTCTGATAGACAGAAAAGTAAAAGATTGAAATTTCAGAGTTGAACATAAAATGACAGAATGAGTAGAGTTAGTTTTAAAGGATTGTTAGGGAAGATAATAAAAGAGAGATAGAAAGCAGGTTATAAGAGGTTCCTACACAGAATCTAATATCTTCAGGATTAAGGTTCCTGTCATTATATTTATATACATGCAATGGTTGCGAGTTACATCTAATCAGCTTAATCGGGGAAAATTCTGGTGTATCATTAAATATTGTCATACTGTTTAATGATGCAAATATGTGTACTCTAGGAACTACAATGATGTTTTTGACAAAATAATTCTCCATGCAAAGCTATAAGGATGTTATTTTGCAACTAACACTTCTACTAGCAGGTAGATCAGTGGGACTTATTATTATTAAAATATAGTCATCATCAAGTTAAATCCTATTGAATGCTGTATTATCAATATAGCACTAATCCTGCAACTAAACTCTATAACCACTAAGGGGCTGGGATCTAAACTCTGGTGTATCATGCAATGGAAGGTGCAGTGTCTAAAATACATGCAAATTACTACTACAATCTAGTTTATCATATACCCAATAAGACCCTTGCTACATTTATTGGTTTAATGTTCCTACAAACTAAGAAGCCTGTAAGCAGTGCATGGTTGGATAAAGATGGCGCATACATGAGGATACATTGCTATTCAACTGAGATATACAATTCATATACTATTCATGCATAGAATATAATTGGAGAACACATTAATAAATCAAATCAGATATCAATTAATTAAATTAATTGTTGCAACAAAAATATGTTTTGATTTGAACTGCTTTATATACTGTATATCATGAAATATTGCCGTGGATATAAAGTTGCCGATTGCCGAATGTAAAACAGAAACGGCAACATAAAGTTCGGAAATATAATTAAGTAATTGAAGATCGATCTTTGTGGGCGATAATATGGTAGTTGTCTAACGTGTGTCAACTTACTGTAATAGGGTAATTTTCTAACGAGTATCAACTTACTATACTTTAATCATAAATAAAATACGATAAAATCGAAGCTTTATTCCCCAGCATAAAATTACAATAAAAAGTCATGTTAAAAAGTTAATATGTAAGAAGATCTAATTGTATCCAAGTGCTTTGGAAATCCCAGTATTAAAGTTTTTAATCCCGATATTAAAAGTTTTTAATCCCGATATTAAAAGTTTTTAATCCTGTTATTAATTGTCCTGAGTCTATCAAATGTGGGTAATCACTCAAATTGTCACTCATAATGTCAGGATGTCAGGTTTTCTGAGTCAGTAAAATGAAGGTTATTAAAATAGAGGTGTCAGCTTAGCAATATTTTATTTGGCTTTACATTTAGGGGTGTCAGGTCGGCAAACTTTTATTCGGCAATAACAATTTTAATCCAATTCGGAAAATAAAGCACCCGGATTTAATACATGTTATACAGTATTTGATTTATATCAGTTATTCAAAAACTTTTTTCTAGAAGATTTCACTTAAACATTGTGCATACCTTCTACAAATAGTTTAGCAGTTGTGACAGCCTTCTTGAAGACACATTTCACCTCAGCTTCATTCTGTTCAGGGGTACACATATTGACAATCATCTTCCTCTTCTTGCCATCAATGTATACTTCAAACAGTGGTCCAGGGACAACAGGTTTGTCATTGATGTACCAGTCAACAGGGACTTTGTTAATAGTCACTTCTGTCTCATAGATAGCTTCGTGTTTCTCAATGGCGTATTGGTCCTCCAATGGTTTGGTGAATTCCCACTATGTGATATAACAGATAGAAATATTTAGAATGTGTTTGAATTGTTAGATGATTGTTTCATAATCAGGGATGTGTGGCCAGGGCTCTAGCTACTAAGAGCAGCTGTAATGTCACTAGTATTTTCCTATGGCTGGTCCATATAAAAAGCTGGTAATGACCAGCTGGAGAAGCTCCTAGCTGGAGGCCTGTATGTGTGGTTGGGGTAATGCATAGAAGGGATGTTAAAGTTGAGTTATGTGTAGGGTTAATCTATTTACATGTAGTTATAGATTAACATATGAATTAACATAATGCAAGTACATTAATTAATGAAAAGCATTTAAACATAAATAACACTGAGCTAAATAATTATATATAATGCTATACATATACAGGACGCATTATATGATAATATCTAACACAACATAAACAACAAAAAGTGAACATTTATGAATCAAAACAAAATCATCATGCGCATTTGATGCACGTGATAAATTCTGAAAATAATTCATAATCTCCCACTCAAACAATAAGCAAAAACGATTACAATTACAGTACACAATATATATAAACATATATGTATGTACCTTAACTTTCTGGATTTTGAAACCCTTTTCTTCAACCTTTTCTTCTGGCTTTTCTTTCTTTTCACGTTCATATTTTCCTTTCTCTTCTACAGGAGCAGGGGCTTCAACTTGGACCTCTGGTGGTGCACGTGTTTGCTGTTCAAGCTCAATACGTTCACGTTTCTCAAAGTCAAACTCAGTTGGCGTGAACTCAGCCTATCATTAATAAAATGAACATGACATGCTGCATATTATTGGATGAAAAGAATCATGCATATAAAGAACTATCTATCAATACAAAGCTATGATATATCAATTTAAAGCAATACCAGAGTTAAATCTGGAGTGTTTAGATTGATATAAATTCAGCGAAAAATCAGTGCCCTTGAATATAAGTACCTACAGTTCAGAATGTGTTGCTACTTTCACTTCTTTTTGTGGTTATGGGTCCATCATTCAATAATAATTTAAAACACATTCAAATGCATTTCCAAGTCTTGATGTTACCAATTGAAACACTTTCCCTTGGGAGACCAGAGCTATAGAGGCCCCTTATTTGCAACAGTTACATACATCACATTCATAATCTATACCTTATCTCAATAAAAGTGATTTCCCATCCTCAATTACAAGTTGAGGGGAAAGACAGTGTACCTGTTCGATGGTGACCTTTGCCTCAGGTTCTGGCTCTGGCGCCTCTTGTTGAAGCACCTCTTTAAGGTTAAAACCAAACTCAGCAGCAACATCTTCATGTTCTGAGGGATCTACTTGTTTCAGCAGACTACGCCAGTCATATTCCTCCTCTTCACCTTCGGTCTTCTGCACCTCACTGAAAGTAGTTCCAAATAATAAGTATGTTTCTCATATTGGGCATAGGAGGTTCACATATACATTTGGTATAAGGACTATTCTGGAACATATAAAATATATGTTATGTCCTCCTATGAGTGATACATAATAACACATGGACAATTCAGAGTTGCTAAGTAAGCAAATGGAGAAATGTCCGCTCTTATTGAAGATATAGGGGACATATCTGAAAGCTGACAAGTTAAAGCAAGATGATAAACCATTACAAGAATTGAACTGAAAATAGAAAGGGTGCGTTTGCAGTGATATGTAATGCATTGTGATAGAACAGGCAGTGTATGACAAAAACACAGCATGCTGTTTAATTATGTTCTTGACAAAGCCCACTCTAAAGAACACACTAAAGTACATCATAAAACATGCATCTTTAAATTAAATTTCTCAATATAACTGTATCTGTAAATGTATTAATGATTTAATATTATTACGGTTAACTGGATTAATTAACATATTTTACTTTAAAATTCAGTTAAGTATATGCATATTAATACATGTATATATAAAAATGTTAAATTAACTTAAACTGTTTTCTGAACCAAAGCAAAGCAGAATAATGTAACGGGCTATAATAATCAGTTTAAAATCATACTATAGGAACCAGACTATTATTTTAGTAATAATATAAAACTGTGAAAATAAAATCAAACTGTGAAATTGGTTAAAAATGTCATCAAACACAAACAAATTTCAGATACAAACAAAAGGGAGATTTTAAGCAATATTTGTTTGAAAGTTGAATTATAATTACAGTGTACTATCAAAAATGTTAGATAAAATGATAGCTTTTGTAGTCACAGGATCTTGAAATAAGCATGTTAAATCTGGAAGAGAATCATTGAATGAAAAAATTGAAATGTGTAAACTAGGTTTCAAGCATTAATTGTGAATCACACAATGCACAAAACATGTGTATATAATACATGTATATTGTGAATGTTATATAGTTATAATCATGATTTATATGTACAGCCTCTGGGGCATACTGTGCCAGTAACACCTTTTCTGCAACTACTTACGCATGCTTTAACAAATCGCGCCAATTGAAGGTTTGGGTTTCTTCAGCTTCTCGTGTTTTGTGAATCCTATGTGAAGAAATAAAGATTAATATGCTGATACAGAAGACATCATCTATAGATCTGAAACCCACACTCTTTTAGCTACCAAGTAGGAAGATAAACAATGGGGAGGGCCACATGCTAAACTTACAATCAGGCCAAAACTCCATCTCCACCACATAAAGTTAAAAGAAATGATTGATATCTTTCAAAAGATGTGACACATTGAAAATACTGCAAAAGATATTTCTTACATTCAAGGTATTCCACATCTTTCAATAAATATCTATTTCTTTTAAGTTGAATACACTACAAAGGAAAAAGATAACAACCATGTAGTCATATATAGTATAGATATAGATATAGCTGAGAGTGGCATTCCAAAAGAAACCAACATCATAGAGGAAGGCCTGAAAGACAATATTATATAAGATGACACAAAGAAAGAAAAAAATTGAAACTAGTCCAACCCAGTTTAAACACACAAAATCATATAGGTGTTTAGTACTGTAGGCTGAATCACATTTTCTACCAACTCTAAGATAACTAACTCATACATGGAATTCACAGTACCAAAAAACACCAGGAACATATTCCAAAATATTAATTCAAAAAAAGAAGAAAAGTGGTTTTATAATCTGAAGAAGCTACATGCTATTAAACAATTACTAATACATGCATAGAAAAATGTTAATCAAATTACATGCAATAATTGTTTTATACATATTCATTCTAAATTATATATGTTTATAATCTATAAACACTACCATTAACTTATATCTCATGCATATTGTTGTGAAAATCATAAGTTAAAATCATTAATACTAACTACAGAACATATAATAATAATAATTAATCTAAGATAAATAATTCTAAGCTACAGGGGGTGGATAAAAGGTAAGAGGTGTAACTTTAAGCCCTGAAGTTGGTAAGTGATCTATGGGTGGACATACCTATGTTTCAGTGTTGCCTTCCAATCTACAACTTCCTCCTCTTTGTCAGTAACCATAACTGTTGCATTACAGTTATCTGTGCCTAGTTCATTAGTGATTGTCACAGTGTATGTGCCAGCATCGTTATTTTTGATGTCATGGATCTGTAGGACATGTTCCTGAGTTTCCTCATCAAAGAAGATCTTCACCTTATCACTTGGTTCCATCTTCTTCCATTTTCCCTTTGTCCATTCAACAGTTGGCTCTGGTTCTCCGTCAACCTTACAACGGAACTCAGCCGTCTGTGTTTCCATGACAGTACACTTGACTGGTTTTTCAATGAATGTCGGTGCACGTCCTCTAACAGTAAGTTGACAGTTAGCAGAGTCTTCGCCACCAGGGTTACTAGCGTGGACTTTTATGGTGCCAATGTTAGCCTTGGTGGTGTTGTCTATGGTCATGGTGTAGAGATTATCACGCTGTTTCACATCAAATGTGACAGTCTCACTGGGTTGGATCTCTTGTTCATTGCAGTACCTGGTGCAAGGAGTTATAACATGTGCATGAGGTCAATAATTATGTGAAAGTTGTAACTATAGACTAAAGTACTATGGGTTCTTCTCTCTTATTTAAAGCTGACCAATGATATTTCGAACTAAAGATCCGCTCATTGTGCACAACAATAGGAAATGTATATGGTCAGTCCCAAACTCCATGAAATAGTTCAAAGAAGTAAGTATACAGTCCAGTGCAAAGCCTATTGAAAGTCAGACCAATAACTATTAGGACTCATAAATTGAGGAATTCCTGGTTGTATACGATCCAGAGAAGTGGATAAACATCATCCTGTCACAATGAGAGTAGTAAGAGTATCTAAAGGACCTTCTGTTACCTCATGTGCTAAGAAGGTGTTTATGTACCATTATAAAGTTTTGCAACAATCCCTTATGACATCCCCACCATACACTTACTTCACTTCCAGGATAAAATAGAAGAGGGTGTTCCTTAAATACTTGACTATTAAACATATTAAATGTAGAACTTACCACACAACAGTTGGTGCAGGGAGCCCCTTAATCTTGGCTGTGAACACAGCAGTGCCACCTTCTGGCGACACAGTGTCAACAGGGGCACGTATAATCTTGGGTGGTTGTAGTGGAGTGACCTTGAGGCGTCCGCTGGTAGACATTTGCCCAACTGAGTTCTTAGCTCTCACTGTATACATTGCTGCCTCAGTAGCTAGAACATCTTTTAGCACTAGAGCATAGTCATTATCTTTCTTCTCAAAGATGACACGTTCTGAGGCTTCAAGGATTGTGTCTCCTCTCAACCTGGAATGCAAATGATCATCAGTTGAACAGTAAGAATCATCACTTGAGCAAAGTATCAACACTTTAACTTTGCAGAGAAACTTCAGTCGAACACAAAGTATCATAATTCAAGTTGTTTCAATAGAGGTATTTTCAATGAGAATGTGGAAGAGAACTGTAACATCAGTTCCAGACATAATGAATATTTCACTCACCAGGTCATTTCAGGGGTGGGTTTGCCAGTGACTGTTGTCTCAAATCTGGCAGTCTCTTTCTCCATGATCTCAATATTGGCCAGCTTTTTGATGAACTTTGGCATCTCTTTCTTCATTTCCACCAGCAGCCTAGCTTCACACACTGCCTCTCCTGCTTTATTCTTGGCTACCACACGTATAGGACCTGTGTCTTCAGCTTCTGTGGGTTCAATGTCCATAGTGTGTTGGATATCAGTGCGGGTGGGAGTCTTCACAAACTTCACACGTTCACTTGGTTCTATGATGTCATCACCTTTGTACCATGTGACCTCAGGCTCGGGAACACCAATGACGTTACAGGTCATTGACATTGGGCGACCCTCCCTGCATTCCTTGTTTGACACCTCACGTGTGAACTTTGGTGGTTGTAGTTTCTCAGTAGTTGTAACATTGGCAGTGCACTCAGCCTCACCAGCAGAGTTGATGGCCTCACATCTGTACTTGCCAGTTATGTTGGAAGGAGCCTTGGGGACGACTAACTTAACAGTGTCATCATCATGCAAGATTCTGAACTTAATATCATCAGTTATGTCAACTTCATCCCTTGAAAAAAATCAAAGTTATTTAATTGGAGAAAAATTCAATACATTGAGAATATATATTGATCATCATGTTATAATTCCAAACTCATATTGCAATTAGTATATCTAAAATGGCAATCTTTATTAAACTGATGGTTTGGGCACTTTAATAAAACATCTCACTTTTGTTGACCAACTTATCCTACATAGTATTCAATAATGCTAAAACATCAAACTTTTATATAAACATGGATGGATATAATATGAACTTACTTGTACCACCTGACTTCAGGTCTAGGTACACCAGTTACTGTTCCAATGAGTACCAACTTGGTGTCCACCATCACTTCTTGGTCTGTGAAAAGCTCAGTGAACACTGGAGCTTTTGTCATCTCTCTGTGGCGAAGTAGAAGTGGTGACTCTTGGCCAGGCTCAAGTTTGGCTGAATAAAGCAGAAAACTGAGGTTAAAATGAAATTGACACTCTTTTCACAGATAAATTCAAATTTGGACTTATGTATTTCTTTTTTTAGAATGTTACAAAATTACAAATTCTCCTCAAATATAAAGCCATAAGTTAGTACCCTTTCATTAGATAACATACATAACAAGCAGTTAATTCAATCAATGTGGGATAATACAATAAGCTAGTGTGCTTACGTTTTGCAGACTGTACTTCAAGTGGTATCATGGCAGTAGCCTCACCAGCTTTGTTGGTAGCTTTACATGTGTACACACCAGCATCTTCCATGGTGGTCTTGTTGATCTCAAATACATAAGTATCTTCATACTCTTCTGTCCTATACAGGGTCTTGTCAACAAGTTTCTTATCACCAAGGTACCATTCAGCTGAAATATGAACAAAATTGTGTAAGATACAAGGGACTGTGTCATGAAAATATAAAATATTTTGATTTTGAATATTTTTCCTAAATGTTAATAACATGTGTTACTTTAACAAGGGAACGCCCTGTACCTGGCAAATGATAACTACATTGCACCTTTTGCCTGATTCCAGGACAACCTGTACTCACCTTCAGGTCTTGGATATCCAGTAATCCTGCAGATGAAGTTAGCGCTATCTTGCTCTTTGGCTGTGATCTTCTCGGGAACCTTGACAAACTCTGGAGGTATGAGTTCCTCCTTGACAGGGGCTGGAACTACAAGTAGAGAGAAAACATAAAAGGTAGGGCCAAAATGATTTAAATGATTGCTCTACATAATGTGCTAAAATAAATCTATGAAGTATAATGTATATGTGTTGTTCATGAATATATAAATATATTTTAACTAAAATGATATTAATTTTTTTATCTATAGTGTGTCACTGCATACATAGTGAACATTGTCACTTTCAAACCAAATGACACTATTGGGCATTCAATATTTGGTATGCCTCATACTGTGTAGCTCTGTGGTGAATGGTAGCAAACAAATCAAAATCATAATAAAAAGCACACCAAAAGCCACATTAACTATAAATAAAACTGTACATATGTGCATCACAAATGCAGAAATATAAACTTATATTAAACATTAATCCAACTAATCTGAAAGCTATTCCGTATCATGCTGTTAGTGCCTTACCATTCACATAGAGGTCAGCACTAGTGGCTGCCACACCTGCCTCATTGCTAGCCTTACACACATACATGCCGTCATCCTTGGCCAACACATCAATGATTATCAATGACATAGCACCAGCACAATCATGCTCAATAGTGTATCTGGTATCCTGGGTGTGATCAATTTCCTTCCCATCTTTGTACCATGTTAGTGTGGGAGTGGGAGACCCTGTAGCGCTGCATTCAAACTCTGCGTCATCTCCAACATTTAATTCACATGTCTCCAGGAAGATAGTAAACTTTGGAGGTACTTTGGGAACTGGTTTAGGACCTGAGTAGACATGCTTACGTGTTAGTGTAACCAATAATAAATATCAGCAAATGTGTTAATTCACAGCATGCAAAAGTCACTGTAAAAAATTATGTTTAGCAATGGTGATTTTATGATTTAACATGCAATACCAAATAATTATGGATTTTTCTAAATCTATCAAATTTACACGGAGAAATGGTGAGGCTTGAATCATTCCAAAATACCTAATTTAAACAAGATGGCAATTTATTTCAAGATCATAAAAATATATACATGCACCATGCTCTGATTAAACCAATAAAACACACATATACCACACAATTTACAATCACATGCCTAGTTTTGCCTCAACCCCTTATGAACCCCCTGTGTACCCCAGAGATTTGTTGATTTGCAAGACTTTTAAATGTCCTTCTCGCTCACTCAGTTCATTATTCTTACCATCTAGCTCCAGATCAGCTGTGCATGTGTCCTTGCCAAATGTGTTCTCAGCAATAGCTGTGTAGGTACCAACATTCTCTGTTGTAACATCATAGACTTCTAGATGGTGGAGGCCTTCCTCCTCAAAGATCATGTACTGACCTTCATCTTGGAGCTGAAAGTAACACCACGATTATATACATTGGGTTTTAATTGTTTAGGAAATATAACAGTAATATCAATACTTTCATGTAGTTCAATTATTGTCCTTGTTTAAAATTGAAATATTGATTTTTTATGAAATTAAGATTACTTAAATTGAATTTCAATATCTGGTCGCCCCTCATATTTTCTCAGAGATATCTCAAGTCAAGTATTCGAAAAAATACTCAGTTTTTAATCCAACATTTACACCTAGTCTAATATTTGGAAAATGAGAATGACTGGACATATTTAGGGAGGACACTGTCTCACTATAGTTACTTCCATTTAAGTTGAATACTTACCTGTGTTTTGTTGAATTCAAATGTAACATTTGGTTTTGGTTCTCCAGTGACTTGACACTCAAAGTCTGCTACCTCTCCTTCTTTTACCTTTCGTGTCTTCACCTGAAAAGATTGCATAATTTGAAAATTGCAAACAAGTTGGTGGCATAGTTAAAATTAATAATCAGCATCAAGCCAAATGATGGAAAATCATAAAGATAAATGAAAATTTCCATTTTAATATTTTTTTCTTTCTTCCAAATAGTGCCCAGAAAGCTTCATCCTAGCTTTAACGATATGTGTATCAATGGTATATTGTATTGTGTCAATTGAATATTGTATTGTACGAGGTCATACCTTGAGTACAAACTCTGGTGGTATTCCAGAAGGAGATGGACTCCTCTGGGGAGAGGGTTCAGGCACTGCCTCAACAGGGGAAACACTCCTTGGCCTCTCTATGGTCTCTTCCACTGGAGATGGGCTCTTGGGTCTCTCCGGTTCAGGAACTGCAAACATAGCAATACATTTTGTTTATTTGACCTGATATACATGTACCTTTGGAAGATTGGCCTCAGTGTTTATTTACCCCCAACATCAGTAATTATGGCAATGGTATCAAATGGTAAGATACATTGAAAAAGTGTGACAGTTGTGAATAGTTTTTAATAGTTTCTGATTCTCATTTAATACCAAATATAGCTGTGTGGTTGGATTTAATAAATTGACCCAAATATGTAAATAAAACTAACATAGCATTACATTGTGGTTTTCCTTTATAAATGTTAACAATGGCTATTCAATTATGTTTACTGTATTGGAATCCCAACAATGAAAGTATCAAATGACATTGTAAGTTGAAATTTCAAATGAACATTCTGATATTTTTGTTAAGAGGAATTTAACCCTGGCTGCCTTACCAAATAAACTATTTCTGCTAGATGAACTAGCATTGTCATGTCTTTTTGATTTGTTTCTTTTTATTCGTTTCAGTATCAAATACTCAAGTGGTATCCCACTTGATATAATAATATGTGTTCTACTAATTATGTTTTTCATTTTGCAAATTTAATGCAAAACTTAATCTCCAGAATTTTGCATGAGTTCTTCCATAGGCTTTACAGAGCCCATGGTCCTACTTAATGTCTCAGCATTTGTGTTTTTTGTTTATGTTCTCTTTGTTTGTATGCATTTATGACTTCCTCATATTTGTAAACTTTGTTGTTGTATATGTGGAGAGTGCAAGGGGGTAAACATGACCCTCTATGTATACCCCCTTGCTGTCCACCTATTCACCAGTCTCCTGAATACCCCCCTCACACTGCATCATAAACTCAGGTTGAGTGCTACCGAGTCCACAATTAATGTCCATATTTATGATGATGGTCCAAGTTTGATTCAAAGTTAGTAACATGTTTTATTCCATCATGAGTCTATTTCACTTCTGTGGTAGCAACAGCGAGTTCTGAAGGATGCTTTTATTCAACCCCAATACAATTCATAGACTCATATCTGCTGAAGTCTATGATCGGACATATAATCCTTTAATAATAAGCATGCAAATAACCAAACTCCCCTTATGTTATTCTATATTGAAAAGAGTTACAGTTCAAATCCCTGTATTAAGGTTTTCAATGTGGCGAAGTGAAGTGTGTTTACTTTCTGTTTACTTAATGTATAAGAAAACTTGGGAATTCTTTAGATAGAATGTAGCATTCAAACTTTATGGCACTATGCTGACTTAGCATTACACGGGATCATCAAATAAATTGAAGGTTATTAATTTCGTTATTTTTCATCAATAATCGGGACCTGTGCCAAAGAATTATGTTTCCTTGTGCTTGGTTTTTGTTATACTACAATAAACATTAAATAAAACTGTGCATTAAAGTTTTATAAAAGTCTCATATTTCCATTTCTATTATTCTCAAACTTTGACATGTTCAACTTTTATTTAAATGTTTTCGGATATTTTGAATGATTGATGAAGCTGAGTAAACAGATATAATGAGTTACTAAGGAAACCACAATATTCTTCTTTATTGTATTTTTGTTTACATCTTTTGTAGGTGAATTGAGTGACTATTTCTTGAGGAGTGTAAATGTAATTGACTTAGTTTCACTTATATTTGCCTTGTAATAGTCTTTTAAAGTGGAGCGTTGTATGAGCAATTATGAAGTATCTGTTCTCCCTACCTTTAATTGTGACTTCAACATCCAGTGTATCACTACCAGCTGGATTCTTCAGTGTAACAGTGTATACACCTTCATCTTCTGGCTGGGCATTGTTGATAGTCAACACCACAGTCTCAGATGTCATTTCCAAACTGTATCTCTCAGTTGGCTTAATGGTGAAGTCAGCCTTGGTCCATGTGCATGTTGGTTCAGGTTTACCAGGTTTGATGTCACAGACAATTGTAATGTCTTCGCCAACATTGACGCTGACAACTTTTGGTCCTTCTAGGATTTTGGGGGCTTCTGTTGTTGTGGGATAAAAAAATACATGTAAGAAGTGCCATGTCTTAATGAAGATAATCAAGGCAAAGGAGAATATTTGAAAAGTAACAAATCCTTTCAAAGGGTTTAAGCTAGTTTGGGTCTTTCAAAAAAGGTTGGAACCATTTTGGGAAATGTGATTGCTCTATTTAATCGTACAAACTCAATGATAATCATGGTTGATCATGCAAGGATGGAGATCTGATGGTTGGTCAGGAACACATTTGGAGGTCAGGAAATATATATTCTCAGTAGGGTACCCATTACAATATCAATTCATTCCACAAATTTTGAAAATGGCAGAAACAGGTAGATTTTAACATATGTGTACTTTGATATTACTAATGGTTATCCATCTGTGTGTATAATATAGGTTGGGAAGTCTATACTGTCTACTCATGCCTTGCTTGCTTTGTACTGTACATGACTTTGGTGTAAGACACTATAGTATCTAAGATTTCATGATATGATGCATTAATTATCTTAAGAGAGTAATATTAATTGAGTCATATTAATTAATGATACCATACAACATAACATTCGACAAGATAGCTTGTTTATTCTAATATATGCTGACTATCTAGATAATCACTTTTTCAATTTCATTTCCTGTGTTTTAGAAAAAATATCTTAATAGCAAATACACAATATAACAATCTTTCCATTGAAATTATTTGACAAGTGCCATTCCTACCCAAGCCTATCCACTAATTTCATGATATAAAATGCAAAATATACACTTAGATGCCCCACTATCTCATGCTATGAAATATTCCTTAGTACCACAATTCTCAAGTTCCGAGAAAAGGAAATCTGTTAAAATGAATTTATCTTTGCTCATGGTGATGCCTTGAATGGAAAATTTATTTTGAAAATTAAATTGTGATATGTTTATAAAGTACAACAGCAATGACAAAAAGTTGAGTTGATGATGCAAGGATTGTATGTCCATTACAAGTGCATGTCTAGTGCATTACTGATTAACATACCATTATCTATCTTTAATTCAAGCATCTTCTTAACATTAAGATTAATAACAAGACATTTTTCATCCAAATAGATTTATCACCTATGTCATCTATGGTACAATTCACTTATATTATGACTAAACAGAGTCTGCTATGGGAATTAAATAGCGTACAAGAAAGAAATTGAGATTTGGTGATGCATGCATCTTATATTACTATTCAACCAAAGAGAGAGAATCTAAAAAAAAGATTTAGAAACTTAAGTTGTGTTATAAGATGAGGTAATAGAAGGTTTCAGTATTCAGTCATCAGGTTGTGCATTTGTATGCATGACATTGTGTGCGTGTATCTATTCAATGATGTATATAAAGGATATGTGCATGAAATTAGCATTGCTTTCTGTTCAACAAAATTCCATATTTGGTCATAAATCATGCATTATAAGCATTCGGGCATAATTTTCCAAGCAAAATGCAAAACGTCAACATGCAAGTAAGTCAAAATGGCCTTAATCCTGACATCAACATTAACGACAAACATGCAGACGAAATAACAAATAAAAGTAACCTACCAATAGTCAAAAATAAAAAAACAAGATAAAGCATATGAAGTTATTTGCACTTTTATTTGTCCTAAAAACGGACACTATTAGTATAATATACATGAATTACAAACAATTGACTTTCAATCAATAACAGAACACATTTGGTGTTAATAAAATATAACAACAAAAACAAAACTTGTACAAACCAAAAGCAATGCAAACTTTCATGCAGTTAACCCCTTATATTGCTAAAGCAGCGATATTCATTATCATTGTTGATACAACGCAATAATCCAAATTTTCGGGATAATACATTTTTCATTAATAGAGGAGTCATAGAATGGTAATAATACCTTTAATGGCACAGAATGGAAATATAGTGAAACCTGAAAGTAGAACACCTCTAGAAGTAGCACATCTCTATTAGTAGAACACTTTTCCAACTGTCTTAATGTTAAATGAACCTCTTCAAGTAAAACAACTCACAATTGAAATACTTTTTAGAAGTACCAAATGTGTTCCACTTAGACAGGTTCTACTGTATGTCAAATATTGCCACAAAAGGTACTGTAACATCAATTTTAAATTGTAGCAGACACAGATATGATATGTAAGAATATCAAGTCCCTTTATTCATCAATAGACTAAAATACATTCACAACTGAGACCTATGATTCCTCTTTACAATAAATGGATCCAAATGATACTCTCCTACAGGCCATAGCCAAGAAACAAAATAAAAAACGAATCCTGAAATCACCGAGCCAAAATTTGACAATTTCAATTAAAATTGACCAAATTTACAGTAGAACAAAAGAATTTTGGGATTTCTTATTTTTACTCAGGCATTTGTCTCATGTCTGGCTATGGCCCTCTACACAAATCATTATGGCCAACTGTCAATGTCTGTTTGAGCAGAGTGGAAAACCATTCGGTACAAATACATATTGTCAACTGAAGTACAAGTTAAAGATACAAGTAGAAACATGGTACACATCCAAGCACCTATAGAGTAGAACAGAATACAGGCCTTTGTATAATACAAGGATTATTATAGAGGAAATCTAGTAAGAATCCAAATTTTGGTATAATACAAGCCTTAGTATAATATAAATCTTGGTCTGAGAAGTAGAGTCCAACAATTGGTAAGGTTCAAGCTGGGTATAATTCAAGAATCTGTGTAATGGTATAACATAAGCCTTGCTATAATACAAGTCTTGGTATAATACAAGCCTTGGTTTAATACAAGCTTTGGCATAATAAAACTTGGTGTATGGTGTATTCCAAGACTGTTTGAGATGTTGCGACATGTTTCTACTTTTTGTTGGAATGATAATGAATAAAGCTGCAGTATCACACAAGAAACACACTGAAATAAGGCATTATGTGTATAGGTATATGCTTCAACTGATCATTTGGTAATATCATGTTATACAAGTTTGTATACTATAACGCAATATAATACACATAGTATAATATTATAACTTAAGACCGTTTGCTGAAGCACATACTTATATACCCATGCAGGTTAAAGCCTTATCTAGAAAATTGGGGGATAAAATGAAAAGATGTATTAAATATGTTTTCAAGTTATCTAAAGTGTTTGTCAATAATTTTGATGGGGTGTATATATATGGGGTTAACTGGTACAAAATGTCTAAACTGGATATGAAGCTCATAATATAAGTAAATACTGGCTGAACAAGAGTATATTTAGCAGTTATGTCCCTATCATTGAATATATGCCTGAGGTCTGTCACCAATATAGCCTGAGCTTGCGAGGGTTATATTACGACAGACCGAAGGCATATATTCAATGATACGGACATTACTGTTGTATTACATACTTTTATATCATGGCTACGTTATATCAATGACGCCACGTGTCTGTGTGCGAGTGAAATTAGGAAGAAATGAAACATGACGTTCCGATGACTTCATAAGATTGTCATGGTAAAAGGTTTGGTGGCTATACAGGAATATATAGCCGACCTTCAGCTCCATTGACTTCAATACAATTGCTTCGCTGGGTATGTAATACTTTACTATATATACTGGGGTATCTCTATTGGCTGATCTAATATACAGTAGATATATTCATGATAAAATATCACCTTATTTCTAAAAATGTACAACTATTGTTATTAATAATATTATATTAGATAAATGTGTGAGTATCACTTAATAAAAGGTTAATAATATCTTATCAAAGATAAATTCATATAAAAGTATCTCTTAAACATAATATAAATATTGATCCCAGAAAATCTCAGAATGTTAAAATTAAGTCCTATCCGCTTCAAACAGTATTAACACATTTATAAGTAGAAGAATCGCAAGCACAATTAACAGAGCTGAGTTAGTAATATTCCATAGCAATAACACAAGAACTAAAAACATCACAAAAACATCACTGGAAGATCTAGTCTTAACTATGTTAAACAAAGAAGGTGGCAAAAATGGGGCATTACATGTTTGTTGATCAGTATGTCTAGTGGCCCTCATTGGAGGTCTTGTTCTATCTCTAGCTGGAGTATTATAAAACTGTCTCCTGTTGAACCCAGACTTATCTATACCATTGTTAAAAGTATCATAACTATTGGGAGTGTGATTATCAAGTTGAGTGGTGTCTTCACTATATTGGCCTGATGCTGTATGCAATGTGCCATCAGGAGGCTCATGCTTCAAGGCACCATTACTCAATTTGGTAGTCACACTTGATTTGTCTGGAGCACATATGGAACTGTCTGAAGCACAATTTGATGTGTCTGAAGCACATTTTGATGTGTCTTGTGCATACTTTGGTGTGTCTGAAGCACACTCTGATGCATCTAAAGCATTATTTGATGTGTCATTATTTGAAGTACATTTTGACGTGACTGAAGCACACTGTGATGCATCTAAAGCACACTTTGATATGTCTGAAGCACACTGTGATGTGTCTGAATTACACAGCAAAGCTGATGAGGTGTCAGAGGAAGATACAGTGTGAGGTAAAGAACACACAGAGGCACAATGATGCTGGGCTGAAAACAGATTTGGGGTTACTCCTGATTAACATTGGGTGACACAGAAGTAACAAAACTTTACAACAGGTCAATAGAAAACCGCAGTTTGGCTGGTTTGTTACATATGAAGTAGAGAAAATATATTTTTCTACTTCCAATACACAAATGTGATTTACTATTGATCATCTACAATCCAAATCTACCTATGTGAGATTCTAACATGCATTAACAGCAAGCAGGGAATGGTTAGTATTCAAGAATAGTGGAATGTTAAATAAAATAAAGGAATCATATTTCTTAATTAAAACCTTATAGTTTAGAATATCTACAACTGTTGATACATTTGGATGAAATATGAATTGTCAATCTTACAGGAATTTTTTTAGATATAACGATGGGCTAAAATTACTTACAATAAAACATACAATTGATTTACTGATTTTTAAATTATAAAATATCATTATTAATTTTGAATTGCCCATTGAAACTGTGAGTGGTGAACCATGAAAATGAAAAATTGAATGCCCATAAACCTTACACAGCACAGTACACTTATAATACAGTTCTACATTAAGTGTTGAAAATACTAGCCAGAGTGAAAATATTTAAGGTGGGCGAAGCAGGATGAGTAATGACCTTTTACATGTCGGTTTGGAAATTGATGTCATACTAAGATTCGTCCCATTAGGCCCACCTTAAATTCATTTACACCATTGCACTACACAATACTAAGGGGGCTAGAGGATGTCCTAGCAGGGGGATTACATGTGACTCTATCCAACATGTGATAATCTCATGCATGATATGATATTGATGTATTAAACATAAGAACACACCTTGCACAATCAGTTCAGCTGTGGTTGTATCCTCCCCTCCCACATTGGTGGCCTTGCACGTGTACGTCATCTCAGCATCATCTGGTAAAACATCAAAGATCTCAAGTATACCAGTATCCTCGACACGTGAGATTCCGTACCTCGGAGATGGCTCCAGTTTCACTGATGATGCGTACCAGGTTAGCTCAGGATTGGGCAAGCCAGTGACTTTGCACTCAAACCTGGCAGTCTCTGTCTTATTCACAGTGACATCAGTTAGAGGTTTAGTGAATGTGGGTTTCTCTAAATCAACAAGGAGTTGACACTCGCAGGTGGCACTGCCCAGTGTGTTGGTTGCCTTGACGGTGTAGTCACCCTCGTCATCAATTGTGATATTGTGCATAGTCAGTGTGGCTGTGAGGTCTGTGTGGTACTCCGTGCTACAAAGATATGTAATAAATATGTATTTATGTACACCATAATGGAATATAATGTGTCTCAATCTGCTCCATAGAATACTGATATATACATTTTTAATGAAAACAAGTTTCTAAACAATTTACTATTTTATAGCACATGACACTTTAAAAT